TTTACCTAATTTATTATTAAATATTATTACTATCAGTCCAACCTATAGCAATTTCAAATGAAAAAATAATGATATTTAAGATAATTACAAACAACTAATTTTAAAAAGTTTTAATATCCACTAACTCTAAAACTATGCATTTCCATACTCATGTTTATAGGAACTTTTTTTCATATTTTTTTGATGAGAAACCAATGAGTACTTATTTAAAACTTTCGCAAGTTAATGATATTAAATTTTTTTTAAAGGTTGCTATTAGACTTGGATCAAGTCAAATTAATAAAATTGCGTTTATCTCATTAGGGAGGCCGAAATCGATAAAACACCAAGAGACAACTTTTAATCAGCATTAAACTGCTTACACTATTTCGCTAACGAGAGAAAAACATGACAGTGGCGTACATGCTTTTTTTAGAAAAATATCCCAGTGATAACCCATATGCACGTCTCTGGTGAATGTGTCGACACTTTTTTAGCTTTAAAATATGTCGCATTTATAGTAACTTTTACCCTCAAAATTTTATTTGAGGCGCTAACAGTACTTGGAAAAAAATTAAAATAAATCGAATACACCCTGCAGCTACGAAACAAAGCAGAATCGGACCTACTATGTTGATATGAAAAATAAATTTTATTTTTACGTGAGGAATCTCCCACGAGAGATGGCACATCTTGTTTGAAACACCCTGTAGAATAAAAACCTAAAAATTATATTCCCATAGAAAAGCGTTTTGATTTTTGAGACAACTATACAGGGTGCTACAAATTCGAGGTACGAGCATTGGTATCTCGGAAACCGTAATAGATACGAAGATGGTTAAATTGGGACAAAGTTGCTCCTTGGGATGTTCACCAAGACGCTATTAAAAAAGTTTTAAAAATTTCAAGGATTGCTGAGTTTTTTGGGAAAACGGATTTTTTTGAAAATCAATTTTATTTTTTCCTGTCGTTACTTTTTAGAAAATTAAAAAACTAATTGCACATTCTCATAGCCACTTTGCCACACTTGATACTTTTCTTTTGTTTTGAGTACCTTAACAACAACAAAACTATTTAATTATTATTTAAAATAATTTTAAGTCCGACTCTGGTTTTTTAAATTATTTAATCTGATTATATTCATCGTAATAATGTATCTCACAAATTATCAACTAATTTGAAAATCTAAAAATACTATCAGATAGCCCTAATAAAGTGGCTATGAGAATGTGCAATTAGTTTTTTAATTTTCTAAAAAGTAACGACAGGAAAAAATAAAATTGATTTTCAAAAAAATCCGTTTTTCTGAAAAAACTCAGTAGTCAGTGAAATTTTTGAAACTTCTTTGATCGCATGTTGGTGAACATTCCAAGGAGCAACTTTGCCCCAATTTAACCATTTTCGTATCTATTACGGTTTCCGAGATACCAATGCTCGTACCTCGAATTTGTAGCACCCTGTATTTTCATATTTTTTTTTCTCTAAAACGGTATGGAAATCTGGAAAATTATAAACGGTGTTAACCATATTAGAACAAGCAAACATTTTCATGAAGAATGCATTTTTCTCCAAAAATTAATAATAAAAAAGCGTTTTCTCTTGCAAAGACAATCAAGGGACATACCTACTGTAGAAATTTATAACATGCCATAAGTTAATTATCGAATTAAAAAATAATCTGACTCGTTTTCTGAAACGTTTCAACGACAATTCGTTCATCCTGTCAGTGGACTGAAAACCCAACTGACCAATCCGCTTTAAAGGTACCGATATTCGCAAGGTTGCAAAGTCTATCTAGGTTACTTCAACCAGAGCTGCTCCACCATTTATGGAAGATATTAATATTGGTAAATGTCTGAAATGTCAGTGTTGTAATTTCATTTTTTTTTTCTTCTATGTATTTGACCTCCGTAGTTTTTAGGTTTCTTTTTTTTATCTTATTAGTCATCCCTTCCGATTTTTATTAAACATGGTATATACAGGGTGAATCAAATACATATTAAATAAAATAGATATTGATAGCGTATGTCTAGGGCAAGTGTGCTGAGAGTCCATTTTACTAGTCCGAAAAAGTAGCAAAATAAGCGGTTGGTATTTAAGGTTTTATGCAAAACTGGTTAGGTATTTTTACACAAATGAAGAAGGAAATTAAAGATAAAGGATTATACTATATCAGTATTGTAGTACATTTTTAGACAACTGCTTTATTTTTATGGATTTTGATGGTCAAACATCAACAAAATATTTGTCATGTTTGGACTAAATTTTCTCGAAAACAAAGACATAATTTAAAATTCCGTTACAATACGGAAATAGATTGAAGTTTTGTGATTACAGTGATATATAATTTATATGGTTTTGGAACAAATTGCTCGCTATTTTATGGCAAATGCTGAAGCTCTGCAAACCTTAATCAAGCCTTAATCAAAGCACGTGTGTTTGGAATTTTAGGTGTGGCTTAACACGACAGGATCGGGTTAAGCCTTAGGCAGATTTCTGAAATATAATATATATTTCCTTCGGCCACATACCCACTTTACCCGACCCTTGAGAGTGACCCGAAAATACAGCGTAATAGACACTTAAGCTTTTTAAAAAAAATGTGTGTGAACTATATGCGCATATTTGAAGTGAAACTTCTTACTAACAACTATTAAACTGAAGGATTTGAAGGACTTGTTTGAAAAAGTGTAGTTTGAAATGTTGAAAAAGTAATAAATTTAAAAAATATTTTTTACGCGTAAAAAATTGTTTTTTACGTGTAACATATAGTTTTTTACGTGTAACAAATACTTTTTTACACGTAAAAAAATAATTTTATGCATGTAACAAATAATTTTTTACGCTTAACAAATAATTTTTTACGCGTAAAGAAGATGGTATTATTTAAGAAACGAAACGTCGGATTTGATTTTTAATTTCACCATCTATACAGAGAAAAAGTGACAAAGATGAAGTGGCATTTATTTAAATATAACATTTTTTTTTCTACAAACGTCAGTAAAAATGTAATTTTTAACGCATGCTGTCAGTGCCTAAAATGTGACATTATGTCACTGATGGTAAAAGTCATTTACTTTTAGCACTGGTCCTAAAAGTATGTCACGTGATTTACTTTTAACACTGAAGCGATAATTGAAAAAAAAAAATAAGAAAAATCAAGTCAACGTAAAATAATTATTTACTCAAATTAAATGTACAATTAGTGAAATTACAATTGGAATAAGTTATTCCATGGCCAATATCATTTATAGCTGTAGTACAAGTAGAAGTTATCTCTGACATGAATTCTTGTACCAAGATTAGAAGCAATGGTAGTATCCGCTGAGGTTCTGGATAAAATTTGACCTGCAATACTCGTTTTATTTTGTAAAGAGTCTTCTATATAACCCTCCGCTACGGTACTGAACTTTCATCCACCGTGTCGCCTTAATTGTATTAAGATTAGATCCAGAATCTGCCAGCAAACTAGCCCAGGATCTTCGGGAGCAATGTCCAGTATAAAGATGAGAATCGGGCAAATTTAGAAATTTAGCAATATTGGCAGGCATCTTACCAAATGTGTTGATTCCAACTGGAGTCGTGGCACATTTATTCTTAATATATTTTATAAATATTCTTGAATGGTTGATGGTCGCTGGTCGGAGAACTATGTACTTTTTGTAATAATTCAAATATAATGTACCAGTAATAACAAATGTTCGTTCCACATTAGTTTTTGTATCTGGAATATGCACGATTAATGAAGTTCCTATAGCCTCGATATTATGACAATATTATTTAATGTCAAGTTGCATAGTTCTTCACGACGGCACGCTCCAAATATGCCGAAAATTACGGCAACTTTTTTCATAAGGTATATTTCGTCCCATTGCTGCCAAAAGTCACTAACTTACTTTTTATTACTTCCGAGAAAAACGCGGCTGAAGATGAAATGAATTGCATACAGTTGTTAGTAACTATTGGGTATTAAAATACAGCATAAATAGCCAGAATTCGTAGTTAATGACTTTTTCAATTGATTCTCCGCTTCAAAATATAGTTAGTGACTGAATTTTCAGGTTATTCGGAAAAATGTTAGTTAGTGACTTTTAGCAGCAATAGGACGATTTCATCAGACGCGACGCCTCTGCAAGAAATTTGTCGATCTGTTCTCTGGTCAATATTTGCGACTTCTTTGGACAATATCCCTCACCTTTTCGCTTCAAAAAAGCAACAAACCTGTAATATTTGCTTATGTCCTGATTGTTAGTCTTTATCATCGCCTTGACCATGTCGACCAAACCAAACAAAACCACCGACTATTGACCAATAATCGATTATATGAAAACTCATACTGATCCTAGGACTTGCTGGGTAATAAATCAAAAATAATTCTATTAGCCGCTTCTTCAATTTCTGCTGGGAAACACTCAGTTTCTTGATCACTTTCCATCATTTACAAGAGTTGAGGCACAAATTTGACATTAGTTGACAACAAATGATCGAATGTTTGGAATCTTTCAATTACCCTAGCAACCATAAACTTCATGATAATTAATTTGATTTTAAATTTCAAATGACATATTATGAATTATTCATTAACGTAAAAAGTAATAATACCTTCATATATACGAGCATAAATTTGTTTGTAGAAAAAATAGTGTATGATATGTGTGCTAAAAGTGATTTTATTTTGTTCGAAGGGATGGGACACTTCGCCTTCGGCGTCCTTCGAAGCTTCCCTTCTCACAAAATAAAATACCACTTACCACATATCATAAATAACTATTTTAATAAAGCCAGTAAAAAATAAATACGATTTTACAGTTTTTTTCTAATAATTACGGAAGTAGTCGTAGGGATATTTTTATTCTCATAACGTCATTTTACTGAACAGAAAGTTGCGAATTTGAGGAACCCTGTATAGAAACTTTGCAGTAGATTAAAGTTAAGATGAACTAGACTTATTTTTTTAATTATATGAATTCAGATTTCAACGTATTTGTGATATTAATTCCAAACTATTTCTTCTTTCTCAGATGTCTTGTTCAGTACCAGTAGCTCCCGCACCACCAGCACTTAAAGATCTACCCAAGGTAGGAAGCGACTTCAAAAGCGAGCTGGAAGGCTTCAATTCCAGCAAATTGAAGAACGCGGATACTCAAGAGAAGATCGTGTTGCCATCAGCCCAAGGTAATACCAATGGCTGGATACTGTTAAATGACAGAAGACAGTATACCCCCAAAACTTCTTTTATTATTAACATTTTTTGATAAAAAGCATTGTTGGATATTGATCCCGTATACAGGGTGATTCAGATTTTACTAGAATAACTTCAGGTATCGATAGAGCTAACCGAAATAATGATAGTTTGTATTATAAACCATACTCCAAAAACGCTTCCGCTTGGAGTGAAATGGCGCTAAAATTTGAATTATTTTTCGGTTTTTATTTTATTACTCGTAAGCCAGACGATCTAAATACGCAAGTGTTTGGTTAAATGCAAAGGGCAACGTGGCTGATATGTGTGAAAAAAATTGGATTAATTGCTATACAGGGTGTTGTTTTTGTGAGTGTCAACTGCACGAAACCTTGTAGAACTTTTTTGTGGCACGCCACTGGATAAACTTGTATTTTTTTCTGATACCCTCCGTCTTTTTACTAACTTTTCTTGTTCTTAAATTTTTTTGATATGTCGCTTAGTTTTCGAGATATTCCACAAAATTCCGGACATAGCTCAGCTGCGTTCCAAAAATGTTACTTAATTAGCAGCATGCCTTGGAGAACTTAATTCAAATTTTAGCGCCATTTTACTCCAAGCGGAAGCGTTTTGGGAATATAGTTTATAATACAAACTATCATTATTTCGGTTAGTTCTATGGATACCTGAAGTTATTCTAGTAAAATCTGAATCACCCTGTATATCCTTTTTTGCTGAAATGATTACAACTTTTGATTTTTAAATGGCACCCTCGGTTTTTTACTTTATTCGATAGAAAATGGTTGTGGTTAGGAATATGGTTATAATGAATTCAAAATATGAAATGTCTGGTACCAAATTATTCGCAAAAAAATGCTTTTTTCAAATATGCCAAATGCTAATGAGCCATCCTCGTTCCATTTGAACTGGCCAGGACAAGACCCTTAAAACATTAGACGATTAAATCTATTTTTCCAAGGCTCCTTGATTAAAAATTAGTGTTTTAACTCAGCCGTGGCACTCTAGATTGAAATTTAAAATACGATTTTTTTAAAGCGAAAATGTTAAAAGTTGACATATGATATGTCATGCTATTCAGGGTGTCATTTTCTATCCAAAAAAATAGAAAAATACCGAGGGTGCCATTTAAAAATCAAAAGTTGTAGTCATTTCCGGTGAAACAGGAAGTGACCGAGAACAATTGAATACGTCAATCAATCTTAATTTATGTCATATACTAACATACAAAATCCCGGTTTTTTTATCTGAAAAAATAAAAAAGTTATAGGGGGTGAGCCACTTTTAAGAGGCACCCGGTATACTACCCTGTCTTAATGACGGAAATCCGCAGAAAAAATCAGACTCGAAACGAATTTAAATCATTCATTCCATTAGTTCATTTTTTTTCATCATTCCCTTGAATTTTTATTACAACTTTCCAGCATACCAAAACGTCGAACAATTGAATACGTCAATCAATCTTAATTTATGTCATATACTAACATACAAAATCCCGGTTTTTTTATCTGAAAAAATAAAAAAGTTATAGGGGTGAGTCACTTTTCCACATAACAGCGACCCTGTATAAATGGCTGCTCATTTTGTCAATAGCGTATCATTTGTAAAAGTATTTCTCAGAGGTATTTCTGAAGAAGCTACATCGTTAGGAAACACGCCAAAATTGTTAATACAGTTTAATAAAGTAGATTTAGACAACGAACTTAGTACAAACCACAACAGTTCAGAACTTATAATTTTTAAAAATAATTTTTGTATAATTTGTAAAAATTACAAAGCCAGAATATTCGTTGACTTGAACCTTTTAGGTTATATTTTCTGTCTTTTTTTTTTCTTTTATTTAGATGTAGCACAGGAAAAAACACATAACGCCCTTATAGCGGGGGTGGAAAACTTTAATTGTGCCCTCCTGAAAAGGGCGGATACCAAGGAAAAAATTGTGCTGCCCAGTGCACAAGGTAACGCAATGAAACCTGCGTTTGGTTTTGGTGTGCTGTGCAACAAACCGCTCCAACCAGTCAGCGATTGGTTTTAATTCTAATACTATTGACATTTTTACTGACAGTGGCGTAATAATATTGTAACAGAGTTTAACAGAGATCGAAAAAAAAACGGCGTCAGAGACGGCTTGAGAACGACGATCGATGATAATTTTGGCGAGGTCGAGCTCTAGACGTTATTGGCCTCTATCTCGCTATACTTTTGGCACAAATTAACTACAACAGATGCGAAAGATCACCGAATTCCGCGTTCAGGTTTCTGTGGCCTTCAGAAAGAGTTCATAGACAATCCGCATCAATGTATAGTTTGGGTTATTATTTGTTTGGGTGAAAATATAATCTGCACCAATATATTATCGAGGCGTATAATCTCTCAATAATTTAATAGATTGCTCGTCATATTATACCATTCCGTAGGAGATTAGGAAAAAAAAGATATTTATAGTATGAAAAATTAATTTATTTAACAAAATTTAATTAAAGATGTGACAAAATAGTTACTTTTCTATTTGTTCTATCGGACTTTTTTCGACTATATAAATCTTTATTTTTTGTAAACTTTAATGCATAAAATATTTTCAATCTAATAAATAATTTAATGATGTAAATAAGAGGAAATTTCTCACATGGGTGGTCAAATTCTATAGTTTTCATTATATCAAACAGCCTCTGAAAAATGTTTTCAACTCAAAATGCCTTTAATTATGTTTGACTACATCATTAAAAAGGGTCTTCAAATACATCAATGTGATATTTGTCTAAAATTTACAAAAGAATCCGAATCTCTAGATAACTCGAAATTATTTACCCATTTAAAAGCCTTTGATCATGAAAGTGGAAAAATTTGTTCATTTTATTTACAGGCCGGAAAAATTATTTATAATAAATTTTGATGAGGCTGTTTGATATAATGAAAACTATAGAATTTGACCACCCATGTGAGAAATTTCCTCTTATTTACATCATTAAATGATTTATTAGATTGAAAATATTTGATGTATTAAAGTTTACAAATAAAGATTTATATAGTCGAAAAAAGTCCGATAGAACCAACCAAACTATTTTGTCACATTGTTAATTAAATTTTGTTAAATAAATTAATTTTTTATATATATAAATATCTTTTTTTTCCTTATAAATAAACACATTTGTATCCCATTTTAAATAAGATATACAAATTACCAAAACTTAGAAATAACAGTTCAAAAGTTCAACAAAAATCCTACACGCGCTTTTAAAAAGAAACATATAACCACGCATTATGTCACTCCAGCAAGCGAATACGACACTGGTGTATTTACACTACTCAATAGGCGTGTAGGGTTTGCCGAACGGTTTCCGATGCAGTCGCTTTCTTTCGCATCTGTTATAGGTAATTTGTGCTTTTGGCCTTTACTCTTCATCATCATTTACTAAAAATTGACATAAAATTTGTCAAATATTAAAAGTAATTATAGAAAGACTAAAAAAAGATAGAACGTTTCCAGACCTCTTTGACGCCGTTTTTTTTCGATTGTATGGTATTTGATGAGATTTTTTAATAATTTAAAATATAGATTGACTTTTGAATTGAAGAATAACTTTCTTAGTACCTCTTCAGTCCTGAGTAACACATACTTTTTTATTGGTTAGTAAAATATGTGTTCTGCGGAGCTACAAGGACCATTTTGATCTAAACAATACTATATTGTTTGATTAGGAGTAAAAATGACACTTTTTGTGGAGAGGCTGTACGTTTGACATACAGCCGGGGCACAAAAAGTCCTTTTTACTCGGAATAGAACATGCTATTTTTTTCAAACGCCACAAATAAGTTTTTAATCAATTTCAAACGTTCCAAAAAATATTAAAATATTTAAAAGTCATACCTTGTATGTAATTATATATCGAGAAACAATGGTTACGCTCGTTGAATTTTACACTTTATGTTAGGTTAGGTTAGGTTATATTTTTGTACTTTTACGCCTAGGCGTAAAAGTGCTTTACTTTTTTGCCTAGGCGTTAAAATGACTTTTTTATATTGTCAATCACGTCGCAAAAATTAATACTTTTGTGACGTTTGAAAAAAAATGAAATTATTTGGTAGTTTTTGAAACATATAAAAGATTGATCTGTTATACTCTGTTTATAAATTGTTTAATGGCTGATGCTTTATTCCCCAATTTTAAACAAAAATACTAAAAACTTATACAGTAACATTCGGTATAACCTACAAACGAATTTTAACTGTGTATAATCACAATATTTACTGATTTTAAGAGTGTGCCTTTTCCATAACAACACTAATCTTAACAACCACTTATACGGTTAACTTAATCAATTGCAATTGATGCAAACCAAAACAACGAGCGACTGTTATCGTATTTTTAGAAATGATTTGATTAGTAGCAAAGTTGCGACCATAACGACGATGTACCAATAATAATACACATTACACATTTTTTAAAGATTACTCAACGACTCTTTAATGTTTGTTTGAATATACAATTGTTTTCTATTCATTTGTTTTGATTTTAAACAATGTATGTTGGCTTTGCATTTATCAGTATCTCTGCGTCTTAAAATTGTATCGATGGTTTGTCAAGAGGTATTGTCGACTGTAAGAAATAAAGGTGTGAATCATAAATAAATTAACTTAAAAGGACCGAAAATACATGACATATACAGGGCGTAAAAAAAGAGTGTACCAAAAGAAAAAAGTTCCAATAAACATTATGTCCTCAGTTGCTTTCTAAAGGAAGTCAAAGGGTTGATAAAAATAATACTCACATATTTTAATTCATTTCCAGTGATTCCAGTTGAGGGCTTTAAAGGGCTGTAAATCACCACAATACACCAAAACATTAAACTGTCAGTTTTAATCATCTGCTGATGATGCTAACATGGTTAGCGAAACGCGCGTCCAGTGTAAAAGTAAAAGTGTTTTGGTGTATTGTGGTGATTTAGTGTTTTATTTTGCTGTGTAACACCAAACGTTTCAACCCCCAACTGTAATATAAGGCTGTAACTTCCTCAGGAAGCATCTTAAGGCATATATTCATAGGAACTTTTTCTTTTCTTTTTATCTGTAGTATCATCCACTCAAATTTGGCACACTGTTTTTTTACACCCTGTATATACATACATATTTTGCATGCTCTTTAAATATTTAACATATTATGATGCTTCAATAACAAATGCCGCAAAATACAGGAACAGCGTCAAGTTTTATTAAAAATGATGATCGGTGGCATTCACCAAATTTAATTTTACAAATACAAAATGTCAACGATCGTCTTTTGCAAGGCAACTTGACACCGTTTTTTTTTCATACGGAATATTTTTATTAAACCTGATTAAAATAAAATGATTACTTTTTTTCCTAAAAAAAGTTTCTGAGATGTTTAGTATTTCTACACATCTATTCACACTATATTGTATAGATATTTTATGGTTAATGTTTGATTTTATTTTAGATGTGGCAGCCGAAAAAACGGAGAAGGCATTGATCGAAGGCATCGCAAAATTCGACGCCACCAAACTGAAACACACAGAAACTCAGGAAAAGAATCCACTGCCAGACAAAGAAGGTGAGTTGCAAAATGATATTTTCCATACAGTGTATTAAAATTTAAAATTGAATGGCGTAAGTAAATAATATGTGTCAGTCTAACTCAAATGCTCCTAGATCGCGTTTAAGCTTCATCTAAGTTGAAAGTCTGTTTAACGAGAAAAGAGATGGTTTTGACAGACGGCATCCAAAAATTATAGAAATTACAGTCTACAACTTCATTCAGAATCTCGAAATTAGTGGTTCCAATTAAGCTTTATTCAGAACCTCACAATTAGTGGAATAAATTAGTGGTTTCAATTAGCTTAGAAGTTCGTTCCTTTAATTTCAATGTAAGCAATGTAAGTAATAAAAATTAATAAAAATTCGTCCACATTGTAACGTTTCCAATCATTTGCGACTCACATTTTTCTTTGATCTATTCACTTTTACCGGCAGAAGATGAAAAGCATTTATTCGCGCTAAAACCATTCGTCATGATGTACATTCGCTGCGAATGCACATCTACACCTGAAGGTGCGTATTCATTATCCGAACGAACGAACGAATGAAAGTGCGGTATATTTAGACGGGGACCGAACGCATGCGGCCGTTCGTTCGTTCGTTCGCTCGGCCATCCGTTTCGAGTCGGTACATCAAAGGCGTTCGGTATCGTACGGTCCCCGTCCATACCACTAGCGAACATTCGTTCGTTCGTTCGTTCGTTCGTTCGTTCGGATAATGAATACGCACCTTGAGAAAGATCTCCTCGCGAATGCGGACACGTTAGATCTGTCTTCGGCTCAAGATTTCGAAGGTTCTTATCGTTCTGCACTGAAGGCTTGAAAAACTTTTAATTTTTTGTAGTCAGTGTCGTCTGTCCAAATCGTCACGTCTGTAGTTGGATAGACTTTAAATAACATTTCTAGTTTTCTAGTGTACAATTTTCAATATGATGAGGAAAACTTAAAACATCTGCTACAAAATCGTGTTTGGAATTAAATCCAAATTTTATTCTAGTTATTTGATTCAATTTGTGTTAAACAAATTATTTTGTTTGTTTTGCTTGAAAAATAAGCCTGCTTTGTTGTTTGGTGTATATAACAACACGAAATGTAATTACTGCATTATTTTTCACTGTTTTTTTCCTTGTGCTTTGCATGATTTTTGTTTAGTTGTTGAACAAGAAAAGACGCACAAAAACCTGCTTAGCGGCGTCGAGCACTTTGACAGATCCACAATGAAACATGCGGAAACGACTGAAAAAATTGTTCTGCCAGATTCACAAGGTATGCTATTATTCTCTCGAAGTATAACTTCTCGTATACAGGGTTGTTCACCACATACGACACGGAATATTGTAGCTAAACGATTAGATTTTTACAAATTGTAAGTTTTAGATTCGTTAAAGGACTATTAGAGCTACAATTTAAAAATATTTTTACAAGATACAGAGTGTCCCAAATAAATAAAAAATATCAAAGTTGTATTTTTTTAAATGGAATACCCTGTATATTATTACATTTTTAGTTTCTACGATTAAAATAAAGGTAAATTTGATTAAGATTTATTACACTTAAACCTTACCGATTTTGAAATATTTTCAATTTTGCGAAATTGCAGTATAAATTTTAAGGCTTCATTTCTCCGAGGATATCAAAGTTTTTAATACTAAATATTTACTGAAGTTTATTTATTGATCAGTTATTGTGTTGCAATAATAAAAATTATACTACCTTATACAGAGTGTCTAAAAATTTACTTTAAATAATTACTAGCTTTAAATGGCAATAACTTATTTAATTTAAATATAACACCCTGTATATTTTATGAGAATCAGATGCACAATTTAATTGTCTATCAAATTGTATTATACCACTTCTTACCTATTCCTTCAAGTTTTCGTAGAAAATGCATTTTCTTATAATTTAGACCTCATTTATCATTTAGACCTCATTTAGATTGTTTTTAAAACAACAAATGTACAAAATGTACAGGCTAGTAATATTGTTTTTAGTAAAACGATAATTTTACTAGCCCATTTGTATGCAAAAAGAAAGCTATTTAAATCTTTATAAAAGAGTATACCATTAATTAAATATACCACCAGTATTTCCGCCCAAATACTAATTAACTACATACTTAATTGTGTTCGTTAATAAATTATTCTAAATAAATGTGGATGTGAATCAGAAATCAATATAATTCTCTGTTGTTATAAATAAGCATTTGTCAAAAATTAAATATCATTTTTAAGGTGTTACTTTTTACCACACTGTCTAATACACATACATAATTCAGTTTTTTAGTATTTGGAGCAATTATTATTAATCAACGCAAACAGTCAATTAATGTAGTTTGAATACTGGAATCATATTAACTGGTCCTCTTTAACAAATATTTAAACAGTTTATTTTTGTTTTTTAATGAAATAAACGAACTATATCGACAATATTAGTATCTGTACTCTTTAAAAATTTGGTACATCTTTAAAAATAATCTAAAATGTCAGTATTCCATGGGTATGTTGATAAATGAGTTCTAAATTACAAGAAAATGCATTTTCTACGGAAACTTGAAGAGATAGGTAAAAAATGGTATAACACAATTTGATAGACAATTAAATTGTGCATCTGATTCTCATAAAATATACAGGGTGTTCCATTTAAATTAAACAAGTTATTGCCGTTTAAAGCTAGTAATTATTTAAAATAATTTTTTAGACACTCTGTATAAGGTAGTAAAGTTTTTATTATTGCAACACAATAGAATGTAGAATGTAGAATGTTTAGAAGGGGAGTTAATCACCGCGACCTTATAGATCTATTGTGTGTTCCCCTTTCTTGAGTTATAACGAGTTATAACTCATCATACAGTCTCAGGGTTTTAAGAAAAGCCAGTATCTGAGACGGCTCCACAGAGGCCAGCTCTCCATCCTCGACATCAGACGTGCCAAGGTTCATGGCACGAATGGTCGTCGTCTCGGCGCACTCAGTGATAAGGTGTTCTGGTGTTTCCCCATTTTCCCCACAAAATCTGCATTCGCCGTTGTTTCTCAGTTTCAGCCTACTGAGGTTTTCGTTGAGGAGACAGTGTCCTGTTAGAAACCTCGTGACAATCCGAAGATTGTTTTTACTTAAATCAAGGAAAACCTTCGATTTTTCTCGGTCATAAGTTCTAAGGAACTTTTTCGAGTATCTTAGACCATTGGAGGACACCCATTCCAAGTTACGGATGGAGTCTTCCAGATTCTTCATTTCCGCTTTCAGTTGGTTCCCGTTTGGAAAACAGAACGGTTCTGGTCCAGTTAGTGGAGTGATCGCTCCTTTTCTAGCTAGATCATTTGCTTTTTCATTGCCTTCTATCCCTTGGTGAGCAGGCACCCAGAGTAGGAGGACTTTATTTTCTTTGCCTAATTTGTTGAGCTTCTCTAGGCATTCTTTGACCAACTTCGAATTGATGGTTACTGAGTTGATCGCGTTAAGTGCTGCTTGACTATCGGATAGGATGGCAATTTCCTGTGCAACACAATAACTGATCAATAAATAAATTTCAGTAAATATTTAGTATTAAAAACTTTGATACCCTCGGAGAAATGAAGCCTTAAAATTTATACTGCAATTTCGCAAAATTGAAAATATTTCAAAAACGGTAAGGTTTAAGTGTAATAAACCTTAATCAAATTTACCTTTATTTTAATCGTAGAAACTAAAAATGTAATAATATACAGGGTGTTCCATTTAAAAAAATATAATTTTGATATTTTTTATTTATTTGGGACACTCTGTATCTTGTAAAAATATTTTTAAATTGTAGCTCTAATAATCCTTCAACGAACCCAAAACTTACAATTTGTAAAAATCTAGTCGTTTAGCTACAATACTCCGTGTCGTATGTGGTGAACAACCCTGTATAGATAAACAACTCAAAACAATTATCGTATATTTTCTAAAAAAAATATTAATTTGAAAAACAAGACACTTTGAATTCCCCGACTTACAATTATAAATAGTTTGGATACTTTGAAGGAAAATTCGATACAGTAAGCCTACGCGCTGACCTGTGATTTTTAGTTGGCCGACTATTTTGTTGCAAAAGTGAAAACAATACATACTTATACTTAAGTCAATCGGCCGACTATTTGATTCCATGTATGCGCGGCTCCATAAGGATATATTGGTTACAAATATGCAACTAAATATCGCTCGATTAAAAATAGCTTGTCACGCAATGTAATCAAATTTTGGACCGATCGGCTCCATAAGAATGTATTGTTTTCACTTTTGCAACTAAATAGTCGGCCGACTAAAAATGACATGTCAGTGCATACCCTAATTATCCTAAAAAATCTCACAAGAGAAAAGCAGAAAAATGCATGCTTCATTTAGAAATATGTAATAATTACTTTTATTCAAATATGGGATAATTGTTTTGAGTAGTGTATTTGCGTTACAAACGCTTGTAACAATCTTTAAAGTTTATTTTAAACATTTTATAAATATCGAATTCTACTATGGCCATTTCTAATTGCCGTTACTAGAAGGCCAAAAAAAATCGACGTAAATACTAAGAAAAGCAGCACATAATCGAATAAAAAGACTCAACAAAATTAGCACCACCAGAAATCCCATAAAACACACGAAAATGGGATACCCTGTACTGTAATTGACTATATTAATACTGTATTATATTTTTTTGATAGGCGCATGAATTTGCACTAATAAAAACAGTTTTTTGGCTCGCATTTTTTTGTTTATATCTTTGTATTGTCATATTCCTCGTTACTATTTCTTTATTTCTTTCTGTTTAGCCATCGAACAGGAGAAAGTCCAGACCAACCTCCTCTCGGGCATCGAAAATTTCGACAGTACCAAACTGAAACACGCCGAAACACAAGAGAAGAACCCACTGCCTACCAAGGAGACCATCGATCAGGAGAAGAGCGCTTGAAGTCAGTCCACACGCGACCTCTCTCTCTCTCTCAATTTTTTAAGTCGATTTTTGTAATTTTTTTACTTTTATATGATATCGAACTATTTATTACGTTAAGATAATATATCCAATGTGGCCAATTATCGAGTATCCTATAGAGTCCTAAGGGTTCTTGTTTATGACAAACTTTATTTTCGCGCTAAACTACCAACCAATGCCAATTTATAGAGAATAAGTTGAGAATTTTTGTCATAAACGCGGAAGCTGTGAGTAAAAGTCCTTCCACGAATAAGGCTTTTATATTATGTGTAGATTTTTGATTTTTTTATAATTAATAATATATTGTACTTATTTTTTGACATTGTCTACAATATAATATAGTGTCCAAAAGTTTATTTGCATAAAGTTATGGTGCTTTAATAAATTTGTCTATAAAGATTTTGCGTTTTATTTCGTCTAAAGTAACCTATATTACAGTATAAAAATATACAGGGTGATCAAAAAGTTCTGTTATGATCTAGCAGGCTTTGATCTATATCTAGAATATTTGAAGCGATTTATGTAATTTTTAGAGAAATATAAAAATATGTGTATTTTCTGACCGTCCCTGTATATTTATGAAGCTTGGTACATAGACGTAGAATCAAATATAATTGATATACCGGGTGCGTCTCGAAAGTTGCTCACCCCTATATCTTTTTTATTTTATCGGATTTGGGTATGTTAGTTTATGACATAAATTAGGATTGATTGACGTATTCAATTGTTTTTGGTCACTTCATGTTTCACCGGAAATGACTACAACTTTTGATTTTTAAATGGCAACCTCGGTATATTTCTATTTTATTCCATAGAAAGTGGCACTGAATAGAATGATATATCATATATGTCAACTTTTGAGATTTTCCCTTAAAAACAAATCAATTTTAAATTTCATTCTAGAGTGCCATGGCTATGTCAAAAACACTAATTTGTAATCAAGGAGCCTTGGAAGGTGTTTTGATCGTCTAATGTTTTTCTTGTCTTGTCCTGACTGGTCCAAGTCGTATTTTTAATTATATCTTAATTTTTTCAAATGGAACAAGGGTGGTTCATTAGCATATTTGGAAAAAGCATTTTTTTACGAATAATTTGGTACCTCATACTTGGTATTTCGAGTCAAATTGTCGTTATGAACCGCATGTTACAATTTCAAATAAACCATAATCGAAAATGTCGAAAGTTGACATATGACATATCATTATATTATTTTCTATCAAATAAAGTAGAAATATATCGACGGTGCCATTTAAAAATATTACGTCAACATATTTTTTTTCTATTAGGACATGCTGAAGAAATTCCACATAAATCTTTTTCAATAACTAACCACTTATTGCGTATTTTTTGGAACACCCTGTAGCATAGAAATGTACAGTGCGATAAAAAAGTGTTATTATGATCTAGTGGGTAGGCTTTGAGAATAGGTAATCTTTGCTTTGAGTAATATAACAGAGAACAATTTTTGCCAATTTTGCCAGCTTGGTTATAAAAATTTTGAATTGTTATCCGAAGATAACTGATTATACAGGGCGCACAAAAATTTAATTTGCAGTTATAATAGGATTATTAATATTTTTTTTTAATTTTTTATAATTAGCCAGGAAATAAAAATAAATTAAAATGTTGTCAATGGAGCTTTTTGAACCCCTTTTATACGACATATTCAATTAGCATTTTTTTGTTTGTTAAACGTTTAGCATTCTGTATGTTTAAAATTTAAAATCATCTATTAAGAAAAAATAAAGATCTTCACTTTGAAATGCGAATGTGTTGTATTACTAGTTGCATACTTAGTGTATATTTGGTTGTCTAACATATTTATCTGAAATTTCAGGTAAAATTTTTTATGCTATTTTTTTCAAACAAAAAATTTCTTTGGCGGCACATATAAAATAAACAATGAATTTTAGAAATATTTGTAATGGTAAATGGGCGGGTTAGCACGTGCAGGGACAGGAACAAAGGAATATTTCCCAGATAGATAAGTTTTCTAAAAGTATTAGAAAATTAAGGTAAATAATTTGAATTTTTTATTTTTAACAAAATAAAATATAGTTTGAAAACTTTTAGAACAGATCAGAACTTTAGTTGTACGTGGATTTTTGTTAATATATTTAAATTATATTAAGATAATGGCAGGAAAGCCATCGAAAAAGGGAAGAAACCCAGGAGTAGTGGATAATTGGTTGGATAATCTTGAGTTGTACAGAAAAAACGTCGCGTATGATGAAACATGTTTGTTTAGAGCTGTTAGTGAGCAGGTATTCAAACATTGAACGATATAATATCTTAAAATAAACTAGATTAACTTATTTTCTTTATATTTTCGTTCTGAAGTTATTTGAGTGCCAAATCTTCCATGAGCGCGTACGCAGAGAATGCATAGAGTATGGAAAGGACCATTTCAATCAGTTTATGCATTTGATAGACAATGAAGAAAAGTGGTATAATCATTTAAATTTGCTCGAAAATCATATGGTTATATGCGGAAATCTGGAGATTAATTTAATTAGTAGAAAGTACAAGTAAGTCGTACTTTTTATATGCATTTTTTTATTTTCAGAGTTACGCTAGAAACTACGAATTTTGAAAATTAATATTTTAGTCGAGATGTACTTATTTTTCATGCAAACAAACAGCAAATTTACGATGTGACCAAGCTTGGGTTACCATCTCCACCGTTAATGCTGTGTCTGATGGATAAAGATCATTACGATGCTGTTTATAGGAAAGAGCATATTGAAAATTCAGGATTTTGCCAATGTAAAAAAATATTACAGTTGTTAAACGTAAATTTTCGTTTTATTATTGATTCTTTTAGCAATGGTATATAAAACACTCTACGAGAATGTGTTTAAAATACCCAAAGTTGATGATATTGTAAAAGCAATGCTTTACGAGAAAACGCAGGTTATAAGTCAGTCAGAAATGGAAGAAAAAAGTTTATATACAGAGGGCTCGATTATGGAGGATTTGGAAAATACTATTGTGGCCCCTTTTCCCTTTAAAGTTGCCAAAGCCCTGGATCCTACTATATATCGAAATATAGAGTACGACTCTTGGGGTGAAATTAGGAGAGGTAATTTTTTTTTATTATTTTGAGTAAAATTTTTAAGGATGTTCTTTAGAGTTAAGACTTGGAGACTGGTATTACGGAGATGATAAATTAAAAATGGGCACTAGATGTTTACTGACTGACCGTCAAACTGGGGATTTACACGAGTGTTATATTCAGGACCTTTTGAAAAATCAAAATCAGTGTGTGGTGTATTTAACGAAAATCGCAGAAAAAAGAATTGTGAATTATTCAGATTTGTCACCTGAAAGTGATGCTAAACCATGGCCCTTACCATACAGGTAACTTAATATCTGATATTTATTACAATTGGGGGTTGGAACCTTTGGTGTTACACAGCAAAATAAAACACTAAATCACCACAATACACCAAAACACTGTTACTTTTACACTGGACGCGCGTTTCGCTAACCATGTTAGCATCATCAGCAGATGATTAAAAACTCAGTTCAGTCAAGTTTTTAATCATCTGCTGATATGATGCTAACATGGTTAGCGAAACGCGCGTCCAGTGTAAAAGTGTTTTGGTGTATTGTGGTGATTTAGTGTTTTATTTTGCTTAATATCTGATCTTTTAGAATAATTTTATTATTATAAAGTCAGTCTTTATACAATTTTGTGATACCTATACTTGTATTTTTTATTTTACTCGAATTTTAACTTAATTTTTGGTCATAGTAAAACTAAAAAAGGCGTTATAGTGGGTTTAGAAGTGACAGTGGACGATAATTCCTGTCATTGTCTAGAAACATTTTGTTTTTTCTAAATTAAATAATATTTTTTAACAAATTTTAATAGAGAACAACGGCATACGGTCGATTCGGCCGCTGCTGGCACGTATACGTACACGTAAAGAATCTTTTACGTGTATAAAGAATAAGAAATATCAGAAATGTGCATGCGTACGTAAACGTTTACGTGTTTGTAGGCCGACTCGACCGTATACCGTTGTTCTCTAATATCACATTTTATTAGATGATATAGAGGTCAGCCAGATATATAAATTATTATCTATTGTCATTTCAAAGGCTACTATGACACTGTTTTTTAATCGATGGTACGATAGGTATTTCCAAAAAAAACTAAAAGCCAAGATTGTTTTGTAGGTTTTCTAAAAATTTAGTTATAACTAATACGACCACCCAGTTAGCTCCCATGGATAAAGTTAAGAGTTTGAGAAAGAAAAATAAGGAGAAGAGACAGAGCAAGAGCTTGACTGATATAAAATGTTCGTGTGTCGATGGCGAGAGTTTGGAGGATGTGAGTGCTTTTGTAGGTCTTCCTTTGGTAAGAAAAGTAATTTTAAGATATTTTTTTGTGTATTAAATATTAAATACTTATAATTTAAATGAAATATAGTCTGTACAACGTACGAGATTATCCATGACAGTGACAGTTGTGTCTGTCATTTTATTTCGCAGGTAAATTGTTTTTTCTGTCATTTCTTGAATGACATCTGTTGAAATCTTTCTTGGCTCATTGGACAGACTTTCTTTGTAGTAATATCTGTCTTTTTTACTAGCTAAGTTATGTTTTGTAATAGAATTTTACTAATAAAAAAAACGTTAATATGCAAATATTTTGAAAACTATTGTATCTCACGGCAAATAATGTAATAGATATTTGTAACATTTTTATAAGCACCCTGTAAAATATTTAGTAAATTATTGTAAAAATAAAGCTAGAGCAAGGCGTTCTTTTAGACAATCAATACATTGATAAAAATATTGCACTGATGGTGAAAAATATTTATCATTTCTGCAAGTGTCCTTTTTGACATACCTAAAATTGAAAATAATTCAGAATTGGTTAAACTTAGATATACAGTATGTCCCCGGATTTTCTTTACAAGAGGAAAAACTTTTTTATTATTGACATTTTGTCAAGTAAAAAATATGACGTTAATTAAAATTTTAAAATTATCTCTATAACGGTATGGAAATTTGGAATAGTATAAACGGGATAAAACATTTTAGAACAAGCAAAATGTTTATGAAGAATGCATTTTTCTCAAAATGTCGGTAACAAAAAAGTTTTTCCTCTTTGAAAAGAGAATCCAGGGACATACTGTATAACATTATTCCAAAAATGGCGTTTAAATTTCATGAATAATTCAAAAATCAAAAAAAGATATAAGGTGTTCTATTTAAAACAAGGAAATTCGCAGAATTGAAAAATATTTAAAACCTTGAACAGATATTTGTGAACACCCGGTACATTATTTTTCAAAGAATTAGTTTGCAACGTATAAACAAATTAAGCACAAATAATTAACATTTTTAGCTGTTCCCATACTTAAAATAATTAAAAATAAATATTTAAATAATATCTTAGTTTTTCACAAAATTTTTAAGATATAATTTTAATTATTATTGATTTTTATTAAGCAAATGCAAATGGCTAACAACAACCATAATAATAATAATAATGATAATGAAACGACTAAGATAGAAGCATCAACTGACACCACTGAGTTGGTTTTGCCACAGACAGAAGGGTTACTCACACCAGTAACACCGGAAATAAACCAGTATCCACAAAGGTACTTACTTAATTCATTTGTATATAGTAGAAAATACAAACGATCGAAATAAAAACGGCGTCACAATGGTCTATTGAATGACGATTGATAATTTTTTCTGTTGAATCGACTCTTATACGTCAGTTATTAAATATTGACTAAAAAGTAGTGAAACATTGATAAAACTAATTTTTACAGGAAGTTTGAACTATACCATTACATTATACATACTTTTTTTACTTTTTCCTATAAAGTGAATAATATAAATGATCGAAAAAAACGGCGTCAAGTGACTTGGAAATGATGATCAATGACATTTAACATCATATATAGGGTATTTCTCGACACTTTTTAGCATTAAAATATTAACAATTATAGTTATTTTTACCCTCAAAATTTCATTCAAAACGCTAAAAGAACTTGAAAGAAAATTATAATAAATCGAAAAAATATTAAGACTAACACCCTGTAGCTACGAAACAAAGCAGAATCGGATCTATGTTGATATGAAAAATAAATCTTATTTTTACGTGAGGAATCTCCCCACGAGAGATGGCACATATTTTTTGAAACACCCTGTATAATTATATTTTAAACGACAGAGATCGTCATTTCCACGCCAAACCGACGCTGTTTTTTAGGTTGTATGTACAAATTGTTGATATTGAAAGTAGGTGTAGTTCAGTAGAAAATTGGCAATAATCGGCATTTCTATGCCAACTATGACGCCTTTATCTTCGATCATACAGTACCATCGAGATAAAAAACGTTGTCGTGTAATTTTTTTGTTACCTATCAATTAGTGACATACAGGGGTCACCCTGACAGTCTCTTGAAGAGCCACTTGGACACCGTTTTTTGCGATCATGCGGTATAATTTTTATTAAATCCCGGGTTTATTTAGGTACCACTGGGGTGAACCAGTACATTGGCCGGTACACCAAACCCAGTACATCCCACCGGATAATTCCTATTACTCGCCCACCGCAGATCCGTTTGTATGGCCCCAGAGTCCTCCTGCAGGTCCGTACTATGAGTACAAACCTATGGTGGCATCAGCACCGGTTACACCAAACGTGGTACCCTATCACGGTAGGTATTCTCTATATGAAACAAAAAAGTACCTAATATCAAAAATGAACCAGAACAGTGATTATTTTACTTTTTATTCCCTTTGTATTTGAGTTGTATTTTTATTAAATAGTTGAAAGAGTGTTTCTTATTTCTTTTTTATTGAAAATTGCACGTTTAAAACATACCGACAGCGGATAAATTTAACTATATTTTCATAATTATTGAGACAGTACCTTCTTAATATTGAGGCCATCGCCCTTCTCTGTGACGTCATAAAAGTATGAAATAGAAAACATTAGAACATACTGAACATACTAAATTTGTTGTAGATTTTCTTGCAGTGGCGAAATACCCATATAGGATTTTTTAAATTTGTTCAGTTGTTATAGTAGGAAATTTAATTAATTTTGAAAATCATACGGTTTCAGCGAATTATTAACCATATCTTACAGATACGAACTACCCGTTTTTCTTTAACTACCACGTGGAACAGTACCCCCTCCCTCCACAATCTCCATCCACACCGACAGCCAATCCTATCATGAACCGGATGGAGAATAGCGAGAGAACAGTTGAAACATCCCAAATGGTACAGACGCCGACTTTTTCCAGCGAGCACAACGTGCCTACTACGACGCCTTGCCTATCGCCGCTGGATTCGGTACCAAAAGTTAACTTGGCTTTCATGCCGCAACCTGCGCAGTCCATTGATCTTTACCATCCGATTATGCCGGTACCACCAGGTAATATACCAGCTTGGCCATTTTTTTTTTCGTAATATACAGGGTGGTCCGAACTGAATTTCGAAAACTTCGGCAGCATATTCTGCGGATAAAAATAAGAAAAAAGTTCGTATAAATGTATGTCCTAAAGTGCTTAGCGTAGTAGATACAGGGTGTAGAAATTTTATTTTTATTTCGTTTTTTTCCAAATAATTTTTGAAGTAACGTCAATATTTAGATGAAAATTGATGTCTGGTAGTTTTTTGACATGAGAAATTTTATTTCGATATCAATATGACTCCTATTTATAGGGGGCGTCACCTACATGTGTTATAACTGATTTGAAGAGTAATAACTTTTCGTCCCTACCGGTATAAAAAAACTCCCTACCAGAGTAAAAAATATACATTTCCGTGACTTTTTACGTAAAAAAAGCAACCGTTCTGAAGATATTTAGAGTAGAAATAGTTAATACCAGTCATTATTAACAAAAGATAAATACATGAGTAGATAGTTATTTCGACTGAAATAATAAATTTGGGAAATTTTTATTTTTTAAAATTAATCATAAATTTTTCTGCGAAAAAATGTTAAAATAGTTTCTGTTGAACTTTTAGCACAAAAACATTTCAAATTTATGATTTCAGTCTAGTAACTATTTAGTCAACATGTTTAATTTATGTCAATGAGTACTGGTATTGATAATTTCGATTCCAAATAGCTCAAGAACCATTACTCTTAGCGATTTATACCAAGAGACCTTTTTTACGAAAAAAAAAGTCGTAAATGTATATTTTTTACTCAGTAGTTTTATACAGGCACGGACGAAAAGTTATTACTCTTTAAACCAGTTAAAAAATATATAGGTGGTGCCCCCTACAAGTAGTCAAGCCACATTGACATTGAAATCAAATTTCTCATGTTAAAAAACCGCAGATACTAATTTTCATCTAAATACTGAATAGTTCAGAAATTATTAGGCAAAAATCGAAATAAAAATGAAACTTCTACACCCTGTATCTCCAAAACTAAGCATTTTCGGACATAATTTTATACCAGCTTTTTTTACTTATTTTTATGTGCAGAATATGCTGCCGAAGTTTCCGGAATACAGTTTGGGCCACCCTGTATATTAAGCCCCTCATACACTTCGGTTATTTTGCCCTGTATTAACCGAACGGGCAGAACAAGTTAGAAACGTTAATGTATGAGTGCACGACGTCACGAGGTATGAGAATACAATAAATTTAAAAACTACGGAAGTTTCTAACCAATTATAGTTTTCAATTAAATTCAGCCAATAAAATTAATATCGGATTATCGTATCATCAGATATCTGATGCACGAAAATCCGCCTTGTCTTTGAATAATAAGTATCAATAGATGTATATTTACAGGTACGCCCATAATATATACGCCAATACCAACCGAAGCCGACGTGATGGTAAACACGCCCAACGTAAACCCATTCACCCCTACCACACCGGTAGAAATGCAGTACATCTCACCCCAAGGGTACGTCTACCCTTCAGCTCAGACCCTGCCCAGCATTCCCGTGTATACACATGCAGGGTACCCTTATAACCCCCAAGGGTTCGTGTTTCCTCAGCCTAACCAGGCGAAATAAGACTACATAACCTCAAAGCAACAAAATACCTCCAAAATATTTGTGACGTTCGAATTTGTTTTTAGTTTTTCGTGTTTATTATTTTTCGTTACCAGAGATAAATTATTTAGTTTTTTTTTTATATAAAGATATTTTAATAATAGTGTTATAATATATTACAAGATATATTTTTTTAAGTGCGCTGTTTGTTAAAAAAATTGTATTTGTTAAGAATTTTTGTTAAAAATATTTGTGATCGAATTTGTTTTTAGTTTTTTTCATGTTTTTTTTATCAGAGAAATAATTTAGTTGTTTTGATATATAAAGATATCAAATAATAGTGTTAATATATCACAATTAAACAATTAATTATAAGATATATTTTTTAAGTGCTTTTTGTTAAAAGATAGTATTATTTGTTAAGAGTTAAATTTTTCTCTATTTTTATATAGTTTTTGCGAGAATTCAGTGTTATTAGTTTATGTTGTTTATTACTGTAGTAAGAAGAGTAATTACTTGTTGTTTTATTTAAAAAGTAATAAACATTTTCCTAAGAAATATGATTTTTTACACCATTGGAGAATACCGTTGAATAACCCTTGTAGAAAGCCATTGAATACGGCTTTTAAAAATCTTCCAAAAAAACGTCAAAAAAATAAGTTTTTTTGAAAGCCAATTTCTGTGGCCAATTTTCAAAAGCTATCACAACATTAATTTATAACCGGGTGTGTTTCAAAAGCGGCTCACCCCTATAACTTTTATTTTTTCAGATAAAAAAACGATATTTGGTATGTTAGTATATGACATAAATTAGGATTGATTGACGTATTCAATTGTTTTTGGTCACTTCCTCTTTCACCGGAAATGACTACAACTTTTGATTTGTAAATGGCACCCTTGGTATTTTTTTACTTTATCTGATAGAAAATGACATTCTGAATAGAATGACGTATCATATGTCAACTTTTGACATTTTCGCTTGACTGATATGTGTTATACCTCGATACTAGTTTTGTTCCTTTTGTTAACATTTTAATACTTTTTTTTATAATTAATTAGTATGATACCGCCGCATACACCATAGGCGTAGTCAAAACATTTATCAAAAATATAAATATCTCTTCAAGCAGCTAAGTTGAGAAAAATATGTGGCCACGGCACTGTTTGGAGTCACGGTAACAATTTGGTCTCGGGTGTTATATGGCCTTGTATTCTTTAGACATTGTATAAAACTAACTTCTTGACAACTCTTCTGGTTGACATTTTTGATATTTTGTCAATTAACCGTACTTTTTGAATATATAAAGGGATTTTTTATTTACTGTCATACAGTTGTAACATGATTTACCTCTATTTTTTTTGTTATTGGGCATATGCTGAATTTTTTTCATACCTAATTATTTTTCTTTTACCCTTGTATATTTTTTGTACAGATAAAGGGTACCCGTGAAAAACAATACTATAATTATTTTTTTGACGGTTTATTTATAAATCATATATTTCAAATATAAATAAAAAACAGTTTATATTGAAAAAGATTAAATTTAATAATGAACGCGTGTAATGATGAAAAAATTATTGAGGATTAATAAATCCTAGTACTTAATGAAGAACAGTTTTGAGTGTTAGGTAAATTAAAGCATTAAAAATATTAATTTAACAGGTTCCATTTTAATACTATGATTCAGGAACCTGTATAAAATTACTGAAGTTTTACAACCATAGATTGCATATGCTTTCCTGTATTAAAAGGATTAAAAAATTAATACGTTAAAATTTAGTTCTTTAAATCCGTAAAAAAACTGTATTAATTTAACGATGACGTCACGTTGAACGACCGTTGTATAAACTATATGTAGATATAGCTTTATCCAAGAAAGTATATACAGTCCAGGTTTATAATAGCTAATACAAAAAAACGATGAAATGACCTGCATTTTTAGGACTCGTCGTCGCTACCCTTCGGTGCTCTCGGTTTAGGGCCGCCGGCCCTCTTCGCCATGATGATTTGGTCCACTCTCAACACAGTGGCGGCGGCATTTACGGCGTACTTAAGGCCCCAGTACTTCGCTTGGTACAGGTCGAGAATTTTCTTTTCGACCGCGTCGCAAACGGAGTTCTCCGATTCGATATCGACGCCTATGTTTTTCTGGCCGTTCTGTAAGGAAAAATATTGAAATTATAGGTAATTTCAAGTGTCATTAAACTATACTCTGATTCACGAACGATGACGATTGCGATATAAACCGATATCACGTGTGAATCACAAGAGTGACTGTTGGTACAAAACCATGTGATTTTTGATAAATGAAAAGACGGTTAAAGATTGACCTCACCAAAATTATCGATTTCCAAAGGAAAGGTCATCCGTCTTCGACGCGGTTTCCTTCGATCATACGGTACTTTCTGAAGTCTGTTGGATTAGAATGTGACTCTTAATTTCGGCACTGTCTTTGTCGGTGTCGGCTGGGCAAGAGACTTAGGAGTCTCAGTACTTTCAATCAGGGTTGGCATGATTTAGATCGTGATTTAAATCAAGTGATTTTTTTAACTTTAATCATGTGATTTAAATAAAAAAATCAACTTTTTTAAAACTTTACAATAAATCGCAAAATAACTGCAAAAGATTTTGATACAAATTCTTATTTAGGCCAAAGAAAAACCGCTACTGACAGAAATTTAAAAGAAAAATCGCTACAATTGGTCATATTTAGTGATGAGTCTAAATTTGATGTTTGCGTTGGAGATCATCGAAAACGAATAATACGAAATAAAGCAGAAGCCTTTCATAAAGATTGCTTAAAGAAGGTTGTTAAATTTCCTAAGGGGATTATGGTTTGGGGTTGCATGTCAGCAAGAGGTTTGGGCAAATTAAATTTTATAGATGGCACTGTTATCGCCCAAAAATATCAACATATACTTGAGACCTCACTTTTGCTAGTGCTCAGGAATTGTTTCCAAACGAAGACTGTACTTTCCAACAAGATGGAGCATCGTGCCATCCAGCAAAATCAACTAAAAATTGGTTCGGTAATAATAATATAAAAGTTTTATCCCATCCTGCAACTAGTCCGGACCTCAATGTTATAGAAACTGTGTGGCATAAAATGAAGCAATATTTAAGAAATCACCCTCAATGAACAATTTTTGATTTGCGGACAAATCTGCAGGAAATTTGAGATAATTTTTCTCCTCAAATGTGCCAATCTTTGGTAAATACAATGCCATTAAGAGTTCAGGCAGTTGTTAAGGCGAAAGGTGATGTAACTCCGTATAAAACAATTTTTTTGTTGTGCTGTCCCAATATATAGTTGTCAGCAAAATTTGGCTTGATTTTGGCAAAATAAGCTATTATCAAAAGTGATTTGTTTGCAAAGTTATAAAAATATAGTAAAATTGTCTAGATCATATTGTGATGTTTGAATTTAGAATAATAAACAAAATAAATTGAGTCGTTTTAACAAATTACTATATTTATTGCAAAAACAGACCTTGTCCCAACATATAGTTGTTAGGGCTCGTATTCGTTAAATAAAATGTTACAGTTGCTATTGTAACGTTTAAATATGTTTAATAAATCGAAAAAAATTGTAAATGTTATAATAGTTCTAGTAAATGTTATAGTAGTTCTTCCGCCTATATTATGCATATAATTTAATTCCGAACACCTGGCAACATTGCACCACAGTAGTAGTAATAACTTTGGTAATAATAATAATGAATTAATGACCCTGGTAAATCCTCTAATCGTCTTCGCGACACAGCGGCCGTTTCCGAGCATCCCGAGTTTCTTTATTATTCGGTATTTCCCAGAACACGCATTTTTCGTTCACTAAACTCTGGGCTTGTTTTGGGATTGAATTTGTCTAATCCTGCTAGGGTGTTTATTTTTAAATCCGTGTTGTGTTTAAACTAAATTAAAATGGCTTCAAAGAAAAGTATTTATTGGAAAATATTTCGAGAAGAATAAATTATCTGTGACAGCTAAGACTTCGACGGTTAAGTGCCAAATATGTGTTTTATTTATTCGTTACTGTTTATCTTTTTGTCTTATTTTAAGGAAATCGTCCGGTTTGTGTTCCTATACATTCCTATACTAAAGCTTTTTTTAGACAGATTTAAGGGAAATTTGTTTTTTTCAAATTTTCTGTTTTAGTTTATTTTTCTGTTTATTATTTTAAAGAATCCGTTTCAGTTTGTATTCATATATGTTTAATAAAGTTGTTCCTAAAAAAATCAAGTTCAGTTAATTTTTTTCGTGAATAATCAATAAAATAAAATATCGGCTGATATGCATTTGTATATCGGCCGATACCGATAATCGGCATGATGGCCGATATGGCCGATATTTTCATATCGGTATCGGTATCGGTCGATCACTAGTTGTAATCATGTTTAAACGCACGTGTCATGTACAACGTTTTATCTACAACCGAAAAATAAGAAAATGCTGTTTTAATTTTCGTTTATTAGTCGCCCACCTTTAACACCTTTAATTATGACATTTGTTACATTTTTTTCTGAAAAGTCAGTTTGCCCTGTCAAGTAAACGCGAGTACTTTTTGCCCAGAAAAATCATTTTAAAACGATGGGCGATTCCGAAAGTCTCCCTTCAGATGTAGAATCGTTATGCCGAAAAAGTTAATATCTTTAGATGTTCGTAGTTATTTTTCATTATTATAAAAACTAGTTGTGTTATAGATTCATAACAGCACCAGTTGTGTTATGAATCTCATAACGTAACTGAAATACTAAAAACATAGTGATGTAAAAACGTTATAACTAAACGGTTGTAGATAAAACTATATAAAAAATGATTTGTATAACACATATACCTACTATATATGTCTATTCATCAGTTAAAATGTTGGACCGATTTTTGAAGTAATTTCGTGTGAATCCATTCTGACTTCTAAAGGGCGGGGATTTATTTTGAAATTTATGTACAAGTGACAAAAAAAAGCTGTTCGAATAAATTTCATTCGCAACCTCTAGTGCAGCAAAAAGGTTCTTTTGATGTTAGACTATATCTTCAAATCGTTGTCAGAAAATATGCTGTTTTATATCTTTTTATTTTACACTTTGACAATATAATAATAATTTCATTCTCGACTTAAGACTATTTCCGAACAATAGTGTATTGTGTAAGGAGTAAAAATTATACTTTTTTTGATGAGGTTGTACGTCTGACGGACTAGCGTAAACAGGGAGGCAGAATAGTACATTTTTACTCCGATTAGAATATACTATATTTTTACAAATTAAACATTACAAATAATTTTTTAATCAATTTCAAACGTTGCAAATAATATAAAAAGTAATGTAATCGAGTAACAATTTGTACACTCCTTGAAATTGACGCTTAATATCAGTTTAATAATATATTTTTGTATACTTGTGTGCTTAGGCGTAAAAGTACCTTGGGCGTTGAAATGACAAAAATTAATACTCTTGTGGCATTTCAAAAAAAATCCTTTTGATCTGAAGCTAGCGACTTTTTTTGCAGAATATATTGGTGACCGATGTCTGGGAAAATGACACGCCCCGTAGAATTCTTAATGTTGTCAGTATTGGGCAGAGTTATGAAGATTTAGCCATTTAGGATAGGAATTTAATTGGAATTAAGTCCTAATTATATTTGGAAATCCGATTTAAATAATGTTTTCTGTTAAAACAAAAAAAATCTGATTTAAATAAAAAAAAAGATTTTTTTGACTTTTTTAAAAAAATCAAGATTTTTTCCAACCCTGCTTTTAATTGACTTCGGAAATACTATACTAGAGTTTTTTTTTAATTAAATAGTCGAACGAGTATTTCTTTTCTTATTGAAAAAAACCTTTACCCATTGACATGTTTAAAACAGGTAATGGTGTTTTAAACACGTTTAAAACAATTGTTTTAAACAAAATTCTTGAAACATAATGAAACAAATCTTACCTGATGAGCCTCCAGAACTTTTTCCAAAACTATTTGAGATTTTAGACCGCTGTTGTCGGCCAGTGCTTTAGCGAACGTTTCTAAGGCTGTGGCGAATTTTCGGACAGCATACTGTTCTAAACCAGGTAAAGTATCGGCATATTTCAGTAGCTGGACAGCTAATTCCGCTTCTGTTGCTCCCGCTCCTGGTACAAACCTTGGATCCCTTGACAGACCCTTAAAAAATCATATATTTATTATCAAACAATTCGTTGTACTATACAATCATGAAAAAAGGTGTCACAGAGAATTTCGCAATAATTATACAGTGTGGACCGAACAGTACTCCGGAAACTTCGGCAGGATATTCTGCAGATAACAATAAGTTAAAAAGTTCATATAAAAGTATATCCTAAAATGCCTAGTTTCGGAGATACAGGGTGTAGAAGTTTCATTTTATATAGATTTTTTCCAAATAATTTTTCAACTGTACATTTTTTCTCTCAGTAATTTTATAGAGGTACAGACGAAAAGTTATTACTCTTCAAATCAGATAAAACACATGTAGGTGGCGCCCCTACAAATAAGAGTCATATTGACATCAAAATCAAATTTCTCATGTCAAAAAACTCTTGGACATCAATTTTCATCCAAATATTGACGTTACCTACTTTAGAAATTATTTGGAAAAAAAACACTACACCCTGTATTCCCAAAAATAAGCATTTTAGGGCACACCTTTATACAAAGTTTTTTACTTATTTTTATCTGCAGAAAATGCTGCCGAAGTCTGCGGAATACAGTTCGGACCACTCTGTATATTAGGGTGCACAAAAAAAATATATTTTTTAATTTCGTTACCGTAAAAATATCGTTCATCATCTGCTGTTGATGCTAACATCGTTAGGGAAACGCGCGTTCAGTGCAAAAGTAAAGGGTTTTGGTGTATTATTGTTGTGAATTAGGTAGTGTTTTATTTTGCTGATAACTCATTCTATTCTGTATAATCTACATGTTGAAGTCTTGCATTTTTTCAAAAATAATTTTATCCCCGCGAATATCGGTAGCAAAACTTGTCATCAAAATTACCAAAAATGGATAAGACAAGTTTTGATACTCATTTGAATAATAATAACAACCTTTATTGATAATAAAAAAATATAAATTTTCATAGATAAGTAAAAAAAATCAGTTAATAAGAAATGCACTTAATGTATTTGGAATAAGAACTACAATTACAATTAGTGACACAATATAAAAAAAATATATCTATACCGGGTGCGTCTCAAAAGTGGCTCACCACTATATCTTTTATATTTTTTTATAGATAAAAAAACGAGATTTGGTATGTTAGTAAGTATATGACATAAATTAGAATTGTCTACAACTTTTGATTTTTAAATGATACCCTTGATTTTTTTTTTCACTTTATTCAATAGAAAATGACACTCTGAATAGAATGACATATCAGATGTCAATTTTTGACATTTTCACATATGGTTTATTTGAAATTGTAACATGCGGTTCATAACGACAATTTGACTCGAAATACCAGCCATGGCACTCTAGATTGAAATTTAAAATACGATTTTTTTTAAAGCGAAAATGTCAAAAGCTGGCGTATATGTCATTTTCTATTGAATAAAGTAGAACAATACCGAGGGTGCCATTAAAAAATCAAAACTTGTAGTCACTTCTGGTGAAACAGAAAGTGACCAAAAACAACTGAATACGTCAATCAATCCTAATTTGTTATATATTAACATACCAAATCTTGTTTTTTTATCTGAGAAAATAAAAAGTTATAGGGGTGAGCCGCTTTTGAGACAAACCCGGTAATATATATTGTGTTTAAAATTGAAGTGAAAAATTGCTGATAAAACTACAAATTGTATATGACACTTCTCATTTGACCACGACTATTTTTTTTACTTATTTTTTTTTACTAGTCGTGGCAACATTGCGACGTGCATTTACCAAATACTTTGACGATGTGCACGTCAACCTTAATTGAAACTCGCATAACTAACCTTGAATGTATTAACACCATCATCTACAGCCCTTTCAATATCATCCATGTAATTATCCGTAGCTCCTCTTATAAGAACGGTAGAAATGCGAGACTCCTTGCTCTCCTGTCTGAACGCTACGATAGGAGTGTCGCCCAGTTCTTCGACGCAAACCACATCGCAATAACCTAATTCTTGAGGCGTGGGTGCGGTCAGACGCGGCAACACTGTAGCGTTGACGGTTTTGCTCAACCTTCTCAAATCGAATTTAGAATTTAATCTCACAGCCATCAGGTTGTATTTGTGAATGTAGTGAAGGGCCATATCTCCATATTTGGCTCCTGCAACAATAACTTTAGCTCCACTGTCTGCTATAGCTTTAATTTGTAGTTCCAGCAAGTTCTCTTCTCCACGGCTGAAGTTCATTAATTCATCTGCTGATTTTATAAGTACTGTGCCTGTAGTAAGAAAAAAAAATATTATAAGACAATTTTTATATTTTCAATATTCAGCTGTATTCAAACAATATCAACTTTTGCATTATATATTATTTGCATTGCATATTTTTTTTTCTCTACGGTAATTTGCAAAACGTTATTTTAACTTTATTAAGTTTGCATGCTCGGGTTAAGTAGCTATTGCAGCTAGACTGCAATAGCTACTCAACTTACCAGACTTGCAAATTTGTTAACATTACATGTATTTTTCTTTTGGGTAATAAAGACAATTTATTAATATGATTATTATTTGGTTGAGAATATTGTACAGGGCAGAACCAATAGAGGAATTCATGCCATACCTTTAGTTTCAGTTTGCAAAATATCAACTGGACAACTATACACTGCAATTTTAGCTTGCTCTGCTCTAGTAATTTCTCCTTCAACTTGTCTCTTAAACACCATTCCTTGCACTACCTAGAAGGCTAACATTAGAACTATTTTCTATGAATAAAATTGAATAAAACTTACCCTGGAACTCAGTAAGCCAGATCCTAGAACTTTACAGACTCTTACATTATCAACATTAAAAGTGGTCTGTTCTGGAAGGATAGAAATACATGCTTTTGCAACTAATTCAGCCAGAAAATCTTCATTTCCGTACTGTTTAGACTGAATTGAAGACTTAATAGTTTCTCTAACTTCCTCAATGTCTCTGTTATCTTTGACTTTGTAGCACACTAAAGAAGGAAGGATTTCTAGGCATTTATCTAAAGCCTTTTCATATCCATCAGCAACTTCAGTGGGCGTTACACCAAGACGTATAAGTTCCTCTGAACATTCTAAAAAACAATTCTGTTAAATCTGATCTATTAAGAGAACTAGAATTTATTTACCTAACAAAGCACCGGCTAGGATAATGACAAAATTTGTACCATCTCCAACTTCAGCATCTTGCATTTCACTACCTAAAATCATTAACTTTGCTGCTGGATGTTCAATGTCCAGTTCTCTTATAATAGTTGCTGCATCACTAGTGACAAACTGTTTTTCGATGTGATTAATAACCATTTTATTCATGCCATTGGGCCCGTACGCGGATTTAACTGAATTTGCGAATTCCTTACAGGCTTTGATATTACGAATAACGGCTTCCTCGAGACCGGAGAAATACTGAAATTAAGTAATTAAACATTTTACAGTCATATTGCTCATTGCCTCCTTCCACAAACAAGGAACACATGTGACTTTAATCTTAAAGTTTAAATTAAATAGCTTACTCTGGCTCCTTCTTTCATCATCTGGGAAAAACCCGGGGCTTTAGGTACGTGTAAGGCCATTTTTGATAATAATTAGTTTGATTAACTATTAATAAAATTAATATTTTATTTTCTAGATAGAAAAAGCCGCACCACGTTTATTTTGACAATTGACAGCCTGTTCTTCTTTTTTATTTCAGTGGTGTCAAGATCGGAAGATTTACCACTGGCCTGGGAGGAACGGATGAACTTTTACCATCAACGTGATGTGTAGAAGTAGAAAATATGGTACCTAACCTATAAATTTGTGTTTTTTGTGTTTTTGTTTTTGTCATGTAATTTCATTATATAATTTTAGGATTTATAAATATAAATAAGTTAATGAACTAAATAATAAAACTTCCAGTATTATGAGCTCTTTAAAATGGATATGTATCTTTAATTCTGGTCATAATATTTCACAGCATTGACAACTAGCACAGGCAATAAATATCTTTCAAAATAAAAATTAAAACAGTTAAAATTATATAAATGAACAATATTTAGGTAACTAAATCATTGTAGATTACGTTAACCAACTAATGCTAATAGTTTACAGTAGTAGGGAGTAGTGTCATACTTGTATTTTGAATTAAATAAGGAGAAACTTGGTATGTAAATAGAAAGTAGCACATTCCTTCAAACACAGGTACTGGTACATATTATATGTTTTAGATACCATGAATAATACACGTAAGTAGGTCTGTGATTTATTGATATTTTATAGTTTAATTTTAGAATAACTAAAGTGGCAATATATACATATATTTTTTGTAGTTATAGACAGTGTAACTTGTTGAGTTTTGAATTTTATTCAGTCAATAGAAGATATGTCTAAAATTAGACCCTTTGTAAAGTATTCCTTGATTGGAGGAGCAGTTGTTAGTACTGCTTTAAGCTTAAGAGCAAATCAGTATGAACTGGATTCCATAGGAGCAGTACGGTTAAGCAGAGCAGCCTTTACCGTATTTCAAATTGGTGTTATTTATAAGAAGGATTTATATGGAAAAAGACTGGATAAATCCTCTCCTGAATACAAGGAGTTGAAAGTGTGTATACCTATAGTATTTGTTTAAGAATAAAATTTAAAAATGTATGTTTTAATATTTTAGTCTGTATGCCATAAACGGTCCGCAGAGAAACTGTTGGACCTGTGTTGTGAGAACAAGGGTGTTTATATTAAAGTTGGACAGCACATAGCAGCTCTGGATTATTTATTACCTTCTGAGTATGTACAAACGATGAAAGTGTTGCATAGTCAGGCCCCTAGTACAGAGTTAAAAGACATTTACAAAGTATTGAAAGAGGATTTTAAGAAAGATGTAAGTTACAGCTAGTTTTATATGTATTATCCTACTTTTGTCGTTAATGCCCATATTTGTAATATATTTGTACTTGCCAGATATTAAAATTCTTGACTTAATTTGTTTGTGTGTTGAAAATCTGAAAACATTGTTTTAAAAAATATGTTTGTTTCACGCTGTATTTAGTTTATAAATTGTTTTAAAAATGTGAGTTACTGTTGTCTCCATCTTTTACAAAAAAAGTTAGAGTAAAATCCCCTGTATTATATAGGGTGTGACAAAAAGTTTGCAAAAAATGGTATTTTTTTTATTATGAACAGTAAAGAAAAATATGGTATTAGTGATTATTCCTGTTGGATTTACTTTGTTTTGTGTAATTTTAACGATAAAATACTATATTTTGAATTACTAGAATATCCATACAAATTCATATTTTTTAAAACTGTATAGTATCTTTATGAAGCTTGGTATAATACAAATACAGGGTGTTTCAAAAAACATGTGCCATCTTTCGTGGGGAAATACCTCACATAAAATAAGATTTATTTTTTATATCAACATAGGTCCGATTCCGCTTTGTTTCGTAGTTACAGGGTGTTAATAATCTTTCGATTTATTATGATTTTCTTCGAAGTACTTTTAGTGATTCGAATGAAATTTTGAGGGTAAAAGTTACTATAAGTGCTACATATTTTAATGCTAAAAAAGTGTCGATAAATTAATCAGGGACGTGCATACGGGTTGTCAATGGAATATTCTTCAAAAAAAGCATGTGCGCCACTGACTTTTTTTCTTTTGATATCAAAATTGTGTAGGCCGTTTAATGCCAATTAAAAGTTATCTCTTGATATTTTGTCGAATTTGGCTTCCTTGATGAAATAAACGCAATTTTATATAAATAGAATTAATAAATTAGGTGTATAATATTTTACCTACTTTATAACTTTTACCCTCAAAATTTCATTCCAAACTTTGAGGACATGGACCTGTGTTGATATGAAAAATAAATCTTATTTTTACGTTGGAAATCTCCCCACGAGAGATGGCACATGTTTCTTGAATGTTTCTGTATATAAAATATTTTAGCCATTGGAAATATTCGAATCAATTGACCCGGAACCACTCGGTACAGCATCCCTTGCCCAAGTGCACAAAGCCGTACTCAAAGATGGCGCCACCGTGGCAGTGAAGGTACGATTATTTTTCCTTAATCTGTAGAATTATAAAAGTTATTGAAATAGGTGCAACATCCTTATGTGCAAGGTAATTCTAGAGTTGACATGAAAACGATGGAGTACCTGGTTAAACTAATGAGTTGGGTATTCCCCGAATTCAAATTCCAATGGCTGGTCGACGAGTCGAAAAAGAACATTCCCCAAGAGTTAAACTTCGCTCAGGAGGGTAAAAATGCCGAGAAGATCGCTCAGATGTTTGAAAATGTCGACTGGTTGAAAGTGCCGAAAGTTAGGTTTGTAGAAAATATATAGTTCTTCTCGTGTTATTTTTCCTTATTTTGACATTTGACATCGTGTATAGTAACGCTATGTCTGTTGATATAAATTTTTTGAGGTTACATCGTTACCTAAACAAAGTCACTAGATAATATATAGAGTATAGAGTACCCATGATACAAAGAAAACAAGGTATTGTTAAGGTGTATGTGGCGCTAAACTGTATTGCTGGTTGCCGACATAACCGAAACGTGCATTGAGGAACCTGGCGCATTCGCCAGAAAGTAAAAGAATATTACAGAATTCTTTAGAACGTTCCAGAAACACCCGCCAGAGAGTATACAAAGCCCGCGCTTGGCAGTTGGACCAGTTTGAAGTTTGAATATACCGCGTTTAAATTATTACGAATCGGACAATTTGGCGAAGGAATTTTATAAGTAGTAAATTGTGTGTTATTAGTATAAATTGTGAGAAAAATAAATTAGTTAAGTATTTTATCGTGAGTTTAAATTAGTGGACCGACGGAATCCCAGTTAGTACAGTTCATACAAAAATATTCATATTGTTCAATTGCCATATTTGCCACTAATAAAGAAGACTTCAAGTTAACGTCTCCTTTTTGCTGCCAGGGCTAATCTGGACGGGGCCTACTTTGTTTACGCGGAATCCGAACAGCGGTCCTCGGCCATATCATGGTCAATGGCCTACCGACTTGGTAAGTGTCTAAATCGACTCTTACTCACGAGATATCCGATCTCATCCGGCCTCGACGAACCGGGCGGCGCGGCGTGCGTGTCAATAGATTTTACACTTTTGCCTTGGACAACAGCACGATACAGAGTTTCGAACCGGTCACCCGTCCATCAGCCAGTATCGCCTTACGTCGCTTAACTTCGGTGTTCTAATGGGAACCGGTGTTTCGACGTAGCTGGGCCGTTGCCCTAAAAAAAAAAGACTTAAAATAGGGAAGAATTACGTTATGTCAAATCATTGAGCTTGACATTTGAAAAGTCATTTTCACAGTTATTATGTGTCATTTGACGATTTGAAATTGGCGCTGGGAGATTACCGGTGATTACCGAGAAAAGTTTACACGGAAAAGTTACGCGAGAAGAACTACTATATATCATGAACTTAATAAATATTTTTTTGTATTAACATTTATTAATTTTTATTTTTAGATGGGATATGACAACGCCTAGAGTATTAACAATGGAATTTGTAGAGGGCGGTCAAGTGAACGATCTAAAGTACATTAACGAGCATAAAATAGATCCTTATGAGATATCAAATAAATTAGGAAAATTATATTCAGAAATGATTTTCATCCGTGGATTCGTTCACAGTGATCCGCATCCAGGGAACATTTTAGTTAGGAAGAACGAAAAAGGATCCTGTGATATTATCTTGCTGGATCACGGTTTATATGCTGTAAGTATATGTTCGAAAAAAAAACGATGTCACGGTAGCCTTTGAAATTGATCACTAAAAAGGAACATTTTTATAGACTCATTATATTATATTGTCATATCAAAGGCTACCGTGATGCTGTTTTTTTATTTTCTTTTCGGATCAAACGGTATTTTTTTGAATTATTTGATATTACACATTGAAAAACGAATTTGGAGTGAATTATGTATAACAGTCGAAAAAAAAACGATGTCATGATGGCCTTTGAAATTGATCTTTAAAAAGGAAAAAGTTTACAGACACGTTTTGTCTGGAAAATTTTAATTCTTTAATGTCATATCAAAGGCCACCGTCATGCTTTTTTTCGATCAAACGGTATTTTTTTAATTGTTTCATTTTAGACTTTGAATAAACGAATTTAGAGTGAATTATGTATAATATTATTTAAAAAAAATGATGTCACACTTTGAAATTGAGCTCTATATGCTATCTATTAAACATTGACGAATAAATTTTTCAGCAATTAATCTTGAAAGGGAAAAAAAGAAAAGAAGTTTACAAACACGTTTTTCCTGGACAATTTTAATTTTTTCCTTAATAATTATCATATCATAGGCTACTGTGACGCCGTTTTTTATTAAATGGTATTTTTTGAATTGTTTTATTTCAGACATCGGAAAACGAATTTAGAGTGAATTAAATATAATATTAAAAAAACGGTGTCAAGGTGGCCTTTGATCTGTACATGCTATCTGTTAAAAATTGACATATTTATAAACTTGTCAAAAATTAATCTTGAAGGTGACAAAAAGGAAAAAGTTTAGAGATACCTTTTGCCTGAAAAATTAAAAAAAAATCTATGTAATTGTCATATCAGGGATTACTGTGACGCGTTTTTTATTCTTTTTTTTTTAATTTTTTAATTTTTTTCTTCTTTCTTGATTTTGAAAAACGAATTTAGAGTGAATTATACTTTCTAAAAAAAACGATGTCACGGTGCTTTTTGAAACTGATCTTATATACTATCTATTAAAAATTGACAAATTGCTCAAAAATTATTCTTCAAAGGGAAAAACTAAACAGTTTAAAGACATGTTTTTCCTGGATTTTTTTCCAAGTAATTGTCACATCAAAGTCTCACTGTGACGGCGTTTTTTCGTTTTTGATCCGATTAAACGGTATTTTTTTGATTTGTTTAATTTTAAACATTAAAAAACGAATTTAGAGTTACTTATGTACTATAATACATTCGACAAAAAACAATGTTACAGTGGACTTTGAAATTTATCTCTTTGTACTATCTATTAAAGATTTGCATATAAATTTGTCAAAAATTAATCCAGAAATGAAAAAAAAAATTAAAGCTTTTACAGATACGGTTTTACCTTTTTTGAAAACTTTATTTTTTTCTAAATAATTGTCATATCAAAGGCTACCATGACGCTGTTTTTTCATTTTTTCGATCAAGCGTTATTTTTTGAATTGTTTGATTTTAGACATTGAAAAATGAATTTAGAATTAATTATGCTAATCTGTGGTTAAGTATATTGGATAGGGACAGAAAGGGCATGAGGCATTACAGTAAACAGCTTGGTATTGATGGTAATATTTATGGATTGTTTGCTTGTATGGTAACAGGCAGACCATGGGAGGCAATAATGAAGGGAATTGATAGGTAGTATATCATTTTTTTTTTAATTTTAATATATTTTTTTTGTCTATAATTTAAAACATTTTTTCTTTTTAGGGAACAATTTACAAATGGAGAAAAAGATTTTGTGCAGCAACATTTTACAGGTCTCTTACCTCAGATTTCGTCAGTTTTGGAAAGTGTAAACAGGCAAATGTTGCTCATTCTGAAAACAAACGATTTGATGCGAGGTAAGTACAAGATTTCTCTTTATTAGTCGCATTTCTTTGTTTTGTTTTCAAAAGATATTTTTATTTTAATTGACATTAAAATAGAATGCATTTGAAAATATTACAAGCTTTCTTTTCTTACATCCACAAATTTAAACGTTTTTTAAATAAACGTTTCTATTAAATATACTTGTATAACTTTTTCCCCTCTATTTAATTAGTGTATTTAGAGGAGCATTTTTTCCCTTCTATTATTAGAGCTTCAGCCCTTTTATCTTCATCTACTTCCATCATCTAACATTTCAAATAACTATGTAGTCAATATGTTTATTTTTGACATTTGAAATTGTTTAAAAAAGTATTTCTGACGTTTATAAAAATAGCATGTTCTATGCGGAGTTAAAATGTACTTTTTTTACCTAGCCTGTAATGTCAAACGTACAGCTCCGCCACAAAAAAAATATTATATTTATTCCTAATAAAACAATACACTAATTTTTGAGTAAATTATTAATTTACTAGCGTATACCCGCGACTTCGTTCGCGTCGAATTAATCATTTGTAATGGCGATGATAAAGCAAAGCAAGAATTTCCATTAACATACAAACTGGATCTGCGAAAAATTTTGAAATGTGTAAAAAACAAATATTGTAATATTTGAGGGGCGTTTTCACCCTCTTGGAATTTGAGATTCGAGAAACCCCTCCTTATCGAACCCCCACACCCCACAGTCAATCCGTTTGCCAAAAATCAGCTTTAAACGTCAAGCAGTTTAAGCAGAATCGTGATTACTCAGTGGTCATATTCTATGAAACACCCTGTATAAATTTTTAAAAAATCTTAAAATATGTAAAACAACAAAATAAAATATACGTGTTTAAGAGTTTTTTCCGAAAAACTCACCGGTTTTTGAACAAAAAATATTCTAATATTTGAGGGGTGGTTTCACCCCCTTAGAATTCAAGTTTCGAAAAATCCCTTCTTCTACACCTCTACACCCTAAAGTCAATCCGTTTTCCAAAAATCAGATTTTTACGTCAAGCGCTTTAAGCAGGATCGTGATTAATCAATGACCAGATTTTTCGAAACACCCTGGATACATTTTTAAAAAATCTTAAAATATGTAAAAAAACAAAATAAAATATACTTGTTTAAGCGGTTTTTCGGAAACTTGACCGTTTTTTAAATAAAAAATATTGTAATATTTGATGGGTGGTTTCACCCCCTTGGAACTGGGATTTCGAAAAATCCCTTCTTATGGAACCTCTACACCCCAGAATCAACCTGTATGCCAAAATTGAGCTTCTTACGTTGAGTGGTTTGAGCAGGATCATGATTAATCAGTGGTCAGTCACTTAAAAAAGAATTTAATATATTAGTATAGATATTTGTTAGCTCTGAAGCCCTTATACATCAGTCGCCACTGTTGTTTATTAATTTATTCATGTATTTTACGTTTATTATTTTCTTTCAAACAGGGATCGAGCATACTTTGAGAACCAGCGCTAGGATGGGAGCATTTCGTGTGATGTCTCAGTGCTGTGTTTGTTCGATTTATGACGAAAAATATAAGAACTGTAATACCCGGTTTGACAAATTGAAGATAACATTGGCGGAGTTCTGGGCACTGTTTAAAATTAGAATTTATTATACCTTTTTAAATTTAAGATTGTTAACAGGTGTATAAATAAATAAATTGTATTTTTATATTGTTCTATGGTTTGTTTTATGTCAATTCTTTATATAGTCTGTCCAACGAAAGAATCCGTGACAGTGGGAGTTGTGTCTGTCTTTTTAATTTACAGGTACTTGTATTTTGTAATTTTTTGGATGTTGTCTTTTCAAATCTCTCCTGTTGGACAAGCTATGTATTTAGTTAATGTTTTACATTTGAGGAATTACTGAGTTTGAAAAAATACGAAATGATTGTTGGTAAATGATAAATTCTTAATATAAAATACTTATGAAAAAATTACAGAGAGACACAATTGAATGATTTTTTTTTGAAAATGTGCAAACATTTTAAATTTCTGCATCATCTTTAAAGTTCTGCATCTAAAAAAAGAAATACTTAGAGCATTGCACCAGAAAAATATTTTATATTCTAACAATCTTCTCATTAAATTTTGAACACCCTTGTACTACCGTATGATCGAATAAAAACGGCGTCAGCGATGGCTATGAAATGAAGATCGCTGTCATTTTATATGTGAAATTATATGGGAAATGTCATCGATCGTCATTTCCAAGCCAACTGGACGCCGTTTTTTTTCGATCATACGGTATTTTTGAGTACGATAAATATAAAGCCGGACTCTAACGACTCGTGTACTTGGCAAACAATTTTTATTGACATACAGGGTCTGGTGATAGTGTTATTAAAATTTTATTTGGGAATGACATATTTTACTTTTGAACTGTTACCACTGAATCTCTGAATATATTTATCTTTTAATGGAATTTATTATAACGGGATGGGTTTACAAATATCTAAAAGCTTGCATTATTAAAGCATTTTCCAGGTGATCCACATTGTTGTAGATGCCACGATATATTTCATGTTTCAAAATGTTCCATTGGTTCCAATTCATTGATTTGAGAAATAATAATTTAACAAAATTCTTATATTTTTAACGTTGTGAGAAGGAGGCCCATCATGCTGAAAGTTTATTTCACGTAAATTAGCTAAAGGAATATCTAAAAGTTCCGGTACGATAGCTTCCAAGATTTACAAATAGCGGTAGAGAGTTAAGTTTTTCTAATATATAAAGAATTTATTAGTGGCTACCAAAATAAAACAAGAGACAGATAGCAATATGCTTTTAATAATTTTTTAGTTTATTTTATTATCAATTATGGCCTACTAATAAATCTGATCTTTTAATAAAAACCTATAAATATTGCAGTAAATAGTGAAAATAAATATAGAGTGGTCTCTATATTTATATTTTTGAGAAGCTTATGGCAAGCCAAATCGTATAATTTATAAATATATAGGGTGTTACATTTAAGAAAACATAACTTTAGTTCATATCTTTAAAAATATTCATTTCGTAGAATAACAGACTACGCCAGTATATTTTACGTAAAAAGTTCTACAATAACCAGTTTTCACTTTCTCGATACCTTTAACAGTAACAGAGATACATGGGGTGGCCCAAATTGCAAAATTTTCAAAAAGACCCTGTAGAAATGAAGAGGGCTATAAAAATTTTGTTTACGGTATTTTCCGTTTGACAAAAAAGTGTGACAGGTTGGTGCAAACCGCACCTTTCTATCTTCAATAATAACGTAGATACCGTATGATTTCAACTAAAATGGGACACTCCGTACGGTTCAAATCTCTCGGATATCGTTGCTTGTAGGGCCTTTTTTAGCCGGAAAATCCCTTAATATTTGAAGGGTCCAGGGGAAAGACATGATAACTTTTGATTTTTAAATGGCACCCTCAGTATTTTGTTACTTTATTCGATAGAAAATGACACTCTGAATAGAATGACATATTATATGTCAACTTATCGTTTATTTGAAATTGCAACATGCGATTCATAACGACAATTTGACTCGAAATACCAAGTGTGTGGCATCAAATTATTCGTAAAAAATGCTATTTCCAAATATGTTAATGAGCCACACTTGTTCCATTTGAAAAAATTGAGATATGATTAAAAATACGATTTGGGCATCTTTTAACCGGCCAGAGAACAAGACACTAAAAACATTAGACCATCAAATATATTTTTCCGAGGCTCCTTCTTTCAAAATTAGTGTTTTTAACACAGCCATGGCACTCTAGATTGAAATTTAAAATACAATTTTGTTTTAAGCAAAAATGTCAAATGTTGACATATGATATGCCATTCTATTCAGAGAGTAATTTTTTATTTTTTTATCGAATAAAGTAAAAAATACCGAGGTTGCGATTTAAAAATCAAAAGTTGTAGTCATTTCCGGCGAAACAGTAAGTGGTTGAAAAGAATTAAATATGTCAATCAGTTCTAATTTATGTCATATAACTATTAACATAATAAATCTTGTTTTTTATCTGAAAAAATAAAAAAGTTATAGGTGTGAGCCACTTTTGAGACGCACCCGGTATATCATAGGATTTAATAACGTATTGCCCTGCAGAGTGTATACATTTTGTAGAGACCAGTTAGACCTACTATAATATTGTAAAAGTTTTCCCCCTGGACCCCCTTCATTTTTAATAACACCTTAAGACGTTTTTCCTTAAGATGGTAGAATATCATCAGAAGGTAGCTCCAGAAATTATTAATGAATAAAGTTAAAGAATGAAACTGATTAACTGATAGCGTATAATGTATAATTTTCATAACTTTTAATCCCCATTTGGATTAAACCGCTTGTCAGATTCTTAAATCGAATACAAACATCCACCACACCAGAGCTTCGATCAGATTTACAGCACAGTATTATCGGGTTTATAAGAGATTAACTTTACGATTCGCCAATTTTATAAAAAATCTCAGGGCTATGGCGAACTTTTCAGTCGCGTTTAGAGCCAAAAACTACCGAAATCTTACGAGAGACCATGGCCACCGAGAACCTTCACCTAAAGAAGTCTCTCGAAGATGGAGGTAACGCGGATGTGATCAGAGCTTTTAGCATGCGATGGTACATTTTGGCCGTGTACGTCTATTACTCTACCATTAGTTGTTTCCAATGGGTGGAGTACTCCATAATAACGAATATAGTGATGCGGTACTACAATGTCAGCTCGAGTGCAGTCGATTGGACTGGTGTCATGTTCATGATCGTGTGGCCGATTTTCGTATTTCCATCTTCGTTTTTAATTGATAAATTGGTTAGTATTAAATAACTTAGAACAAGTAAGTATTTTAAGTTAACGTCACTATGTGTTTTCCTGCCACGGAAAATCTGGTTCAAGAAAATCATCAGCCAATACCAATGACCTGCCCACTTATAGTGTGATGAAATCGTCTTTTAATGCACGAGTTATCTGATCTTATTCGGTCTCTAAATGGCGTGAATGAGCTATATATATATAAATGAGATTTGGTTTAAGTATTTAATATTCATTTCGAACTACAGCCTATTGCTGCCTTCCCGTTACCCTACGCCACATATCTCGATTTAGAGCGTCATCAGCTTCTAGATTACGAGCTTCCATTGCTTCCGTAACCGTTCCGTTCCAGTATTTTCTAGGCCTACCTCTCTTTCTTCTGCCCTGGGGAGCCCATTAAAAACTTTTTTTGGCCACCTATTCCCCGGCATACGCAGAACATGTCCAAACCATTTTATGCTGAATTTTTCGATTCGATCTAGTACTGTTTCCTCCGATGCATTCATGATACGCCTGACCTCGATGTTTGTCTTTTTTTCCATCCTAGATATACCAACACTTCTTCTAATGTAGTCCATTTCAACAACTTGGATTTTGCGCTTCGCATCTGCACTCAGAGTCCATAGCTCTGAACCATAGCAAAGAACTGACTCCACCAATGTTCTTCCAAGTCTCTTTTTAGTTGTTGCAGACAGTTTCGGTCCCACCAGAGGCTATTAAGTCATCCAATAAATTGTTTGCTCTTCTGAATTCGGGTTGGTATTTATTCTTTGCTCAAACCCTCGTTGTTGATTGTAGCACCAAGATAATTAAATTTGTCTACTTGTTGAATCTGGACGTTATCATTAATGAAGACTTCAAAACAAGCGTTGGAATTGATAGCTAAGTATTCCGTCTTCTTTAGACTAACCTGAAATCCCCATTTGTTGTATTCTTGATAAAGCCTCTTAGTCATGAACTCTAGATCGTATGAGTCCTGAGCAATCACGACCTGATCGTCTGCAAAGCTCAGGGTAAATAGTGTGGTATCCCCAATGGATATTCCCATACCTTGACATTTTGTCTTCCATTCCCTAAAGGCTACTTTGACGTAGAGAGATCAGATGAGATAAGCTGCATCCTTGTCGCAACCCTTTAATGGTGTTAATTGGATTAGATAGCCTGGGATCTATCTTAACATACGATTCATTTTCTTTATATAGCTCTTTTATTATCTTAAACAAGGGTCTATCTACTTCTAAGATATTCAAGACTTCCCATATCTTGCTGCGCTAGCTTGAATGATTGCTATCTGCTAGCTTGAATGAGCTCTGTGCCTAAATAACTCTTACATAAGTAGGTGCCTTGGAACAACAGTAAGGCAGAGTTTTGCTAACCCACAACGGCTAACGTTGCTTAAGTGGTCGATCGCGGACCAGTGTTTTGATGTAGTTTTAACTCATAGTGTTTAAAAGTACCTATGGGTTATTCAGATTTAAAATTATTTCACCAATGATACAGAAAATAAGCCAGCTTTGCTTTAATAGCAAGATTTGTTTTATTCTGATGATGCCAGAATGTAGAACGAGTGTAAGAGATTTTTCTGTTGTAGGGGGGACAGAATATGTCCCATCCTCACTGACAACAGATGTTCTTCCTTCGAGGAGTAGACATCTACCTCCTAAGAGGGTATACACCTTTCCACTGTTGGTGTTTGGCCTTCCGTGCCCTTCACAGTCGACGAGCTTGTCTGTCTCTATTTTCTGCAGCTCTTTAACCTGGCCTCTCTCTCCTTAGACCTGGTACCGGTGTTGTCCTGAATCTATATAATAGGGGATACTCTTATACAGGGTAGTACGAACTGTATTCCGGAAACTTCGGCAGCATATTCTGCAGATAAAAATAAGTAAAAAAGTTATTTCACTGAAATAATAAATTTGGGAAATTTTTATTTTTTTAAATTAATCATAAATCTTTTTGCAAAAAATGATGATAAAACAGTTTCTGTTGAACTTTTGGCACAAAAACATTTCAAATTTATGATTTCAGTCTAATAACTATTTAGTCAACATGTCTAATTTATGTCAATGATGACAGGTATTGATAATTTCGATTCCAAATATCTCGAAAACCATTTCTCGCAGCGATTTTAACCAAGAGATCTTTTTCACGTAAAAAACGTCGTAAATATATATTTTTTTACTCAGTAGTTTTATACAGGTACGGACGAAAAGTTATTACTCTTCAAACCAGTTAAAAAATATGTAGGTGGCGCCCTCTACTAGTAGGAGTCATATTGACATCAAAATCAAATTTCTCATGTCAAACAACTTCTAGACACCAATTTTCATCCAAATATTGACGTTATTTCAGAAATTATTTGGAGTAAATCGAATTAAAAATGAAACTTCTACACCTTTTATCTCCGAAATTAAGCATTTTAGGACATACATTTATACGAACTTTTTTACTTATTTTTATCTGCAGAATATGCTGCCGAAGCTTCCGGAATACAGTTTGGACCACCCTGTATATCTCTTTTTTTCTAATGCCTCTTTGGATTTGAGGTCAATTCCTATTGTGAGGACCTGACTATGGCCCTCCTTCCTCGAGCTGATGACTTCGTGACGGCTTTTCATCTTGGCTTTTTCTCTCCTTGCCGGAGCAGAGCTTGCAGGCAGTAGACGGTAGTCCCATCCAGCATAGTTATATGTCTTGGTGCAATTCTGGCCACGTGACTACAGCCATGGATGCCTGATAGCATGGATGTCTAATTAATAACCCTAATATAATAATTTACGCTTTTAATGTATATATATATACCTATATTTTTTATACTTTTAATTTGAATAATATTAGATATTATATTTTAGGGGCTTAGATTTGCGGCACTGATTGGTTGCTTCTTGACAGCTATTGGAGCTGCTATAAAGCTTTTTTCCATAGATCAAGGTGCTTTTAATGTAGTGCTGGTCGGTCAAGCCATCGTCTCATTATCTCAAGTTTTTATCCTGAGCCTACCACCGAAACTAGCAGTGACATGGTTCAGACCTGACGAGGTGGGTATTTTATATAGAGTGTCCCCAAAAAAGTCAATCTGTATGAAATGGAATTATTTTCTTACTAGAAAGAAAATTAAGTAGCGCAGTTAGTTTTTGGTTGTCTATAAAACAAAAACTAAGATGCGCGACTTGGTTGATCTGCCAAATTTGACATTTCTTATTAGGAATGCGAAACAACCCTTATTTATAAAACAATTGAAAAGAATTGTTTGAAACATTTATTTAGTTTCACATTTTTTATTTTACACTATTTTTATTTTATTTAGCTTCCAAATTTTCTCACTCTACAATTATTTTTTATCTGATCTGAGAATACCGGGTGCCGGGTGCGTCTCAAAAGTGGCTTTTCCCTCTAACTTTTTTATTTTTAATTAGAAAAAAGTGAGGTTTGGTATGTTAGTATATTAAATAAATTAGGATTGATTGACGTATTCAATTGTTTTTGGTCACTACTTGTTTCACAGTAAATGACCACAACTATTGATTTTTAAATGGGACACTCCATATATTTTTACTTTATTCGATAGAAAATGATACTCTGGATTGAATGACATAACATATGTCAATTTTTGATATTTTTGCATATGGTTTATTTGAAATTGTAACATGCGGTTCATAACAATTTGACTCGAAATATCAAGTGTGTGGTACCAAATTATTCGTAAAAAAATGCTTTTTCCAAATATGCTAATGATCCACCCTTGTTCCGTTTTAAAAATTTTGAGATATGATTAAAAATACGATTTGGGCATCTCTTAACCGGTTAGGGCAAGACACGAAAAACATCAGCCGATTATATTTATTTTCTGAAGATTCCTCGATTAAAAATTAGTGTTTTTAACACAGCCATGACACTCTAGATTGAAATTTAAAATAAGATTTTTTAAGCAAAAATGTCAAAAGTCAAAAGTTGACATATGATATGTCATTCAATCCAGAGAGTCATTTTCTATCGAACAAAGTAAAAATATACCACTTTTGAGACGCAGCTGGTATATCGAATATTTTGACCAGCCCTTGTTTATCGATTATGTTACAATACGATTATCAATAATACAATTATTTTTTTTTGTACACACTGTAGATATATTACAATTTTAAAAAACAAAAATAATCAATCACATTCGATGTCAACAAAAACATTTAACCATCATCTATGGATTAACGGATTAAAACAACTGAATAATTACTTACCACCTCTGATTACTACATTTATTTTGACATTTTTTAAACGGTCTGTCCAATGAGTGGATACCATACAGTGACAGTTTTCTGTTATTTTTCTCATGTTTCGAAATCATTTCTGACTCTGAAATTTCAGTGTAGATAAAATTAGTTCTCAAGTGTAAAAAATAAAAAGAAATTTGCTATTAATTAACTTTCCAATCAAATGTGTGGTAATAAATATTTGGTAACACACGTCATGTATTTAATAAAGTGTTTGATTTCCGTACGCTTAAAATCTCATAATCTTTTAATACCGACATATCTATAGATGAAAATTACTGATTTACATGGGGATTAAGAATGAAATTCGACTACGGAGTTAATTTTGCACATGTTAATCGTGTGAACTTCTGAAATTTGAAGGTCCTGAATATCTTGGGTGCAGTGTTAGATTTGAATCATTTAAAATTTTGAAAAACACGTAATATTATTAAATAAAGGATCCTTCAAAAGGGTATAGCTGGATTAATATAGGAAATCTGCCCCCGCGGCTTTTTTGACTCGCACTCAGGGGATCGATTTGCTGTCGAATCAAAATAATTCACCTAAATTTTTAGCTCTTTAACTCAAACGGTTTTCAAGATTTCAAAAAGAACTGTTTTTTTCAATTTTATATCTATTTGTATAGTAAAATTCAAAATTAATTAATGATGATTTTTTTTCTAGTTCTTAGAAATCTAAAACATAAAAAAATAATATGATCATGATTCTTAAACGAAAAGCCGATTTTTAGCGGAGGAAAGAAAGTTAAAATCTTTATTTTTTTAACCTTTGTGAAATATGTCACTCACTAAAAATCGTCAGAAAATGTCTTTAATACTTCTTTACATTCAGGAATTTTTTAGAATTTTTTGAAGTGGTGGAACAATATGAAAACAATTAAAAACTCATTTTTTTCTAAAATCTTTTTTTTCTAAAATCTTCTTGGGCTCATTTTTTTATAATAATCTTTATGTTTATTTCTGGCAAGGAAGTATTTTTAATGAAAAAATATTTTCTAACGCACTTTTTTAAACTAAACAAAAATATAAGTTACCTTAAAACAGAAGATTTTAGAAAAAAAATGAGTTTTTTATTTTTTTTATATTGGTTCCACAACATCAAAAAATTCTAAAAAATTCCTGAGTGTAAAGAAGTATAAAAGATATTTTCTGACGATTTTTAGTGAGTGACATATTTAACAAAGGTTAAAAAAATGAAGATTATAATTTTTTTTCCTCCGCTAAAAATCGGTTTTTCGTTTAAGAATCATGATCATATTATTTTTTTATGTCTTAGATTTATAAGAATTAGAAAAAAAATTATCATTAATTAATTTTGAATATTACTATAAAAATAAAAATAAAATTGAAAAAACAAGGTTTTTTTGAAAATCTCGAAAAACGTTTGAGTTAAAGAGCTAAAAATTTAGGTGAATTATTTTAGTTCAGTTATGGGGGATTTTTGCTTGGAAAAAAGTCCGGAAGTTTTGCAACTTTGCAGGTTTATAGGTTTTGGGGTCCCTAACTAAAATCCGTAAAATGCATATTTCCAGACTTGCCGCCGGCGTCGCCATCTTGCCAAGATGACCAAAATCGGTATTTTATGAGTATCTCAAAAACTATGCGTTTTTCGCGAAAATTTGAGGAGAGCAAAATTAAAGAAAATAACATTTCCTATAAAAAAGGTTTTATGAAAATTTTCGCTTAAGTCATCCGTTTAGGCACAAAATTCCTGGAAATTTTACAATTTTGCGTAAAATATGATATATTATGTATAGTCGATTTTCCGAAATCAAATGTCGTTTAGGGTTCAGTAAAACTAGTTTTAGTTTAGTTTCTTCAATTTTGTCCTAAAACAGTGGCGTATCATTAATTCGCTCATTAATTTATGAATAATTAATTTTAATTATTGAAAATGTGTACTTGTTTCCACACCACCCAAGAGGTAAAGTATATGGCGCGTTTATTTTAACGTGGTCTCCCCGGAGGCCTACTCCACTAGATAAATTAAAAACTTTAACTTATCTGCACAAGACCGACGGATCTGGCTCATTGATGTCAAAGTCGATCCTGTCTGCTGTGCTGGGCTCATCAGGGTGGTCTCTCAATACGTCCAACTCTTCATCTTCAGCCGCCAGAGGGATATCTACAGGCAAGTCCAACTCCTGTTCATCGGATTCGTCGAATGACACTTCAGTGACGTTGTCACAGGATTTCCCATTGCAGTATGCACAAATCATTGAACATTTTAATCCTGATTTTCTGCATCCGTATCAGGCTTTACCATAGTTGTTGGATTTGCATTTACAGGATAAAAGTGCCAACAGGGATTTTGGAGCTGGATCTTTCAACGTTGTGACTGGAGTAATGTCTGTTTTTGTTTTCTTCCAACTGCATTCTTCGGCATCTTTGGTACAACCAGACCAATGCTGAACCTGGTGGTAAGTTCGCAATGAATGCTGTCCAGCACGACAAATTAATGAGCGGATTAATAAAACGCCACTGGTTCATGACAAAATTGAAGAAACTAAACTAAAACTAGTTTTAGTGAACCCTAATCGACATTTGATTTCGGAAAATCGACTATATATAATATATCATATTTTACGCAAAAATGTAAAATTTCCAGGGATTTTGTGCCTAAACGGTTGACTTTAGCGAAAATTTTCATAAAACCTTTTTTATAGAAAATGTTATTCTCTTTAATTTTACTCTCTTCAAATTTTCGCGAATAACGCATAGTTTTCGAGATATTCACAAAATACCGATTTTGGGCGCCATCTTGGCAAGATGGCGGTGCCGGCGGCAAGTCTGGAAATGTGCATTTTATGGATTTTAGTTAGGGACCCCAAAACCTGTAAACCTGCAAAGTTTCATAACTTTCGGACTTTTTTCCAAGCAGGCCCCTTTTTTGATCCCCAATGACTGAACTATTTTGATTCGAGTCAAAAAAGCCGCGGGCAGATTTCCCATATTAATCCGGCTATATACTTTCGTTGGGCTTCTATTAGCTCCTATAATATACGACTTAGGAATTTCATGTAGGACTTACTTTAGGTAAATATGTTCTTTTATACAGGGTGAATGAACAAATTGTGAGAGGGTAAGAGTCGATCGGGGAAGTTTGGACGTAAGTTAACCCTAGTTTTGGATTCTTAAAAAAATAATTTACTAAAGTTTTAACATTGAAAATGTTTCTGTTATCCTATATAAGGGAGCCCAAATCGAATTAAAATGCTACATTTGCCACACCATGACGTCATATATACAAGGGTATAGGAAATCTCGGCGCAGCGGCGGCAGTCGGCCAGCGCCCGCAAAATCCATTACATCGCTAATTGTTTATTGATATATCTTTATTAGTTTAAAAGCAAAAAATATGGGGTTTGCTTTGATACCTTGTCAAGACATAAGCGAAACTTTTAAATTGTTTCTTTTTTTCATTTAGGCCTTCGTTTTTCGTTAAATGAAAGTTATATTAAAAAAAATCTATTTTTAAACCAAATTTTCGCATGATTGAAATGATTATTCATGTTTAAAGTTTTTTTTTTGGTCATAAGCGCTAATGGAAATGTTTTTTGTAAATAATTATAAAAATTACTCCCTACGAAGACTTTATTGTGTACTGGATCAACAAAAAGTATTTGTTTTCTCTATACGGTGGTATAATATATCGATTTTTGATGATAGTGCCCTTTTACCCAGTCTAATTTTGTACTACTTTCGGAATAAGGGTCCCCATATCATGTACTGTACTTCCATCCCTGAAAAAATCAGCTTGTGACACCGAAGTGAGAGGTAACGTCAAAATAAGCTTTAATCTACCTACATCATAGGTAGGTGTAGGTAGTGTGTAATGGTAAGGTGTAGGTGTAATTAGGTATATTCTACCTAGACAGTAGCTGAACTAGCTGACAGTAGTAATTAATTTGTTATCCGATAAGTAGTTGTCATTATATAAGTTTAATCATCTTATACCTCCTATAACGGTAGGTTTTGGATTTTTCCTGATTGGTTTTAGGAAATTCGTCCTCTTAGAGAGTAAAATTATCTCGGAACAGTTTGTTGTATGAAAATTCCTTACTATTTGGTCTAGAAGAATGAAATCCTACAAAAAGAATTAGAAGAAATTTTTGAAATTCATCAACCAAATGGGTAAAGTTAGTAAAAGTTTATATAAAACTTGGTGACCTCTGGATTATACACATAAAAATTGGCACAAAGGTAAAGCGAATTTATGAAATTTATACCCTTAGGGAGTAGAATAGGGAATGAAAGTTTGCTGTACGAAAATGCAATACTATAACATTATAAACCAGAGAGTATAAAATTTTATACAAGGGTTTATTTAGTGACATCATAACGAAATATAGCTTCCTCAATTATCCTTCAAAGAATAAAAAATAACCTATAAAGAGAGTATTAGTGCTCTTAATAAATAAAAAAAAGATGAAAAATAAAAAACATCTATGCTCACTAGCTCTCTATAAAGAAGTAAAAAATCATTTAATCAATGCATGAACGATTCGAGGTGTAACGCGAACGTAGTCGCGAGAAAAAGCGAGTAATTTATTAAATTATTTTATTTAACTCATTAATTTTCATTGAAAAGGAATTTTTGTAATTCGCCACTATATTAGTTAAAAACGAATTAAGAAACTCATATCAAATTTAAGTTTTGCGATTTTGACTTATACTTTTTACAAAATCTGAACACATTTTAAAAGAAAAAAAGTTTCTGATAATATTTATGTATATTGACTACAAGTTGTATAACATAAATTTCTACGACCGGTCTACCTAGTGGTCTGCAGCATCGCCTTGTGGTGCAAACATGGGCCTGTTAATCTGTGACGTAACGCACAACAGCCAAGAAAAACAGAAGCGTGGAAACAGACGCACAACAGCCAAGAAAAACAGAAGAATTTATTAATTTAAAAAAAGTCTTTTAGATACAGTAGTAGGTATTAAAAAGTTTTGTGTTTAAATGGGATTTGCCTTTAACAGTTAAAAAAATATATCGTAAAGTGTAACTTTCCGTAAGAATTCTTTATCTGATCATTGATCATGATCTGTCATCATGTTAACCTGATGTTTTGTATGTTATTTTGTTTTTTCCGAGGTTTTATTGCTTGCTTGTTTTACGGATAGGTGCGATCGCATAATTATTATTGATAATGTTTTATTTAATGTTAACATTACTACTTTTTCAGTGAATCTTTAAATCTGTTGTTTTTTGTTAAGTTCGTTATTTAAACATATGTATGTAATACACTCATATTAACACTAATCATATTTTTACGTTTTTATTCATCATTTTCAATGCCCCCCCGGTTGCATCTTTGTAAAGGACTGTGAATTTTTTTACTTTATTAGAGAAATTATAATCTTAAATTATACAGGATGCTCAAAATATATTGCCAAATGTGTTAAAAGATAAAATTTTCTTTGAATGAAACTTCCTCTATACCATTATTATTTCTTGTTTTAGATTAAAAATTGAAATTTTTGAATTACTAAAACAAATTTAATAATAACAATAACCAATAAGAATTATGTAAAGTGATAAAGAAACCCCAAAATGGAATAAGATACAGGGTGTTTCGTTGAAAAAATCGAGGCTTATCCACTCACACTATTTGGTTTCACCCTATACAAGTGAATAATATTTCCTGAAATATATCCTAGTACACAGTTTACGCACTTGGTTTAAACGAGATTCTATAGAGCTCCTGTACCGCAGGATCCTGTATATACAAGGTGTTTTCTAAGTGCCGTGAGGGCAAATTTCAGGAAACTATTCAATTTGATAATTTTAAAAAGCTTAATGTTCATTATAGAAAATGGGTACTTAAGTTAATACCTAATTACAAAATAAAAAACTGTGTCTTAAGTAATTAATTTTTGTATTTTATAGGTTTCTAAAGTTTGTTCTATTGGAGTTTTTGGTATGCAGTTAGGTAGTGCTCTAGGTTTTCTATTACCACCAATGCTAGTAAAAGACCAACCAGACTTAGCAGCCATTGGATCGGATTTAAAAATACTCTGTTGGAGTCTCTCTATTGCGATTGTTCCAGCATGCATAGCTGTAGTCGTATGTAAGAAATCATTACTCATTACTTTTTATTTAATACAGTATGTTGTTGGATTGTTTCTACATGTGGAAAAAGTGTTTCCTATTATTAGCCTTTATTCCTATTATTCCTTATTATTAACATTTTAAGAAAAATGCATTTTTTTATAAAAACTTTCGTTTGTTCTAAAAAAAATTGCTACTATTTAATTTATTTTTTTTTTAATTTTTATTTTATTTTTTTTATTTTTTTTTTTACAATAATATTTTTTTAAGATTTCCCTCATATGCCCAGACTGCCACCCAGTGCAGCTCAGGCTGAAGAAAGAAAGAAAATCCAGATCGTCACAATGGGAACATTCATTCAGTCTTTGAAGGATCTGATGAAAAACAAAGGTTTCCTGGTACACATGCTGGGATATGGGATTAGTTTTGGAATATTCTCAGCTTTTGGTACGCTACTCAACCAGTTTGTGCTGTCATATTTTCCAGTAAGTATTCGAGCTGCATAAGGTCTAGTATTTTAATAAAAAAGTAATTGAAAGAAACTCAACCACATAATCTTCCCTGTGTTCCCGTACATTCTATAAATTTATCTAAACTTATAGAACACCAAAATAATAATGTGTCTAACATCAAATGCCGCTAAATGGCCCAGCAGCTGATGCGGCTTATATAAAATCCTTCTTCCTTCTTCTAACTTCAATTTCTCTACAGGGTGCAACAGAAGATGCAGGAAGAATGGGACTAGTAATGATAATGTTTGGTATGTTCGGAGGTTTTATGGCTGGAATAGTGTTGGATAAAACCCATAAATACAAGTAATATTAATAACCTTATTAAAGCTTCATTCAGAACCTCAATATTAGTGGTGTCAATTAGGCTTCATTTAGAACCTCGCAATTAGTGGAATAAATTAGTGGTTTCAATTAGCGTAGAAGTTTGCTCCTCTAATTTGAATGTAAGCATCCAGAGCGTCAAAATTAGTGGTAGGAATTTTTAATTAGTGGAAAAAGTTAACAAACTTTTGACTTTTCTACTAATTATACTTCAAAATTTGCGAGAAATGTCATTTTGGCCTTTGATTATCATCCGTCAAGAGAAAATGTGGTTAGAAACCAAAAGTTTATTGTTTTACAAGCTAAATATTAGGCTTTTTCTATGGATACAACGGATGACTGCAAACTGTTGCTAGGATATTCTCTTAATTTTAATTGTATTTTTAGACATTGTGAATGATCGTAAACTAAAAAGTATAAAGTGTAATTGAAACCACTAATTTATTCCACTAATTGCGAGGTTCTGAATGAAACTTTATACTTTTTAGTTTCCGATCAAAGAATATACCTAGCTAGAAAAAGAATGGACTCTGCCATACTGAAAAATGGTCCTAATACAGAAGTGGCGCCATCTATTGAGTAGGGCTTGTTTTAAATGGGTCGAAGCGCGGGCTTTTTAAATGAGCTTATTTATTGAATTTTTTTCTAAAATAATTAAATTTGATTATTAAATCTTATTTTTTACACAAATTCAACAGTACTAATAACAAGTATCGTTGTGATGTGTAAAAAATAAGATTTAACAGTACCTATAATTTATACGATTATTAAATAAAATTAAAGACAAACATGTGAAATATTATTTATTATTTAAAGTTTTCATTTATAAGTCAAATATTTAAACATCGTTTATTATAATAAAACAAGACCAACGTAATACGCCCAAAGTTTTGTAAATGGAGTAAATATAAATAGGTACTTAAATGATGGCAAAAATAAAAGACTTACATTATATTTTTAGGGCCACAAACAAAAGGAATTGTCTAATTAAAACACATATAACAAATTATAGTTTGAAAAACATTTTGATAATAATTTATTTGATAATATTATGATTGGTGCTATGACAACGACAATATTTTTTGAGAATTTGATAATAATATGACAATGGCCGTTGGAAACTATGGAAACTACAAAAAAAATCTGATTTAACGCCATCTGGCAATAACTAGTAGCAACTTCTTAACCTAAAAATTAATTGCACTACCACCTAGTGGCTAGGGCTGGAACTATTTTATTTGAGATTTCCGTGGAAACGGTGGAACCGCTTGCTATTTCACTTTCCCGCCCCTGTTTCCGATCATTCACAATGTCTAAAAAACAGAATTAATAGAATATCCTAGCAACAGCTTGCGGTAATCAGTTGTATCCATAGAGAAAGCCTAATATTTAGCTTATAAAACAATATACTTTTGATTTCTAACCAAATTTTCTTTTGAAGGATGATAATCAAAGGCCAAAATGACGTCGCAAATTTTGAAGTATAATTAGTGAAACAGTTAAGAGTTTGTTAACTTTTTTCACTAATTGTAAATCCCTACGACTAATTTTGACGTTCTGAATGCTTACATTCCAAAGTTACATTCATATTAAAGGAACAAACCAGGGGAGGGAAAGTGAAATAGCACCGTTCCACCGTTTCCACGGAAATTTCAAATAAAATAGTTCCAGCCTCAGGCGCTAGGTGTTTTTTAAACACAAAATTAATTAAACATACAAATTAATTTTTTAAACATACAAATTAATTTTTAGGTTAAGAAGTTGCTATTAGTTGCCAGATAGCGTTAAAACAGAATTTTTTTGTAGTTTCCATAGTTTCCAATGGCCATTGTCATACTATTGTCAAATTCTCAAAGATATTGTCGTTGTCATAGCGCCAATCATAATATTATCAAAACGTTTTTCAAACTATAATTTGTTATTAATTACAATTATTGTTTTCAAATTATAATTTGTGTTTTAATTAGACAATTCCTTTTGTTTGTGGCCCTAAAAATATAATGTAAGTCTTTTATTTTTGCCATCATTTAAGTACCTATTTATATTTACTCCATCTACAAAATTTTGGGCGTATTACGTTGGTCTTGTTTTATTATAATAAACGATGTTTAAATATTTGACTTATAAATAAAAATTTTAAATAATAAATAATATTTACACATGTTTGGCTTTAATTTTGTTTAATAATTGTATAAATTATACTGTTAAATCTTATTTTTTACACATCACAACGATACTTGTTATTAGTATTGTTGAATTTGTGTAAAAATAAGATTTAATAATCAAATTTAATTATTTTAGAGTAAATTCAATAAATACGCTCATTTAAAAAGCCCGCGCTTCGATCCATTTAAAACAAGCCCTACTCAATAGATGGCGCCACTTATGTAGGACCATTTTTCAGTATGGCCAAAGGTATGGCAGAGTCCATTCTTTTTCTAGCTAGGTATATTCTTTGGAACAAACTTCTACGCTAATTGAAACCACTAATTTATTCCACTAACTGCGAGGTTCTGAATGAAGCTTTACACTTAATATTTTTTAGTTTACGATCAGTCACAATGTCTAAAAAATACAATTAAAATTAATAGAATATTCTAGCAACAGCATGTGGTAGTCATATCCAACCGGTAGTCAGTTGTATCTTGTATCCATAGAAAAAGCTTAATCATTCGCTTATAAAACAATAAACTTTTAATTTATGACTTGTTGATAACCACAATTTTTCATGACGGATGAGGAATTGAAAAGACATTACTCGCAAATTTTCAGTCAAAAAAGTCAAAAGTTAAAATTTTTAAAATTTTTTCTACTAATTGAAAAATAATACCACTACGAAATTACATTGAAATTAGAGGTACAAACTTCTACGTTAATTGAAGCCACTAATTTATTCCACTAACTTCGAGGTTCTGAATGAAGCTTAATATATTATTCATTATTGGAATTTACATTTTTTAATAAAACACCTTTTATTCACCTTTTTCAGGGAAACAAATCTTTTTATTTACATAGGAACAGCACTTTGTTTTATTGCTTTACTGTTATGTTTACAAATCAAGGCAAAAATTTCCGTATACTTTACTATAGGTATATTTGGGTAAGAATATTGATGCAATTACCTTTAAAATGTTTTTTTAATCGCATTTTTTGGGGATTTTAGATTTTTCCTGAACGCATATATCCCTGCAGGAATTGAGTTTGCCTCAGAACTAACGTACCCTGCCAATGAGAGTACTACCACTGGTTTAATGACGGCCGTTTCTCAAACGTTAGGTAGTATTTTTGTGAAAGTCTCTAACCTGTGAATTGTCCAGTGACAGTGACCACAATCGCCTTGTGAAGCTTATGATATTATGGTGGGTTATCTTGCTTATTGTTAAATTTGCCATTTTAAGAGGTTAAAGATTCTTGCAAAATTGGGCTACACTCATAGAAGGTTACAGATCAAGTCCACATTATATGGATTTAATATAAAATACCGCGACCTTAAAGATTTACTGTGTCTTCCTTTTATAACTCATCATACGGTCTATAACTCATCATACATGGGGATCTTCCTGTTGTAGGGGGGACAGGATATTTCCCATTCTCTTCTGACAACAGATGTTCATCCTCCGAGGAATGGTCATCATCTTTAATAGTATTTCAATAAAGAATTAGAAGAATTAGAAGCACTAGCATAGCTATCTGTGAAGATAGAAGTACACTGTGTGTTCTATGTTGTAACTATGGTAAAAGCCCAATTACCGTCACTGTTCTAATTATCGTCATATTTCGATGTTTTTAAAAAAATTAAGAAACTCAGGGAAAATATTCCATAATAAATAATGTTAGATAGTTGTTTTATATATCTCGAAACGCTGCAATACATTTTTTTTTAAATGACGCACTTCATTTATGTGGAATAATGACTATTTTAGTTGGAAGTTAGACATTGACGAGAAACCACACATTTCTTGAAAGCTAAGCAGAGCAACAGTCTTCTTGATTTTCTTTCACAGTAATGTAATGTAATGTAGTATATTAAGGTACAAATATAATTAACCAGCGTGTACCCGCGACTTCGTTCGTGTCGAATTAATCCTTTGTAATGGTGATGATAAAGCAAAGCAAGAATTTCCATTAGCATACAAACTGGATAAAATTTTCAGCATGTCAGCATGAGAAAAAATAATATGGGGAAATTATTATATAACTTGGTAATATTTGAGTGGTAGTTTCATCTCGTTGGAATTTGACTTTCGAAAAATCCGTTTGCAAAAAATAAGCTTTTTACATCAAGCAATTTAAGCAGAATCGTGGTTAATCAATTACCCAACTTTTTGGAACACCCTGTATGATTTTTAAAAAAAATTCAAAATATGTAAAAAATATAAATTATGGTTGTCCAAGCGTTTTCCCGTAAGACTAACCGTTTTTTAAATAACAGATATTGTAATATTTGAGGGGCATTTTCACCCTCTTGGAATTTGAGATTCGAGAAACCCCTCCTTATCGAACCTCTACACCCCACAGTCAATCCGCTTGCCAAAAATCAGCTTTAAACGTCAAGCAGTTTAAGCAGAATCGTGATTCTTCAATGATCATATTTTATGAAACACCCTGTATAAATTTATAAAAATTTTAAAATATGTAAAGCAACAAAATAAAGTATACGTGTTTAAAAGTTTTTCAGCTTTTTAAGCAGAATCGTGATTAATCAGTGACCAGATTTTTCGAAATACCCTGTATACATTTTTAAAAAATCTTAAAATATGTAAAAAAAACAAAATACAATATACGTGTTTAAGCGTTTTTTCGGAAACTTGACCGTTTTTTAAATAAAAAATATTGTAATATTTGAGGGGTGGTTTCACCCTCTTGGAACTGGAATTTCGAAAAATCCCTTCTTATCGAACCTCTACACCCTAAAGTCAATCTGTTTTCCAAAAATCAGCTTTTTACGTCAAGCGCTTTAAGCAGGATCGTGATTAATCAATGACCAAATTTTTCGAAACACCCTGTATACATTTTTAAAAAATCTTAAAATATTTAAAAAACAAAACAAAATATACGTGTTTAAGCGTTTTTTCGGAAACTTGACCGTTTTTTAAATAAAAAATATTGTAATATTTGAGGGGTGGTTTCACCCTCTTGGAACTGGAATTTCGAAAAATCCCTTCTTATCGAACCTCTACACCCTAGAATCAACCTGTATGCCAAGATTGAGCTTCTTACGTTGAGTGGTTTGAGCAGGATCGTGATTAATCAGTATGTCAGTCACTTAAGGATTTTATATATTAGTATAGATTAGTATAGATTACCAGTGTAAGAGGTTTTCTATTATATTATGTATTTATATACAAAATATGTTTTTTTTTTCTATAGTATTAATAAATAAAATGGGTGACGATTTTGGGACATGTAGCAACGGAGCATGCCGTTTATCTTTACCATTGACGAAGATTGGGGCATTATAGGCAGAGTTACTTTATTCAGTATAAAATGTCAATTTTCTGTAATTTAAATATTTTTTTCCATAAATGGCAGTATGAAGATCGGCTATATGATGTGCCCAATTTTCGTCACCCACTTTTATCATTAATTATTCTACCTGGAATTTCCAATTAAGAATGGATGACGAGAAATGGATATCTGTGACGAAATTTAGGCCATTAGGCATGTTGTAGGCTTCCTGTAAAATAACTATAATTTTAAAAATGCCAAATATCAGAGTTATGACGATATTTTGGACTGTATTAAAAGTGATATTGTTGCAAAAATTAAAAAAATAAATAAAAGAGGTGTATATGATATACCTGATATGCCAAAGTAAAACTAATTTTTCAAGTTAAACGAAATATTTATTTACTAATATGAAATATGATGTTACTGTTTTCTTTGGTGATTCCTCGTAAACATTTTTATAAAAAAAATTGTATTTTTTTGTATTCACTAATAATGCTTACATCTGCATTATTTTTGAACTGATATCGAAGATATTCTTAATTAAGATTTTATTTTTTATGCTTATTTTTTTAATTATTTAATTATTTAATTGTTTATGTTTTATTTTTTGCAATGTATCGCAATTCCTAAATAAACTTTTTCAAAAAACAATGGTTTTTGTGTGTATGTATGACACATATAACGATATGACGAAAATTGGGACAAGTTGGTGACGATACTAATAATCTTATACTAATAATTAAGATTTTATAGCTAACTGAACTGTGATATTCCCTTAATGTGACAATAATTGGGACAGTTACCATAACACGACTTTGTTTTGTTAATTTAGATTAAAAAACTTGCCTTTTTTGATTGATGTATCTTTTACAGGTGTCACTTTTACCCTTGTCTTGAGCCACTTGAACTTAAGTTGGGGTACACTTTGGGCCATATTAATTCAAATAGTACTGTTATTCATCGGTTCGGTGTTAACCATGTTAGTACCAAACAACCTGAGAAGACAAGAAGCGTTCAACAGAGGAAGACCAGTTGAGTTTACGGAATTACCTCAAGAAGATCCTGCGCTTACCAAACATGAAAATTCATGATTTATATAGAAAATCCGTTGGAAAAAGTAAAGTATTTCCGGAGATATTTGGACTGATTTGGGACTCTTAAGTTGTTTGTTCAGTGTCGAAATTAAGAGCTATAGAGTCAGTCCAACTGACTTTGGAAATACTATACTGTATATGATCAAAAAGTTTTATGAACAAGCTGATTTTGGATGGTTACGTATAGTTAAATGAATTCTAACTTATTTTGTTTCTTAATCATATTATCGTTGACATTCCGCTTGATCATAAAACGTTTTGATCATGCTGTGTTTGTCATATTGACAAAGAATTGTAGTTCCTAAATACACTTTTGTAGTAATACAACAGAATTAATATAATAAAAGTGACTGGTGAAAAAATCTATCCTGTTTATCTACGTCAGTGAGTTAAGAAGCTCTTAACTCACGCATTTTGAGTGAGTTAAGAGCTTCTTAACTCAAGCATTTTCATTACCGCACTCCTTGTTTAGATGACTAAGAGAAAAAAATATTTTGTAAAACATTATTTGACATCAAATTTTTTAACTCCTCACGCCTACAAGCTCCTGCGAGACCAACAATCAAGGCAAATAATTAAATATATATTTTTTGTCATCAGTTGCTTGTAGAAATTTAGTAATATCGGCCTTTGTTTAGCACCTTTGATTTTTTTGACCGATAACCTTCAGATTTTCTTTTGAGAAGGGCTACTAAATTAGCGTATTTGCTTATATCTATATTCATTTTAGTAGATATCATAGTACGTATCATTGAATAGAAAGCCCAAAGAGACGAAAGCATATAAGTAGCGGATAAATTGGAAAAATATGTTATGAGTCCTTTTTATTTCCATGGTTGTGTACTTTTTTTCGGTGCACCATTCATACTTGGAGTATGTATATTCATATTTCTGTTTCGATCTTGCTGGAAGCAATCCAGAAATGGATCTGAATACCTCTTCTTCAATGTCAGAGGGAATACTTTCCGAATCGCTGATTTTTTAAACTAGTGACATCAATACATAGATAAATGCAACAAGTTTAGATTGGAAAGCCCGTAAAAATTTTGGGCCGCGAAATTATTTGGGTCGCGACCGTTATACGCGATCTGGCGCTGCTATAGCGATCGCTAAGAACAACGGCAAACAAAAACAGTAGTAATTTTCTCTTGTCAAAGTCAGAATCTTCAAAAATCATAATAATCTTTCAAAATCTAAACCGCTCTCATTAAAGAAATTCCGAAAAGTGTTTACAGCGTCCATTTTCAAAGTAATTATTGCTATCTTGTGAGTTTAATTCAAGTTTTATTTACTCCAACCGGTGATAATTGTGAAAAAGTGGCATTAAAAATTTAAAAAGCTGTGCTGTAAACTGCAAAAACCATCGTGGATCGTAGCATAACGTCGGTTTGCAATGTTTCATAGGTATTTCATACATGCGTCCTTATATAAAATAAAGTTTCTTGTATGCAACACACTGTATTTTATTTATAAAATTAAACGAAAATAATAATAAATTTGAATAAACCAAAGGAATAAACAATATTTGGCGATATAATTCCGGAAAAAGCCGAACCGCTCTGAAATTTTCAAAAGTTTTGGGTCGCGACCGTTGCAAGAATAGCGCCAAATAGTGTTTACATTATCCTTATGGGCACTTTCCAATCTAACATCAATATTATTTACTGTCATATTGACATTGCCATGCACGGTGTTATTTGAACAAAGGTATTAAGGTAATTGACTACCAGACAATGCTAAAATATGTGGGAGTTTCCATTTAAAAAAAATTAAGATGGCGTCGTGTCTGTCAAAATTGACATTTAAAAAAAAATTACTTTAAAAAATCTTTCTACTATTTTTAAATAGGAAACAGAAAAATTGTAAATTGAGTGAGACACTTAAAATGATTCTGGAAGATTTAATTCTTAAATCCCCTGTATATCGAAAACGGTAAGTGCAAAGTATACTAAACTATATATTTTTGAAATTAGCGAAAAATGTTACCTTTTGAAACGTACCCGGTATATGAAAGAATATTAGTGCTCATTTTAACAAGAAGGAAAAATGCAAAAGATTTAAGTGGTATAATACTACTAAGGGTGCGTCTCAAAAGTGACCCAACCTAACACTAAGTTTTAATCAAGTTAAAAACACCAAATTTTTAACATATTTGGAAAAAGTATTTTTTACGATGGCTATGAAATGAATGCTATCATTTTATATGTAAAATTATAGGGAGAATGTGTCATCGATCGTCATTTTCCAGCCAACTGTACGCCGTTTTGTTTTAGATCATACGGTATATTACCTATGTAAAAAAAACTACAATTATGATGTATTTATATTGCCTGTATTCCAAAACTCAAGTACAATAATATTTATCTATGAATGTTTATTTTATTATGAAAATCAGTAATAGGCAACTGCTGGAATTTAAGTGAATCAAGTTATTTTAAGTAATTCACTTCACTTTTTTCCAAGTTTCGAGAAATTTTGTTATCTAGATTCTTTAAATAATACGAGTAAAATAAAATTTGGATCTATTTTAATACCCTTTGTCATTGAATTGAATATTGAATACTAAATTAGATTTTCAAAATAAAAAATGCGTCATTTTTCATTTTCTTTAAGTATCTGAAGTTCATTTCGCGCAATTTTTTCTTGAAAGAACTTCTCTTGGCGTAGTTTCTTATTTGGAACGAAGCAAGTCAGAACAGCTCCTAAAAGTAGCAAAGCAGCTTGACTTCCCAAAGACCAAAATGCTCCAAAGCGCGAGTTGAATTTACCTAAAATATTATATTTTATTTATTTAGGAATAAAATGATGATAAAATGTTTAAATTTTACCCAGAAATATAGTTATTATAACTCCAAAAGCTTGCGTGGTGGCGTTTAATATTCCTGTGGTGGTACTTTCGTCTGCTGGGTACGTTATTTCAACTGCTAGTTCGTATCCTACAGGCATGTAGGCGTTTGTAAAAACCCTAGAAAGATAAATCATTACGCAATGGATATTTACATTAAAAGTCCTGTAAATCAACTTGTACAGGGTGGGCAAAATTGGCCATTTTTTTAAATTATTAATTTTAAAAAAATTATACTTAAACCACTAAATTCTACGTAAAAAGGTGCTTTGAAAATGTTTTCATAAAAATGTAAAATTTTCCATAGCAAAAAAGGTACAGCGATTTGTTAAAAATGCACATTTTTGAAAAACACCCCGTAACTCCGAAACGGTAACAAATATCGATGTGCGGTTTTCACCATCATGTTTTTGATAAAAATTGAGCTCCAGACACCGATATTAGTTTTCGTCTATCTCCTATAGAAAAGGGTGTTTTCTTTAAATCGTCCAATTTGACCCACCCTGTACAGGGTGGGCCAAATGTGTTTTTATGAAATATTTCCAAAGCACCTTTTTACGTCGAATTTAATGGTTTAAGTATTTTTTTAAAATTAATAATTTAAGAGTTATCAACAGAAAATTTGATTTTCTATATGAAACATCCTGTATGCAAAGAACTTAAAAAAAAATCTTTTAAAAATATATATAGCATATATTCTGTGAAGTTTTTTGCGAACTTACAGTTCTGTCTGCAACAAATAAACCTAATATTTGTAAATGACGTTATATGATTTATTTAATTTACTTGAATAATAAGAAAATTATGTTTTACGGCATATTATTCAGCAAATTATTCATAAAATTTAAAATAAATTAAATTCAACTCACCCTACTATTCCAAAGACAATATAGACGAGTAATTTTGACTCAGACAATAAAGAAAACATAGCACCAATCAGAGAAATTACTGCTCCACAATAGACGAACACAGTGGTTTCTCTTAAAAGAATAAATCATTTTGGTTAGTGAACAAAAAAAATACTAAACAGCCTAATCATTAGACAGCTAGTCCACTTTGTCCATTTACTATCTGTAGCCCCGAAAATAAAAAAAAAACTTACGAATTTTGTTTAAGTGCAAACCTAAAGTATGTTATTAGGATGTATTTCAGGAAATTAATTTAACTTCTACAGGGTGGCTCAAAAAAGTGTGAGTGGATCGGGATGATTTTTTTTTAAACTGAACACCCTGTATATTATTGCATTTTTGGATTTCTTTCTTATCATTTTATATAATCCTAAGATATTTGAAGTCGTTTTAGAGTCAGTTTAGTTCAACTCGCTAAGTATTTCTAGTAAATCTAACAAATTTGTTGGATAAGAGGCAAGAAAAACACTAGGTACTAGTTAATAAAACTAATTTCTGGTTGAGTGGCTTACAATGAGCCCTTCAATTGATGGAGAATTAAAAAATGAACATCTTTTGTATTTAGAGTAACACAAAATTTTTAACTGCTTCACAGATACTCGAGGTATTATTGGCTTATGGCTATTTCAACAGTCATCAATTAAAAAACAATATATAGAGTGTTCTATAAAAAAAAGACGACTAAAAATTATTTTATATTTTAGAAAGTTTGGCGTAGAATTTTGAACACCCCGTGTGATTTAAGATTACGATATTTATAGTAAAGTAAGTATAGACCATCTAAAGTGAATGTCTAATATAATAATATTTAATTAATTAATTTTAATAAATATTTTTTTTAAGAAAGACTGAAAATATATATTTGATATTTATTTATTAATATCTCTGAAACTATCGAAATATTTACTCATATCTTCAGATGATGTAAAGTGATCTGAAAGGAAGCCAAAAATGCAATAACATATAGAGTGATCTATTTAAAAAAAATCATCCCGATCCACTCACACTTTTTTGAGCCACCCTGTAGAAGTTGGTTTGGTTTGAGGTAGATTATAAAGGTCTAGTTTCGCAGATTTTTTATTCTAGGAGCTACAGATGCCCGACGCACTATTGCCTGACCCTGTAGATAACGTAGTAATAGTATATTATTCAACCATAGGTGGCTGTTATTCACGCGGATGAAGTTTATCAGATCATAAATCATCCAAGTGAGTAACAGCCATTATATTCAAGTTGAATACTATACTTTATCCAGGACTATCAAAAAAATTAGATAATATTAATATAAGTTTATCCACGACTCTATAATTTGATTATTATACATAAGTTTATAAAATAATAATAATATTCATTATTCACTAGTGAATAATGGTTTCATTAATCACCGCTTCCACGGATATCTCCATCTAAACTCAAAACAAGAGCTGTCAAACATTACCATTAATGTAAATAAATAATTTTTGTTTTAATTAGTTAAAGCTAAATTAGTTAGCTATCTAGTTAAAGAAAATTTCAATGGTTTGTTTCCATGTTACTTACTCGTTACTCGTTATACTCGTTCAATATTTGTTTGACATTAAAAATAAAAGCTTATATTAATATTACCTAAATTTTTTTGATAGTCCTGGATAAAGTATAATATTCTACTCGCATATAATGGCTGTTATTCACTTGGATGATTTATGACATCGCCTTTGGCTCGTGTCATAAACTTCATTAATCGCATTCCTAGCCGGTTTGGATCGTGCACAGCCCTTGTTTGGAGTTTGGATCGAGATATCCGTGGAAGCGGTGAATAATGAAACCATTATTCACTAGTGAATAATGAATATTATTATTATTTCATAAACTTAAAAACTTGCCTTTTTGATTGATGTATCTTTTACAGGTGTCACTTTTACCCTTGTCTTGAGCCACTTGAACTTGGGTTGGGGGCAACACTTTGGGCCATATTAATTCAAATAGTACTGTTATTCATCGGTCGGGTGTTAACCATGTTAGTACCAAACAACCTGAGAAGACAAGAAGCGTTCAACAGAGGAAGACCAGTTGAGTTTACGGAATTACCTCAAGAAGATCCTGCGCTACTAAACATGAAAATTCATGATTTATATAGAAAACTGTTGGAAAAAAGTGGGCATTTCCGGAGATATTTGACCGATTTGGGACTCTTAAGTTGTTTGTTCAGTGTCGAAATTAAGAGCTATAGAGTCAGTCCAACTGACTTTGAAATACTATACCGTATATGATCAAAAAGTTTTATGAACAAGCTGATTTTGATGGTTACGTATAGTTAAATGAATTTAACTTATTTTGTTTCTTAATCATATTATCGTTGACATCTCGCTTGGATCATAAAAACGTTTTGATCATGCTGTGTTTGTCATATTGACAAAGAATTGTAGTTCCTAAATACACTTTTGTAGTAATACAACAGAATTAATATAATAAAGACTGGTGAAAAAATCTATCCTGTTTGCTCCACGCTGCGAGTTAAGAAGCTCTTAACTCACGCATTTTGAGTGAGTTAAGAGCTCTAACTCGCCATTTTCATTACCGCACTCCTTGTTTAGATGACTAAGAGAAAATATTTTGTAAAAACATTATTTGACATCAAATTTTTTAACCTCACGCCCAAGCTCCCAAGAGACCAACAATCAAGGCAAATAATTAAATATATATTTCGTCATCAGTTGCTTGTAGAAATTTAGTAATATCGGCCTTTGTTTAGCACCTTTGATTTTTTGACCGATAACCTTCAGATTTTCTTTGGAGAAGGGCTACTAAATTAGCGTATTTGCTTATATCTATATTCATTTTAGTAGATATCATAGTACGTATCATTGAATAATAGAAAGCCCAAAGAGACGAAAGCATATAGTAGCGGATAAATTGGAAAAAATGTTATGGAGTCCTTTTATTTCCATGGTTGTGTACTTTTTTCGGTGCACCATTCATACTTGAGTATGTATATTCATATTTCTGTTTCGATCTTGCTGGAAGCAATCCAGAAATGGATCTGAATACTCTTTCTTCAATGTCAGAGGGAATACTTTCCGAATAAGTTTTAAACTAGTGACATCACTACATAGATAAATGCAACAAGTTTAGATTGGAAAGCCCGTAAAAATTTTGGGCCGCGAAATTGTTTGGGTCGCGACCGTTATACGCGATTTGGCGCGCTGCTATAGCGATCGCTAAGAACAACGGCAAACAAAAACAGTAGTAATTTTCTTTGTCAAAGTCAAATCTTCAAAATCATAATAATCTTTCAAAATCTAAACCGCTTCCATTAAAGAAATTCCGAAAAGTGTTTACAGCGTCCATTTTCAAAGTAATTATTGCTATCTTGTGAGTTTAATTCGCTTTATTTACTCCAACCGGCAGATAATTGTGAAAAAGTGGCATTAAAATTTAAAAGCTGTGCTGTAAACTGCAAAACCATCGGATCGTAGCATAACGTCGGTTGGTAATGTTTCATAGGTATTTCATACATGCGTCCTTATATAAAATAAAGTTTTGTGGCAACACAATTGTATTTTTATTTATAAAATTAAACGAAAATAATAATAAATTTGAATAAACCAAAGGAACAAAACAATATTTGGCGGCTATAATCGAAAAAGCCGAACCGCTCTGAAATTTTCAAAAGTTTCAATGCGACCGTTGCAAGAATAGCGCCAAATAGTGTTTACATTATCCTTATGGGCACTTTCCACCCAACATCATTATTATTTACTGTCATATTGACATTGCCATGCACGGTGTTATTTGAACAAAGGTATTAAGGTAATTGACTACCAGACAATGCTAAAATATGGGAGTTTCCATTTAAAAAAACAGATGGCGTGTCTGTCAAAATTGACATTTAAAAAAAAAATTATTTTAAAAAATCTTTTCTACTATTTTTAAATAATAGGAAACAGAAAAATTGTAAATTGAGTGGAGACACTTAAATGATTCTGAAGATTTAATTTTAAATCCTGTATATCGAAAAACGGGGTGCAAAGTATACTAAACTATATATTTTTGAAATTAGCGAAAAATGCTACCTTTTGAGGCATTACCCGGTATATGAAGGGAGATATTGGGTACTCATTTTAACAAAGGAAAGGGAAAATACAAAAGATTTAAATGGTATAATACTACTAAGGGGTGCGTCTCAAAGTGACCCAACCTAACACTTTAAGTTTTAATCAAGTTAAAAGCACCAAATTTTTAACATATTTGGAAAAAGTATTTTTACGATGGCTATAAGAATTAAGATGCTATCATTTTATATGTAAAATTATTATAGGGAGAATGTGTCATCGATCGTCATTTTCAATAACTGTACGCCGTTTTGTTTTAGATCATACGGTATATTACCTATGTAAAAAAACTACAATTATGATGTATTTATATTGCCTGTATTCCAAAGACTCAAAATTTACAATAATATTTATCTATGAATGTTTATTTTATTATGAAAAATCAGTAATAGGCAACTGCTGGAATTTAGGGCAGTGAATCAAGTTATTTTAAAGTAATTCACTTCACTTTTTTTTTCCAAGTTTCGAGAAATTTTGTTATCTAGATTCTTTAAATAATACGAGTAAAATAAAATTTGGATCTATTTTAATACCCTTTGTCATTGAATTGAATGTTGAATACTAAATTAGATTTTCAAAATAAAAAATGCGTCATTTTTCATTTTTCTTTAAGTTTATCTGAAGTTCATTTCGCTTTTTTTTTTCTTGAAAGAACTTCTCTTGGCGTAGTTTCTTATTTGGAACGAAGCAAGTCAGAACAGCTCCTAAAAGTAGCAAAGCAGCTTGACTTCCAAAGACCAAAATGCTCCAAAGCGCGAGTTGAATTTACCTAAAATATTATATTTTATTTATTTAGGAATAAAATGATGATAAAATGTTTAAATTTTACCCAGAAATATAGTTATTATAACTCAAAAAGCTTGCGTGGTGGCGTTTAATATTCCTGTGGTGGTACTTCTCATTTTACTGGGTACGTTATTTCAACTGCTAGTTCGTATCCTACAGGCATGTAGGCGTTTGTAAAAACCCTAGAAAGATAAATCATTACGCAATGGATATTTACATTAAAAAGTCCCTGTAAATCAACTTATTAGGGGTGGGCAAAATTGGCCATTTTTTAAATTATTAATTTTAAAAAAATTATACTTAAACCACTAAATTCTACGTAAAAGGTGCTTTGAAAATGTTTTCATAAAAATGTAAAATTTTCCATAGCAAAAAAGGTACAAGCGATTTGTTAAAATGCACATTTTTGAAAAACACACCCCGTAACTCCGAAACGGTAACAAATATCGATGTGCGGTTTTCACCATCATGTTTTTGATAAAAATTGAGCTCCAGACACCGATATTAGTTTTCGTCTATCTCCTATAGAAAAGGGTGTTTTCTTTAATCGTCCAATTTGACCCCACCCTGTACAGGGTGGGCCAAATGTTTTTATGAAATATTTCCAAGCACCTTTTACGTCGAATTTAATGGTTTAAGTATTTTTTTTAAAATTAATAATTTAAGAGTTATCAACAGAAAATTTTGATTTTCTATATGAAACATCCTGTATGCAAAGAACTTAAAAAAATCTTTTAAAAATATATATAGCATATATTCTGTGAAGTTTTTTGTGAACTTACAGTTTTGACTGCAACATATAAACGTAATATTTCTGAATGACTTTATATGGTTTATTTAATTTATTACATAATTAAAATTATGTTTTTACGGCATGTTATGCAGCAAATTATTCATAAAATTTAAAATAAATTAAATTCAACTCACCCTACTATTCCAAAGACAATATAGACGAGTAATTTTGACTCAGACAATAAAGAAAACATAGCACCAATCAGAGAAATTACTGCTCCACAATAGACGAACACAGTGGTTTCTCTTAAAAGAATAAGTCATTTTGGTTAGTGAACAAAAAAAAAATAGTAAACAGCCTTTTTATTAGACAGCCAGTCCACTTTGTTCATTTATTATCTGTAGCTCCTAAAATAAAAAATAGGAATTTTGCTTAAGCGCAAACCGAAAGTATGTTATTAGGATGTATTTCAGGAAATTAATTTAACCTCCATTAAAAAAAATCATCCCGATCCACTCACACTTTTTTGAGCCACCCCGTAGAAGTTAAAATATTTTCCTGAAATAGATCCTAGTACATAATTTAGGTTTGCACTCAAACAAAATTCTCGAGTTTTTTATTCTAGGAGCTACAGATGCCCGACGCACAGGGGCGTAGATAGGTGTATGCTATGGGGGTGGTACTATGATTAAGTCGCAAAAAAATCACCGTCGGAATTTTTTTGTCGAATTAAAACGACGGCGATTTTTTTGTCTTCAAAAAGATATAAAAACATAACACAAAAATTAAAATATAGATTTGTAAATAACATAAACAAAAATGAAACAACGACGTTTATTAGTTAATTTTCTATAAACTATAAAAAAACTCTAAACTATCAAAAAACTATAAAACTATAAACTATAAATAAAACTACAAAACAAAATCAAGTTTTCTAGTACGCTGTTTGGAAAACCTATCAATAACAGCATCAACATTTATTTCAATATCTTTATGGATATTGATTAGAGTTAACCCCACTAATCTGTCTCTGGTTATTAAGAACACTTTGTGTGCTTTTAATTAGGTCGAACATATTATAAACGATAAATCAACATAATTAAAAGCATACAAAGTGTTCTTATATGTCGGATTTTAATTTAAAAAAATCCTTTCATAGTCAATGACTATTTCAATTCTCGTATCTCGTCAAGCGTCAGGGGGGGGGGGTACTGTCCCCCAGTACCCCCCCCCTTATCTACGCCCTTGCCGACGCACTATTGCCGGACCCTGTAGACGTATTAGTAAATAAAACCTTTTTTAAGAGTTGCAATATTTAGTGTAAATATATTGAAAGTCTGAAAACTTACTTGTATTTATGAGTTTTATCTAGAACCACTCCAAAAACCACTGATCCACAAATACCTCCAAGCACCATGATTAAGCCAATTCTACCAGCATCTTCCTCAGAATTCTAAAGGCAAATCATTTAATATAAAACAAATTTTTGTTTAAACACAAGAAATACCGGGAAATATTCCAAAATGAACTGATTCAGCAAAGTTCCAATTGCAGCAAATACGCCTATGTTTATACCGTAGGCTATAGTGTGACAGACAAAACCATGGTTTGAGAACAGACTGGAAAAATGTTTTAAATATTTTGAAAAATTCAATTTTCTTTTATGACGTTCTTCCCATTGAGCTAGAGTTGGTGGAATTCGAGGCTGCTTAGAAAAAACTGAAAAAATAAACGTTTCAAAAAAAAAGTACAGTTTTTATAAAAATCTTGTACAGAGTGTCCCATTTTCGTGTGTTTTGCGGGTTTTTTGTCTATGAGTCCGTGTAACTAGATTCCCTTGATAGGAGTTGTCGTTTTTTGAAATGAAATGACTCAACTTCATGTATTTTTCAAGAGGATACCTTGTAAATTATTTTTTCTTTTTATTTGCCTTGTTATGAACTATCTAAAAACATAATACAGGGTTGTCCGAACTGTATTCCGGAAACTTCGTCAGCATATTCTGCAGATAAAAACAGGTTAAAAAGTTCTTATAAATGTATGTCCTAAAATGCTTAGTTTCGGAGATACAGGGTGTCCAAGTCTCATATTTATTTTCGATTTTTTCTAAATAATTTAGGAATTAACATCAATATTTAGTTGAAAATTGGTGTCTGGGAGTTTTTTGACATGAGAAATTTGATTTTGATGTCAGAATGACTCCTACTTGTAGAGGGCGCCAACTACATATTTTTTAACTGGTTTGAAGAGTAATATCTTTTTATCCGTACCTGTATAAAACAAAAAAATATAAATTTACGAGGTTTTCTACGTAAAAAAGATCTCTTGGTACAAGTAATGGTTCTCGAGATATTTGAAATTGAAATTATCAATACCTATCATCAATGACATAAATTACATTAACATGTTGACTAAACAGTTAGTAGACTGAAATCATAATTAGGCCAAAAGTTCAACAGAAACTGTTTTATCTTCATTTTTTCGCAGAAAAATTTATGATTAATTTAACAAAATAAAAAATTTTCAAATTTATTATTTCAGTCAAATAAAACTAATATCTACTCAACGTGTTTATTTTTTGTCAATAATGACGTGTATTGACTATTTCAAAACAGTTAAAACATATGTAGGTGGCGCCCCCTACAAATAAGAGTCATATTAACATCAAATTCAATTTTTTCATATCAAAAAACTCGTAGACACCAACTTTCATCCAGATTTTGACGTCAATTCAGAAATTTTTTGGAAAAAATCGAAATAAAAATGAAACTTCTACGCTCTGTATCTCCGAAACTAAGCATTTTCGGACATACATTATACAAACTTTTTTACTTATTTTTATCTGTAGAATATGCTGCCGAAATTTCCGGAATACAGTGCGGACCACCCTGTATATCCTGTAATACATATTTTATTTTCATAAACAAGTTAAAAAATGCATTATTTGACTCAGAAACGTGAAATCCCATAAAACACACGAAAATGGGACACTCTATACAAGGTAAGTCAACTCTAATAATGTTCATGATATTCTTTGTTTTTGAAAATTACGAAAAAATTAAGTCAAATGTCAAAATTTTGTTTTTTCAGAGCCAACTATATATACTTGTAGTGTTTTTGTTCCCATCCTCGCGTTTTTTTCGTTAAGTTTCGTAATATTATTTGTAGGTATTTGAATTAAAGAAGATTTTTGAGACTTTAAATTCAAGATAATTATTGTAGACTTACAAAATATTACCGAAATTCCTACAGGTATCATGTAGATTGTTATTATCCAGCATAATTTTTTTAGATCCCAAGCTACCAGATTTAGATCATCGTGATTTTTAACTAAGCTGGACGGTACTACAAAACCCAATGCAAATCCTATTTGAGTACCAAATACTGCCAAAGCACATGCAGTGGATACCTAAAATTATGTTTTGATTATATTATTTTACAGATCTGAAAAAAGTGTGCTGACTAGTAAATGGGCACAGCAGTGTAAACGTTGCCCAAGTTTTGTTATAAAATATACGTATTATTGTAATATTTTCTTTATGTTTTTTGTAAAAATATAAAGTTAACAAAATCATACTTATACTTACTTCTTCTGGTTTAAACCAAACTGCTGCAATTTTTGAAGGCAAGCTCAGTACGAACACTTGAGCAGTTGATCCGATACCTTGTCCTAACAGTACCAAATAAAATAATCCTCTCTTGACTGAAAATACTTTTATAAAAGCTGCCAGTGCCGTACCGAGACCGCCACAAAGGGCAGCAAATCTTAAACCCTAGAAAACATTGTTAAAAATAGTTATTTTTTATACAAGACGATAAAATACCATTTTATCGTCGTGTATAAAACAATATTTTTTTTCCATAGCGAGTTACGTTTTAAAAAATATTCAGAAATTATTATTTCAACGAATTTATTACGAGTAGAAAATATATTGTGCTGGGTTGGCGTTGGTTTTTATGTAATTTGACAAATAAATAAAGCTGTCTTATTAGTTGTCAGTTTTGAGTCAATATTTTTCATTCTCTTTCGTGTCGATTGCTGATTGAATTGGAGCCAGAATTGGCTCAAAACAAAATAAGTAAATTACCAACAGATATTTAGGCTGAGGCGACAAACGCCATATCCAAACTACTTCCATTTAAATCCCAAATAACTTATGAAAAGGAATAAATTTTTTTTCAAAAATGGAAGCAATTAAAAAACGTGCGAGAAGAAATAAAGTTTTTAACCTATCCTCGCTGTTAAAGTATAATTTAATCTACCCTTGCTGTTAAAGTACTATTTTATCTACTATTTTTGATAGATATAACGCAATTTTAACAGTTGCCATGGGAAAATATATTATCCAGAAAAAATAAAATTCTTTGTACACCAAAAAAAGTATTTTGATGCATAGAAGGCGTGTATTAAGTTTCCATAAAGATATCTATAATAAAGTCAGAGTTATAGTAAAAAAAATTTTTTTTAGAAAATTTTACCACCTTGTATCTTAGAAATTAAGATGTTTAGGACATACATTCATATTATGACGTTTTTCTTATAGAATAGGACCAAGAATTACCCCCTTAAATATTAGCATGTCATTAAGGAACATCCTGTATTATATAGATATATTTTCTTGATAATTTGGTGAAGGAACAAATTACCATTTTTTAAATTTTTAGAATATGCACATACTTCGTAAATAAAAAAAAAAGTTAAAAGTTAGTTTTTGGAATTGGTTGTGATAAATAAAGTAAAGATTGATATAGTTATTATTATAGCCTTTTTTTAATATTCAATTTTTTTGTCAAAAAAATATACAAAAATTTTAAGAGAAATAACTAGATTTTTTTTCTAGTAAATAACATTTTAAAAGAACGATGTAAGGTAAGTTTAAATATAGATTCACATTGTTAAAATTTTTTCTAGTGTCAATTACAATTATTATTCATGATTGCAAAATTAATATTGGTTTATGACATATCAGTAAGATCAAAAAATAGGTTAGATAATGACACAAGGGTAATTACAAATAAGGTGTCTCCCCTAGAAGTACTTGATTAAAATAGTAAAAAATACACTTATATTTATTGATGATGTCAATATACATACAAATAGCTTAAAAACTATATTTGGGCAATATATACGACAATTTCTCTGAATGTGATAGACAATGAGTCAGTATTGAAAATAAAAGAATTTCGGACTTCCATTGTCTTTATTTATTTTGATTAACGCAACGTTTCAGTCAGATGGATTACTGACCGTTATCAAGTATAAACTATACTAATTCCTAAAACAAATCAGCTATTAAACTGCGGTCAGGCATTCACCCGTGAAAAAGTTGGCTGCACTCAACTGTGAGAGTGTCCATATAGAATGCCTGCATTGGAGCGTTTTATCAGTGGTTTGCTTGTATTGTTATTGTTAGTAGTATGGTTAGGTTGTTGCTATTATTGCTTGCTATAAAAACGGCCTTTTTAAATATACGCTTTTTCTAATGAGGTTCCCTGTGGACAATTCGAGCTTCCATCCATTTTAGATTGTGCTGTTTTGACCACATGTTTGGTCAAAACGCAATACGTGGCATTGTTTCACCTAAGGATGGCTGTAACGTCGTCCTGTCATCCTGCTGTTAAAACATAACAGCTGATTTTTATACAGGGTGGTCCGAACTGTATTCCGGAAACTTCGGCAACATATTCTGCAAATCAAAATAAGTAAATAAGTTCGTATAAATGTATGTTCTAAAATGCTTAGTTTCGGAGATACAGGGTGCAGAAGTTTCATTTTTATTTCGGTTTTTTCCAAATAATTTCTGAAGTAACGTAAATATTTGGATGAAAATTGGTGTCTGGGAGTTTTTTGACATGAGAAATTTGATTTTGATGTCAATATGGCTCCTACTAGTAGAGGGCGCTACCTGCATATTTTTTAACTGTTTTGAAGAGTAATAACTTTTCGTCCGTACCTGTATAAAACTACTGATTAAAAAAATATACATTTACGATGATTTTTACGTAAAAAAGGTCTCTTGGTAAAAATATCTACGAGTAATGGTTCTCGAGACATTTGGAATCGAAATTATCAATACTTGTCATCATTGTCATAAATTAAACATGTTAACTAAATAGTTATTAGACTCAAATCATAAATTTGAAATGTTTTTGTGCCAAATGTTCAACAGAAACTGTTTTACCATCATTTTTTGCAGAAAAATTTATGATTAATTTAAAAAAATAAAAATTTCCCAAATTTATTATTTTAGTGAAATAACTATCTACTCAACGCGTGTATTTTTCGTTAATAATGACGTGTATTTACTATTTCCATTCTAAATATCTTAAGAACGGTTGCTCGTAGCGATTTTTACAAAGAGATACTTTTTACGTAAAAAATCACAGAGATGTACAGTTTTTCTCTCGGTAGTTTTATACAGGCACGGACAAAAAGTTATTACGCTTCAAAACAGTTAAAACACACGTAGGTAGCGCCCTCTACTAGTAGGAGTCATATTGACATCAAAATCAAATTTTTCATGTCAAAAAACTCCCAGACACCAATTTTCATCGAAATATTGACGTTACTTCAGAAATTATTTCGAAAAAATCGAAATAAAAATGAAATTTCTACACCCTGTATCTCCGAAACTAAGCATTTTAGGACATACATTTATACGAACTTTTTTACTTATTTTTATCTGCAGAATATGCTGCCGAAGTTTCCAGAATACAATTCGGACCATCCTGTATATAAAAACCAATGATAAAAACCAATTGTTTTGTTTTAACAGTAGGATTACGGGACGTCGAACAAATGGACATTCCAGGAATTTTATTTTCTGAAGAAAATTATTTCTTGGGCTTAAGAGCTAATGCTCAAAGATATCCAAATAGGAATCTTCCTGACAAGCGTTCCTTTGAAAAACTACTTGTCCTATTTCCTATTTCGCAGAATTGGTAGTGTAGTTTATAAAAAAACCTATTAGGTAGAAACCTTGGAAGTGAAGAAATTGAATTTGCCGTAATTGGGTCTTTTATAAAAAAATCATATATCTACAAGTTATCGCAAAATAAAACAAAGAACTACCTACTTCTTCGTTTTTCTTGATAGAATAATAAATACATATTAATAAATATTATTGATTAAACTATTGTAGGTCAATTAAATAAAAGTAAACTGGTATAGATTTAAATAAAGTCTATAAACTAATGTCGATTTTGAAAATAGTTACTAACTGTCACTAGAAAATTACCATGGCGATACCAGCCATCTTGATTGCCATTTTATTCAAAAATCGCTGTTTACTCAAAATCTGAGATAGATAGGTATAGGAAACCCTAACATAGTTTGAAAGAGCATTTGAATCTGCTTCGATTTATTTAAAAAAATACAGGGTGTTGCATTTGAAATAACAAAGTTTTTATGTAAAATAAATCCTTAAAATAGATCACTGATTTTTGGTACCCCTGTATAAATTTAAGGAAGCAATAACATATTTCAGTAAAGTTTATTTCTTTGCCTTTAAACTCAGCACAAGAATTAATTCTGAAAAGTAATGTATTGATAATCAATTCTCTTGTAGCATGCATATTTAAATATCTTTAAATATCTCAGAAACCAATGATTTTAAACACATTTACCCCTTATAATAAATGTTTTTTTTTGGCCCAAGAATCCAAAAATGAAATAAAATACCGAGTGTTCCATAAGAAAAAATATAACTTTGGTATGGATCTTAGTTCTGCGACACCCTGTATATTTCAAAATAATTTTAAATTGTGCACATTGACTCCCCACATATACCCATAATATATTTTGTTTCTACATCTTTCCGTTTTCGTATAATCAACCGAGGCGAATGAGGTGCGCCACCCTGTATATTTAGCATAACAAAACCATAATTAAAATAAATAAATATAAATTCAATTTTTATATACAGTAATGACTCGGAAGTAAATTAGAAATGTCTGATGAAAAGACGTAAAATAGTAAATATTGGCAACTCTGTGAAGAGATATTGGCATGAATGCCACAATTAATTATTTTCACTCGTCTTTTAATGTTGTAATATTTGGCACATTAGTATACAACCTTGAACCTTCCACGAAAGGATCTTTATAGAAGACTGGCACGTTTGCCGTGTAAACAGCCTACGACTACACAAAAATTGATTTTATATTTTTTATTTTAATTATGGTTTTGTAATGCATATGAAGTTAATTTTTATAATCATATACTAAAATGTATTTAAGAAAATATAACAATTAAACATTCGAACTTTTTTTTGCAACAAAGATTATAATCAATGTCAGTCAATATTTTCTAATGCGAGAATAGTGCAAAATATGCTTTTTTATCTCAACTTCCTTTTTATTCACTAAAGATTTGGTTCGTGAAATATCTAACAGGTTTGATTTGCTTATTCACGATCGTGGCGTCTTTCGTATTGATTCCTTTCGATTCTTCTTTCACGAATCTACTGTTGACATGAGGCGTGGCCCACGAAAGTGTCGGCCACGATCGTGCCTCACATCCGTGTCAACGTAGCTTTATAGGCCGTTTAGTCACTCCAATATACGACTTGCCGCATTCAGAAGATACTGGTAGATGCACCTTTTAGCTTCATTCAGAACCTCGCAATTAATGGAATAAATTAGTGGTTTCAATTAGCGTAGAAGTTTGTTTCTTTAATTTCAATGTAAGCATTCCGAACGTTCAAATTAGAGGTAGACATTTTCAATTAGTAGAAAAAGTTATCAAACTTTTAACTTTTCCACTAATTATACTTCAAAATTTGCAAAGAAAGTCATTTTGGCCTTTGATTATCATCCGTCAAGAGAAATTTTGGTTAGAAATCAAAAGTTTATTGTTTTATAAGCTAAATATTAGGCTTTCTCTATGAATATAACAGACTACCGCAAGCTATTGCTAGGATACTTTATTAATTTTAATTGTGTTTTTTTAGACATTGTGAATGATCGTAAACTAAAAAGTATGAAGTGTAATTGAAACCACTAATTGCAAGGTTCTGAATGAAGCTTTATACTTTTTAGTTTCAGATCATTCACAATGTCTAAAAAACACAATTAATAGAATATCATAGCAACAGCTTGCGGTAATCAGTTGCATCCACAGAGGAAGCCTAATATTTAGCTTATAAAACAATCAACTTTTGATTTCTAACCACATTTTCTCTTGACGGATGATAATCAAAGGCCAAAATGACATTCCTCGCAAATTTTGAAGTATAATTAGTGGAAAAGTTAAAAGTTTGGTAACTTTTTCCACTAATTGAAAATTCCTGCCACTAATTTTGACGTTCTGAATGCTCAAATTCAAATTAGAGGAACAAACTTGTACGCTAATTGAAACCACTAATTTATTGCACTCATTCAATGATTCCGGCCTTGTTTGTTAGGCTTCTTTTCTGACTTTCCTTTTACATATGGAATAGTCAAGAGAGAGACAGATCATCCTCCTCAGGTCGATGAACAATGAGTCAGTTTTTTACAAGTTGATATAATTTTGTCTATGGACTTCTCAGAGTAACCATTCTGAAGCAAATCCGCTTTAAGATTATTTAGTTCAACATTAAGCTTAGTCACTGCATATTATGGTCTTTGCTTAATAGCCACGGCTTGTGGCTATTATTTCTTTTTCTTCAATGGCAAGTTTTAAAACTTAACAGTTAAGGTAAATTTTGTCGGCTTTTTGACGAAAAGGCGTATCTCGATTTTTGGCGATTTTGAGATATCAACGTCATGACATGCCCAGTGGATCATATTATAACATAGCGAATTTGCGCATCTCAATATTGTACCTTTTTCATTTTATATTCGTTTAAAAATTTGCCCCATCTCAAATACTACAATTCTTCGTTATGAAGAACAGACGTATGTTGAGATAGGGCTCTTTGTTATATCAATTGTTATACCAATTATTGTTATACTACAAGAAAGATGGAATTTGAGATAGGTACTTTTGTTTTAAGTTATGAAAATTCAATGCGAGAGAAAATCACACCATTCTACCTAATTATTTTCTGATGGTTGCTTGGGACAAAATAAAACTTCTATCATGGCAGCAGTTCTCTTTTACAGTGTGATTTTGAGTCTGTTTTTTGCTAAAAACCATTGTTAAAATGAGCTAGACTCTGCACATAGCTGTATCGGGTATGCAAGAGATTGTCCGAGAATAAATGCCCGAAGGAAAATTGATCGAAAGCAAAACAACGAGACGAAAATTGCCCTAACGGAAAATTTTCCGAAATCATAATTTCCTTAAGAACATTTTAGCGAACCAAAAACTTGTCCGAAAAATACAATAATTTTCATCTCATTATCATTGTCAGGCTACTGGCATTGTCATCCCTGCCAATGTTTGGAAAATTTTATTTATTGTGCCTATCATCATCCAGCATAAACAGGTAGAATGGAAGTGAAATTTGTTATCATTGAACAGGGAAAACAGAAAGTGTTACTCTACAGTTATTTGTATCATAAAGGCACGAATGAAGAAATGCCTTAAATGCCCTGTATTAATGCCCTCAATTAACTAAATAATTACTAAAAATATATTAGTTAAAAAAATGTATTTTTGTATAAAAAACAATATTATTAAAATAAGCTAGATAACAGTATTATATTTTAATTGATTATTGTCTTTGCTTCTGGAATGAAAATTGTCTTTGATTTTAGTTGATCTAATACAACGCGAATAAAAGTATTTAAACATATTTGTTTCTGATTTTTTGGTGATTTTCAGATTTTTTCTTGTATGTATGTATTGTATTTTCTTGTATGTATTCCATAATGTAAATATTGTATTATTTTTTTTCCTTATTAAAAACACTTTTCCATCATTTTTAAATTCATTTTATATGGGCGTATGTATACTAATCCTTCGCAAATAAATTTATTATTATTATAACAAAAAGGCCTATCTCTATTAAACAACTAAAAATAAATTATTTATTAGAATTTACGCTCAATTTATCTTCAGAACGTTTCCTCAATGTCTCCGTTCAAATGTTAATACAAAAACACTATTAAAAAATTAAAGACTTTACTTAAATTGCTCTCCTGAAAAGTAGCCAAAATCAAGATACGCCTTTTCGTCATAAAGCCGATGATTTGTACTTACCTTCTTCTCTATAAAGTACGACACAGGTATGACAATAATGGGGTAAATGAGCATGTAAATAATCGATGTCCAGTCTACATCACTCGCATCCACGTCGTAAAATCTCATTACGATGTTGGCAATAATGGAGTACTCCATCCATTGAAACGAGTTGGCTGCTGAATACAACACATATATAAGCAAAATTATCCATCTTTTTTTATAAAATTTCGTAGCAGGCAAATCCATTTTCGTTTCTAGTGAATTTTCCATAATTTTGTACACTTAGTGCAGGTATATGGTTTATTCCGTTTTCTCTTAGCCAAAAAAGGGATGTATTTTAGAATGAATATTTGCTCAATATACAACTCCATTAAGAGATTTAGGAACTTTTTTACTCAGACTTCAGATTTTTTGGTGGTATACTTTTTCTAAAAAAATATACATACTTGATTTCAATTGAAACTAAAGTTTTATTTTTAATTGTAATGATGCATGCACATGCACCTACCTTATATTATAAAATAGTGCACTATAATGCCTTGTATCTGTTCTGAACGCTTGAATATTTTTGCAGCTGTTATTCAACCTAAGATATCATTGTCTAAAGCAGAGCTCTACTCTATTATTTAATTTTTGTTATCAATTTACTACTTAAGACCTCTGCAAACTGCTATTATTGTGTCCTTGGGTGTTTCTAAATAGTTAGTATTGTAAAAAGATCAGTACTTGTCTTATTATCACAGAATTGTTAAATATTTTGTATTGTATTGTTGATTGTTTTGACGGTGTTAAGATTTTATCTATATTATAGATAGGTTCGTTAAATATTACTTTTTTAATATACAGGGTGATTTACAGTTTTGAATAAGTTTTAAATAACGATTTCTGTTGGGTTTTACCTTTAACTAGCTGAATAAAACACCTAACAGTAAAGTGAGAGTTTTTTTTTGACCGAATGAACTGGAATAATTCAGATCAATCGATTGAAAAAAATATTTATAACTGAAAAAAATATTTATAACTAAAGAGGCTATGAGAAACTACTGGAAATTATTTTCAAGTTTGTAAAACGGCCGGAAAAAACTGCTTGAAAATGGAAAATAACTAAATGGAATTTTTAAGAAATTTTGCCTAGATACGATGTACTATAAATAATAGCGTCATAATCTTCAGTAAATTTAGGATCTTTTTTGTTAGAACCATTTTCCTCTATCTGCTAAAATAAAGTGGTGGGGGAAGGTTGGATACCTTTTTATTTAAATGTTAATAACTCCGCACTGGATGATCGGAATCCAGCAAATGAGAGCTCGTTTAAAAGAACGTTTCTTACTCTAGATTATACCACATAAACAACAAAAATAAGCTTCTGAACGTAGACGCTAAGGGGCGCTGTCTTACAATTTAACAAACATTACGCGTTTTTTCAAAAGAATTAAATGCGATAGTATATGTAATTTTATTTGATACTAAAGTATAATAGAAGCTTAAAAAGGCAGCGAAAACCGCATCTTGATATCTTTTTTCAAACCAAAGTTATTAGCAAAATTATAATAAATACGAATATAATATCTTCGGTTAGAAAGAAGTTATCAAGATTCGGTTTTCGCCGAGTTTTTAAGGTGTTATAACTCTTTACTATCAGCTAAAATTACATATACTATCGCATTATGTTTGTTAAATTATAAAATAACGCCCCTTAGCCCCTATAATTTCCAGCAGTTTCCCATTGCCAATTTAGTTATTAATATTTTTTTCCGCAAGCTCTACGGCTAATACATTCCGAAATACAGCCGAGAGCTATCCTTAGTGGGATACCCTGTACACGCAATCACAATTATCACTATCCACCCTATATGTATGTAATGCCGTCCTTTTTAGCGTTCCCATTTAGGAGTCTATTACGCTGTACTGTTCGGGTCGTTCTCAGGGGTCGGGTAAATCGGGTGTGTGGCCAAAGGAAATACATATTATATTTCAGAAATCTGCCTAAGAAATAAGAAATAATAATAAAAATAATAATAAGAAATCAGCCCGAGCCTGTCGTGTTAAGCCACACCCAAAATTCCAAAAACACGTGCTTTAATTAAGGCTTGATTAAGGTTTGCAGAGCTTCAGCATTTGTCATAAAATAGCGAGCAATTTGTTACAAAACCATATAAATTTTATATCACTGTAATCACAAAACTTTAATCTATTTTCGTATTGTAACGGAATTTTAAATTATGTCTTTATTTCCGACAAACTTTAGTACAAACATAAAACATAAGGAATATTTTGTTGATGTTTGACCATAAAAATCTTAAAAATAAAAAAGGTGTCTAAAAATGTTACAATACGGATATAGTATGATCCTTTATCTTTAATTTCCTTCTTGATTTGTGTAAAAATATCTATTAGCCAGTTTTACGTAAAACGTTAAATGCCGAACGCTTATTTTGCTACTTTTTCGGACTAGTGAAATGGACTCTTAAGACAATAAGGGTAAGGTGGTTAACCAGACCGCTGCTGGCAACCCTTATAAGCAAAGACAGAAAGACAGTGAAAACTGTAGTGGGTCCATTTAGGGGTTCATTTTAAGCTGAATAGGCGTTTAAAACTGATGGGATTGACGGACGAAGTCATGTGCAGGTGTTGTCAATCTGAAGAAGAAAAGACAGAACACATTTTACGTCGGTGGCAAATGCGCCGTTCTCTGTAAATAGGCAATGTAGGCCATTGATAGAATGTTACATAGACGGTTCAGTGTTCAGTCTCTAAGTTGCTATACTTTTTGAAAAGGATAAGAAAATGTAACCTAAGTATCAGAAGAAGATCACAGATCTTAAAAGGTCGCAGTGGATCAGGTCAATAGCAACCTCGAAGAATATAATCTAATCTAATGTATAATATAATAATAAGTATCTATTATTTATTGCATTATTATTTTTGATATATCATTTTATACAAAAAAAGTTATAAAAGAATATGATCCTTTAAAGTTTTAAATTGTCCATTGTTTATAATACCCTTGAATATCATAAAGCTGACGTAGTTTTACTTTTGAGTATTATTAGTAATAGTGCTTTACCGGCTTACCATCATTAAAAATGATTAATCTTTCCTTTAAGTATTTGTAAAATAAAATATAATTACTCAAATATTTTAAAAATTTTGGATTTATTAGATAAAGTACCTACTTAATAACTAGGGATTCTCTAAAGATAAAGATGTGTTCGTTCATTGAATTGCTTTTTTTATTGTCCATTGTTTCTTTTACATGAAAATATAATATACTTATTATGATAAAGCTGACGGAATATAATTTCTTTTTTATTTTTATATCTTTCCTTTATAAAATTAAGTTGCTATTCATTAATATTTAAAAAAATCCAACTAGATATTTCGTAAGCTGTTTAGAATCAAGTGACCTGTGAATAAAAATTTAAAAAAATCCTGAAATTGCGCTTATGTTGTTATTTGCCTGATAAAATAAGTTTACCAATTTTTGTGAAAACTTCACGGTTTGGTTCATAATGTAAAACTGGAAACAGAAATATTGACAAAAACATTAGTAGTCAGTTCTTACTACTAAATACTAAACACTTAACACACATATAATTTCTAAAATATAAAATAATGTTACTTCGTTTTTAAAATAGAATACTCTGTATATTATTTTTTTAGATGGGGAATTAAAAACCGAACATTTTTTGTGTGTAAAGTATTTTAAAAGTTTTAACGGTTTTGCAGATATTTCCTTTATTAATACATATTATAGTTCTTTCAACGGTAAAATACCTACTAGACTTAAAATATTTATATTTCAGAGTCTTTTCAAGTTTGGCATGGCAACTGTCCAATAAAACCTTAAAAGTTTTTAAACAGATTGACAAAAAGGAAAGGTAAAGGATCAAAAGAAAAAAATGGGTACATACATATCTATAGTGGAATGCCAAAAGCGGAAAGAACAAGCAGTGGAGTAAGCATTTCTATAAGGAAAAAAAATAAATCCAATATAAAATCTTGGACTAAAGTAAATGATAGGATTTTACTGCTCGAACTTGAAATTAAAGGACATGATTTGGTAATGGTACCCGTATATATACAGCTCAAATGACGATGCGGATGTAGCAAAAAAATCATGATTTTATGACAACCCTGGCCAACTCGCTGGGAAGTATTGGACAACGGAATAAAAGACTTAAAGAACTATTTATAACTTATTTACAATTTACCTAGAAATAATTTATTTTGAATTTTAGCGTGTCAACTGTACTCGTCTATTTATGTCTGTCCTCTTTAGGCCCCAGCCGCCGGCTTTTATACACACAGCTAAAGATTTCTCGAATAGTCCATAGATTGTTAGGTGCATAGAGAAGGTTTCGATTGTTCTCGTATGTACTACTCCATTCCAGTGGAACTCGATTCTTCTCGAAACTTCGAATGAATAATTACGGTATCTAGTATTTAATGCGATGTTAAGGTCATCTGAGGGCGGGACATATAGTTAGGTTAGGTCGAGTCCACACGGGTCCGCAACACTGCCCCCTTCTTAGGTACATGCTCGTCCCGAGATGTACACGGTGAATGAAGGTATTTGTAAAGCTGGCCCCTGGTACATTGCGAAGCCTGGTAGAAATAGCAGTCTACAGTTTTCTCTCCCGATCTCAGCTTTGGGTTGTAGCAGCAAACAAGGATCTCGATTCCCGTAAATCTGAACAAGACTTCAATCATGTTCCGGAATGTACGCCAACTCAAACCATCGAGTCCACACGCCAGCTTCGGAATGGCTAATCGTGTAATGTTGTTGTTTAGCAGGGCTTCTCTCAGTTCAATCAGGGTCTTCCATAGATTGAGACAAGTCGGCTTACTCGGGGACCATTCTTTGGTGACCAGGTAGAAGATGTGTCTTGCTTGACCATGCGCATCATCGGTTAGCCTCAAGACGCTTCCAACCTCTGGATCCTGTCGGCGTAGTTCTCCGACACGCCCAAACTTCTCATTGAACGTCGCAGCGATTCCTCTAGACATTCGCAAATCTCGAGCTACACAGTGAGTGTTGCCTTGATATATGTGGACTGTATAAATAAATGAACTGCACTTGTATAATATAACAACTATATTAATTTAAAGAATAATACTAAATTTAAGTGAACAGTAAATAAAAAACGTGGTAGTTGCACCAAGGAACAAAAGCAAAGTGAAAACTAAATTTTACCCGTCTCGCACCCTCGGACGGGGTTTAGGTACAGAAGCGCCGTTGCCACTTCTATTCGAACGGACATGAATTCATGGAATAAACCAAACTTAAAACTACATTGATTTACATTTTACATACGGGCTAACATGCCGCCCGCCTTGAAATAACATATTTCAACAAACAAACAAAATATTACTGAATAATATATACAAAAAAATAAAATAAACTAAAATAAAAATAAGTCTATGCACCTAACGATCTATGGACTATTCTAGAAACCTTTAGCTGTGGGTATAAAAGCCGGCGGCTGAGGCCTAGAGAGGGCAGATATAAATAAGACGAGTACAGTTGACGCGCTAAGTTCAAAATAAATTCTTTCCAGATAAATAGTTTTAAATCGTTTGTAAATAATTCTTTAAGTCTTTTATCGTTATTGTTTTTGTTAATTAGTGTTAAATAAATTGTGTTTAAATAAATTGTGACTTTCTATCCACACGGAACCGACGAAAAACGTAACAATTGGTATCAAGTGTGGCGTGTGTGATAAAAAGATTGACGATGGCTCCGAAAAAATTATTGAAAGAGCTGAAAGTGTCGGAATTAAAATGCATACTGGAAGAGAGGGAATGCGAGACAGATGGAAAGAAAAGCATTTTGCAAGCGAGACTGACAGACGTTTTGATTAAAGAAGGTGAGGATCCTGACACATTTTGCTTTGAGTTGGAAGGTGACCTTGACTCGTCCTTACATAAATTAGAAGACAGTTTGAATGATAAAATTACAGGAAATTCTCAAAAATTAGAAGACAATTTGAATAGTAAAATAATTGACTTGGAAGTTAATTTAGAAGAGAAAATCAGTGATAAAATCAATATTTTAGAAGATAAGATCGCAGAAAATTCTAAAGACATACAGGCCAGCTTTAATAATAAAATAATTAATTTAGAAGAAAAGATAACAGAAATTATAGATAATTCTACGGAACTACAAGAGAAAATAACACAAATTGATGATGATGTAAACAGAAAAATCGAAATTTTACGGGAAGAAATAACGAAGTCGCATTCACCAAAATGTCAAGAAACCTCGGAGGAACCGAAACTCCTCAGAACAACTGTGGTTAATGTACTGGGCAACCAGAAGATCTTGCAAACGACCAAATCTAGCGCGATTTTTCTTAAAATTCACTAAATGGGATCAATAATGACTTTATAGTACAACAGGAATATGCCGTAAACAAGCCGTGAAATCGAAAAATTTGCCGCTCTTTTATTTCTCTATAAAATCTACAGGGTGATTCAGGCTTCCGAAAAGCTCTATGTTGGGATTTTGGTTTGTGAATTTCATTTCATTTTTTTATATAATATGGGGGCAATGGTGACGCACATTTTAAACATATTTTTGTCAGCATATAGGGTGATTCAAACATATTTTCAAACCAAAGTTGTATATTTTTAAATAGAATACTATACCGGGTGGTCCGAATTGCATTCCGGAAACTTCGGCTGCATATTCTGCAGATAAAAATAAGTAAGAAAGTTGGTTTAAATGTATGTCCTAAAATGGCTTAGTTTCGGAGATACAGGGTGTAGAAGTTTCATTTTTATTTCGATTTTTTCCAAATAATTTCTGAAGTCAATATTTGGATGAAAATTGGTGTCTGGGAGTTTTGTGACATGAGAAATTTGATTTTGATGTCAAAATGACTCCTATTTGTAGGGGGCGCCACTGATTCGGTATAGCATATGACATTATGGTATTTTTGAAACAGAAATTTAGTGGCAAATCTACTGAGCTAAAAAAATATATAGTATTCCATTTAAAAATATACCTACAACTTTGGTTTGAAAATATGTTTGAATCACCCTGTATGCTGACAAAAATATTTTCGAAATGTGCGTTACCATTGCCCCCATATTATATAAAAAAAATTAAATGTAATTCAAAAACCAAAAACCTCACATAGAGGTTTTTCGGAAGCCTGAATCACCCTGTAGATTTTATTGAGAAATAAAAGAGCGGTAAATTTTTCGATTTCACGGCTTGTTTACGGCATATTCCTGTTGTACTAAAAAGTCATTATTGATCCCATTTAGTGAATTTTAAGAAAAATCGCATTAATTTAATGTTATTGTTTACGTTAATTAAAAAAATTATCGATTTTATTAACAAAAAATAGAGCGGCAAATTTTTGGTTTGCATGGTGTTTTTACGGCTAATTTACGGCAACTGTTCCACCTAATTTCAGACATTTAACTTAACGTTTACTGGAATGGTTGTGCTAACTTAATATATGACCTTGACGCTATTACATTTTTTGTTGCAGGGGGATAGAGAATGATCGGAGGATATTTTTTTTAATTGTATCTAAGAACGGCAAAAAAACGGCAAATTCCTGCTATACTATAAAATTCCTAACTATGTTCTTTCACTGAGTTCCAATGGTGGTTGTGCTAACTTAATATTAACTTAGCACAACCATTGATTTAACATACTTAGCGAAGAGCGGCAAATTTTTAGTTTTCATGGCAAATTTACGGCTAATTTACGGCAATTATCCCACATAGTTTCATACATTTTTTTTAAAGTGGTTGTGCTAACTTAACACACGTGTTTGAACAAAAAAAATAACATGTAATGAACAGGTCTGTTGTTTTAAGCTAAAACGCGGTTCAAAGCAGTTCAAAAGCGGTTGTTTCCTGTCTAAACCTGCTTAAGAAAATTCCTGCCTCTTGTATATTAGACTTTTTTATATGTTCTTAGCTGATTTACGCCTGACGTCACTTCCTGCTCCTGTTTGCTCCTGATGCAGAAATCCCCATCTCCCTCTACTCCTAAACCTGAAAGGGAAAGAGCTGAAAATGATGATGATGATATACGTATAACGCATATATAAACTTTATGTATAAAATTAAAAAAAAACTTCCTAACAACTTTAAGGAATACATCGTAAGTTGCTAAATATAGTTCATATTAGTTCTAATCATCAATTCAAAATATGCCATTGATAATTAGACAATTAAAACTATAATATAATTATTGCTACAAAAATCAAAATTTAATACCAGATAAGCTTGAAAATATAGAAAAAAACTTTGAAGTAGGTATCAAAAAAACCCGATAAATTAATAAATGTATATAGATAATCCTTTAGTGAAACATATAAATAATGTTATTAGGGGTGTTTCTATTTTATAATTGATTTGCATCAAGTGAACACAGAAGTAGAAACGATGGCGGCTACTGCAACTCTTTACGGTGGTGATGTGTCTGATTATAGCGATAAAGCTGACTGGTTCAAATATAAGGTAACCTTCATTAAATTACTAAGTGCATATTTGCTGAAAATATATTAAAATCATTTATTTTACGTGTACATAATAGAATAATTTAGATATTTTTTGACTTTGTATAAACTAAATAATTTTCAAGAAAATATGCAGATCTAATATCTAAAAGTAATAAAAATATCAGTTTAATTCGAATTACGACGACGCTTTCATTTTACAATTTCTGATAAAATTTAATGTACAGGGTGGGTCAAATTCTTTTTCGTGGGAAAATTTTATATTTTTATGAAAACATTTCCAAAGCACGTAGAATTTACGAAGAATTTTTAGTTTTTACGTAGAATTTAGTGGTTTAAGTCAAATTTTTTTAAAATTAATAATTTAAGAATTATCAACAGAAAATTTGATTTTTTACATGGGACACCCTGTATATTTTTAATTTATTGAAAATAATTTAAAATTACCTTTCCAAAAATATAACACTCTTGATATTTTGCTCGATTCCTCTTCGAGATCTAGAATATAATAAAAATTCGCCCGCTTTAAATAAGTATAGGTTTTGAACGGCACCGGCTGTAATACAAAAAAATTCTAGCTGTGAGTATCAGTTAAAACGAAAATAATATTTGCTATGAGAGATGCAGAATTTTATAACAATTTAAACTATATTTTACCAACATCAACACTTTTAAACTATATCTAATAACAATAAAAATAAATAGCAAATCAAGACATGAGATTTTGCTACAGGTGTTCGACATATCGACCGTCTTCTGTTCAGTTATGGACAGACGGGGCAGTTTTTGAACATTTCTCGAGGAATTCATTAACTCAGTAGGGGTGAAAGATACTCTTTCATAACTGCTAAGTATTTCTAATTTTTGTCTAAATTATACGGAAGAATAAGGAACCTTTATTCTTCCGCAAATATATCCATATGATTAGATCCATGGGCACTAAGTCAGGCGGCCTCGACGGACAACCGCTGGGATCTTGGTTAGCTATTCAATTATTCTTGAAACTGGCTGCAAAAATTTGCTGATAACTTCAGCGTTCAGAGGCGGTGCGTCGTCTTGCTGAAAAATATGTTTTCGAGTTCCATTAAGGGCATATCATCAATAAGGGGTACAAAGCCTACTAGTTAAAAGTGGCGAACTTTTAAACATCCTGTATTTCGAAGAGGACTATAACAAAATATCAAGTGTGCTATATTTTTGGAAAGGTAATTTTAAATTCTTTTCAATAAATTAAAAATATACAGGGTGTCCCATATAAAAAATCAAATTTTCTGGTGATAATTCTTAAATTATTAATTTTAAAAAAATTATAGTTAAACCACTAAATTCTACGTAAAAAGGTGCTTTGCAAATGTTTTCATAAAAATATAAAATTTTCCATAGCAAAAAAGTTACAGCGATTTGTTAAAAATGCATATTTTTGAAAAACACCCCGTAACTCCGAAACGGTAGCAGATATTGATGTGCGGTTTTGACCATCATATTTTTGGTGAAAATTGAGCTCCAGACACTGATATTAGTTTTCGTCTATCTCCTATAGAAAAGGGTGTTTCCATTTAAAAGCGCCGAATTTGACCCACCCTGTACCTATATACATATGCAGGAATAATTCACGCAACTGGTACAACTTTCAATATTTTATGTTAAGGTTTTTTTCTAGGTGAACTTTCCTTTTAAAATATTTTCCACTTTCCCGCTCATCCGGTTTAACTGGAAGTAGTTGTCAATTTGCCTATTTTAAATAGAACGCCCTCAATATACAGGGTGGTCCGAATTGTATTCTGGAAACTTTGGCAGCATATTCTGCAGTTAAAAATAAGTAAAAAAGTTCGTATAAATGTATGTTCTAAAATGCTTAGTTTTGGAGATACAGGGTGTAGAAGTTTCATTTTTATTTCGATATTTTCCAAATAATTACTGAAGTAACCTCAATAATTAATCGAAAATTGGTGTATGGGAGTTTTTTGACATGAGAAATTTTATTTTGATATCAATATGACTCTTACTTGCAGTTGGCGCCACATACATGTATCTTAACTGTTTTGAAGAGTAATAATTTTTCGTCCGTACCTGCATAAAACTACTGAGTGAAAAAATATATATTTTCGTGATTTCCACGTAGAAAATGTCTCTTGGTAAAAATTGCTAGGAGCAACCATTCTTAAGATATTTGGAATGAAAATAGTCAATACATGTCATTATTGACAAAAAATAAACATGTTGAATAGATAGTTACTTGACTGAAATGATAAATTTGGGAACTTTTTAAGTTTTTAAATTATTGATAATTTTTTTTTCGAAAAAATAAAGATAAAACCGGTTCTATTGAACTTTTGGGACAAAAACACTTCAAATTTATGATTTCAGTCTAATAACTATTTAGTCAACATGTTTAATTTATGTCAGTGATGACAGGTCTTAATAATTTCGATTCCAAATATCTGGAGAACCATTACTCGTAGCGATTTTTACCAAGGGACATTTTTTACGCAAAAAACGTCGAAAATGTATATTTTTTACTGATTAATTTTATACAGCTACGAACGAAAAGTTGTTACTTTTTAAACCAGATAAAAAATGTGTAGGTGGCGCCCTCTAGAAGTATGAGTCATATTGACATCAAAATCAAATTTCTCATGTCAAAAAACTCCCAGACTCCAATTTTCTTCCAAATATTGACGTTACTTCAGAAATTATTTGGAAAAATCGAAATAAAAATGAAACTTTTACACCCTGTATCTCCGAAACTAAGCATTTTATGATAAACATTTATAAGAACTTTTTTATTTATTTTTATCTGCAGAATATGCTGTCGAAGTTTCCGGAATACAGTTCGGACCACCCTGTATACTGATTTTTGAATTCTACATGCAGTTGTAAACATTAGCGTGACGACCAATTCATCCTGGAGGGGTCTGGAGTTCGCTCAGGGGAGCCTAGTGCTTTTGTTTTTTTAAAAACTGAAGAATAATTAAAAAAAAAATATGTTTTGAATAAAACGTTTACATGAATTTCTCTATCAATAAATTTCACATAAACAAGAGTCATAATTTAAATGGGGGGTGCCCAGCAGTAGCCGGAGGGGGCCCGGCACCCCCGGACACCACTGTAGTTACGCCAATGGTTGTCAACACATTATAAACCCATTTTTTTTCAAAGAAACAAGTGTTGAAAAAAAGAACAAAATATAATATAATAGAATAATTATGCAAAATATCCCTTTTAGGAAAAATTTGACAAAAAATACAACTCTGATGAGGAAAGTAAGAGAAAAAAAATATTTGAAGAAAATTTATTAAAAATACAAGACCATAATAACAAATACCAGACGGGTGCAGTAACGTACAATATGGATATCAATGAGTTTACTGATTATACAGACGATGAGCTCTCACAGATATATTATACAGGCGAGGATACAAAAGAGGAACATTTATTTAGTGAAGATTTAGAAGATGTATGTTCAGGAGGGTGCATACATTCTAGATCCAGCCGCAGCCGTCCTGATATCTCTACTGATCGGGAATCTATCAATTGGAGAGAAAAAAACGCAGTAACAAGTGTTAAGAGTCAGAAGAAATATAAAACCTGCTGGGCATTTGTTACGGTAAATATGTTAAAATTTTCTACCATTCATATAAATGTTACGGTAAATATGTTAAAATGTTCTACCATGCAAATAAATTTCAGAATGTGATAAAATGTTGTAACATTGCCACAAATTTATTTGGTGATGCAGGACATACAGGATGACCAAACATACATGTTATCAGCAATTATGTTTCAAAATCTACCTGCACTTTCATTAGTATTATCCACACACAAAATTAAAATTTGGTATGTGGATGACATTAAGGATATCTAATTTTTGTGTAGAATTTTTATTTGGTTATGCAATATAATATTATATGTATATACAGGGTGTCTCAGATTTTAATCGGGAAAATTTAATAGACGATAGAACTTGCAAAAATAAAACAAAAAGTTCATATAAACTTGTAAGATTTAAAGTTTCCTTTTCGAGATACAGGGTACCATTAGAATCCTAATTATAATATTAATTACCAATTAGAATTTAATTTTTTTCGCAAGAAGTAAGCAAGATAGACAAAAAAATTATATTTTTAATTACTAAATCCAAAAATAACATTAAACTTCTAAAAAAGCAGTGGCGTGCCTATTTTTTCCTTTAAAATAATTTAACAGTGATGCCCCACCGCCGCCCCTGGCCATTAAACTTAAATCTAATTACATCAAATTAAGTCCCATAGTAAGTATTATAAACGGGTCAAGTTATATCAAAATCGAATAAATAGTTTTTCAAATATCTTAAATTTTGTTTCTTTTTTAAGTAACTTTAACACCCTGTATCTCGAAAAAAAAGCTTTAAATCTTACAAGTTGATATGAACTTTTTGTTTTATTTTTGCAAGTTCTATCGTCTATTAAATTTTCCCGATTAAAATCTGAGACACCCTGTATATATATTATATATCATATTAATGTTTGAAGTTAGGGATTGTGCCATTTGTACTTTTTTAAATATTTTATCTATTATCTGGCACTTCCGTCAAATACATATAATGTGTATTTTTTTACATAATAAGTATACCCCTTATACAGGGTGGCGCACCTCATTCACCTCGCTTGATTATACGAAAACAGAAAGATGTAGAAACAAATTTTTATAAGGGTATACGTAGAGAAACCATATGCATAATTTAAAATTATTTTCAAATGTACAGGATGTGTCAGAACTAAGATCCATACCAAAGTTATATTTTTTCTTATGAAACACCAGGTATTTTATTTCATTTTTGGATTCTTGGGCATAAAATAAGGCATTTATTATAAGGGTTTAATATGTTTAAAAGCTTTGGTTTTTAGATATTTTAAAATATTTTTTATTTATTTATTTTTATATTTAAAGATATTTTTATTATTGCATGCATATTATCGTATGCATATTTACATGCTATAATAAAAAAATTGTCAACACCCTGTACATTACTTTTCAGAGTTAATTTTTGTGCTGCCTTTGAAGCCAGAGAAATAAACTTTACTAAAAAAATGATTGCTTCCTTAAATGTGCATTTTTGATACAGAGGTATCAAAAATGGCTGGTCTATTTTAAACAATGACTAAAGAATAAAAAGATATGTAACGCCCATATACGGGCTGCAGCAGAATTTGTGACCTTAGAGGCCATTCTTTTGATGGCAAACAATGAGTCATCATTTGGTCACCAGCGACAATTTTAGCGATTTTTAATAGTTTGTGTGTAGTAAACTTTGTATAAACTTTATTACAATAGTGATTAGTTGTTCAGCTTTCATGTGTAAAAGCAGCAGCGATAAGAAAGAGCCAGGAGTTACGTTTAATAGGTAAATAAACAGCCCACTCCAACTTTTTAGCGTTTTCTTATTGAATTCGATATATAATTATTCTTCAATTTCAATTAACATCTATATGTACTTGATATGTGCTATACGTCGATACTAGTTCTGTACCTTTTGTTAATATTTTAATACGTTTTTTTCGTAATTAATTAGTATGATACACCATAGGCGTAGTCAAAACAATTATAAAAAAATATAAATATTGCTTCAAACATCTAGGTTAAGAAAAATATCTGCCACGGCACTGTTTGGTGACATCGGCACAATTTGCTCTCGGGTGTTATTTGTCCTTGGATTCTTTAGTCATTGATTTTAAATATTTATTTTACATAAAAACTTCGTTATTTGAAATACAACAAACACTATGTATTTTTTTTAAATAAGTCGAAACAGAATTAAATGCTTCTTTAAACTAGGGTTTCCTATACCTATCTGGCTCAGATTTTGAATAAAAAAGCAATTTTTCAATAAAATTGTAATCAAGATGGTTGGTGTCGCCATGGCAATTTTCTAGTGACACTTCAAAATCGACATTAGTTTATGGACTTTATTTAAATTTCTAACATTTTACTTTTATATTTAATTTACATACAATAGCTTAATAAGTAAGTATTTATTATTTTGTTAAGGAAAATAAACAAGTAGTTCTTTTTGATTTATATTACGATGACTTGTAGATATTGTTGCGGACTAGTGTGGACTCGGAACTCGGCCTAACTAATATGCTCCGCGCCCATTCGGGAAACGAATGGAATAATCTAGGCGGCTAAAAAAATTGGAGCAAAATCTGAACTGTCTGTTCCTCTCATATATAACCCGATGCCTGGGCTTGAGGAGGACAAAAACAACAGATCGGTCGACGTATACAATTGCCGCGCTAAATTAAAAAAAATCCTTTTACATAAATAGTTCGATAAATAGTAAATAAGTTGCAAATAGTTCTTTAAGTAGTTTGATCGTTATTGTTTTGCTACTTAGTGTAAAATAGATTGTGTTTAAATAAATTAGACTTTCTATCCACACGGAACCGCCGAAAAACGTAACAATATATTGGATTTTCTATAAAAGAGCCAATTAAGGCAAATTCATTTTCTTCACTTCCAACGACATGTTTCTGCTTAATAGGTTTTTCATATCATATACCATACTATCAGCTCTGCGAAATAGGAAAAGTGGTTTTTCAAAGGAACGCTTGTCAAGAAAATTCCTATTTGGATAACTTTGAGCATAAACCCTTCAGGCTAACAGGCATTTGTTCTCACAAAATACAATCACTAGTAACATATATCCATTCCTACCGCCAGAAGATACTGTTTAATTTTTCTTGATTAAATAATAAATACTTACTTATTAACCTTATTGTAGGTAAATTAAATGAAAATAACCTGTTATAAATTTAAATAAAGTCCATAAACTAATGCCGATTTTGAAAATAGCTAATAAGTGTTATTAGAAAATTGCTATGGCGACACCAGCCATCTTGATTACAATCTTATTGAAAAATCGCTTTTTATTCAAAATCTGAGCCATATAGGTATAGGAAACCCTAATATAGTTTAGAAAAGCATTTAAATCTACTTCGAATTATTCAAAAAATACATAGTGTTGTATTTGAAATAACGAAGTACTTACGTAAAATAAATATTTAAAATAGACCAGCAATTTTTGATACCCCTGTATACATTTAAGAAAGCAATCAATTTTTTTAGTAAAGGTTATTTCTCTGGCTTGAAAGTCAGCACAAGTATTAATTCTGAAAAGTAATATACAAGGTGTTGACAACCTTTTTTATTATAGCATGCATATTTAAATATCTCAAAAACCAAAGCTTTTAAACATATTAAACCTTTTTAATAAATGCCTTATTTTATGCCCAAGAATCCAAAAATGAAATAAAAAATTCACAGTCCTTTACAAAGATGCAACCGGGGGGACATTGAAAATGATGAATAAAAACGTAAAAATATGATTAGTGTTAATATGAGTGTATTACATACATATGTTTAAATAACGAACTTAAAAAAAACAACAGATTTAAAGATTCGCTGAAAAAGTAGTAATGTTAAAATTAAATAAAACATTATCAATAATAATTATGCGATCGCACCTATCCGTAAAACAAGCAAGCAAAAAAACCTCGAAAAAAACAAAATAACATACAAAACATCAGGTTAACATGATGACAGATCATGATCAATCACAGATAAAGAATTCTTACGGAAAGTTACACTTTACGATATAATTTTTTAACTGTTAAAGGCAAACCCCATTTAAACACAAAACTTTTTAATACCTACTGTATCTAAAAGACTTTTTTTTAAATTACTAAATTCTTAGCCACGCTTCTGTTTTTCATGGCTGTTGTGCGTCACGTCACAGATTAACAGGCCCACGTTTGCACCACAAGGCGATGCTGCAGACCACTAGGTAGACCGGTCGTAGAAATTTATGTTATACAACTTGTAGTCAATCTACACAAATATTATCAAAAACTTTTTTTTCTTTTAAAATGTGTTCAGATTTTGAAAAGTATAAGTCAAAATCGCAAAACTTAAATTTGATATGAGTTTCTTAGTTTTTAACTAATATAGTGGCGAATTACAAAAATTCCTTTTCAATGAAAATTAATGAGTTAAATAAAATAATTTAATAAATTACTAGCTTTTTCTCTCGACTACGTTCGCGTTACACCTCGAATCGTTCATGCATTGATTTAAATGATTTTTTACTTCTTTATAGAGAGCTAGTGAGCATAGATGTTTTTTATTTTTCATCTTTTTTTTATTTATTAACAGCACTAATACTCTCTTTATAGGTTATTTTTTATTCTTTGAAAGATAATTGAGGAAGATATATTTCGTTATGATGTCACTAAATAAACCCTTGTATAAAATTTTATACTGTCTGGTTTATAATGTTATAGTATTGCATTTTCGTGCAAACTTTCATTCCCTATTCTACTCCCTAAGGGTATAAATTTCATAAATTCGCTTTACCTTTGTGCCAATTTTTATGTGTATAATCCAGAGGTCACCAAGTTTTATATAAATTTTTACTAACATTACCCATTTGGTTGATGAATTTCAAAAATTTCTTCTAATTCTTTTTGTAGGACTTCATTCTTCTAGACCAAATAGTAAGGAATTTTCATACAACAAACTGTTCAACAAAGATAATTTTACTCTCTAAGAGGATGAATTTCCTAAAAT